TTATATATACATTTTAACTTTCTTCCTCAGTTTATAAATATAATTGAAATTTATAAACCATCAATAATCCATTTTCCGATAGAAAAGACTTTCAAAATAGTGTTTATTAAGCTGGCATTTTTCAAACATTTTTATCGTTTTTAATATAAAAGAATAATTTTCAAGTTTTTTTCAAGCTTTTCATAAAATATTTGAAAAATAAATATAATTGTTCCCTCATAGTACAGGGATATTTAAGGATATCCCTGGGACATCATAGGAATATTTATTTGATTTCGGCGGTTTGGACATCCCTAGGATATCCTGGGATATCCAAACCGCCAAAAGCAAATATCCATAAGATATCCCAGGGATACCCTTAAATACACTGAAAAAAAAGATTTTGTTTTTGCAACAAAATCGTTTGGTTAGGCAATTTTGGTTATTCTAATGAAATTTTGCTTGGCTGAAACAGTTGTAACCAAACATTTGATTAGGCCAACAAAATTATTTGGTTCAACATTTTTAAATTCCAACCAAAATTTGGTTACAACAAAATAATTTGGTCTAAAAATTCAAATGATCGTTTGTTGTCCATTTTTGTTGACCTAACAAGAAAAAATTGGTTGAGCTAATCAAACATTTTTGTTATGCCAACAAAAAACACTCAACCTAATTTTTTTTGTTAACTCAAACAAATAATTTTGTTACTTAAAATTGGTTGGCTTAAAATTTGAATGCTTAATTTTCTTGTTGGCCCAACCAAATTTTGGTTACTCTGACTAAACATTTTTCTCAGTGTCAAAATCAAAAAAAAAAAAAAATAAATAAACAAATTTTAAATTATAAATAAAATTTTGTCAATTTTTATATCATAGTTGTTATAAAGTGCATTAAAGCGCTTAGTAGTTTCCGTGTAATTATCTTTACACGCCAGTGTAAATTTGTTTCTAACATACCCGCAGTATACTCGAATAGAAATAATTCGAGAATATCTCTCGAGTGTGTGTGTATATATGTGTATTCGAGAGTTTTGGTCTCTTACCGTTGAGACAAATTATGTAAATTCCAACATAAAATGGAACGCGCCATAATCATACTTCTTTTTTTAATTTATTTGCAAAAAAATTCTTGTACAAAAATTTCTCGCCAAAAATGCATGAAATTTTTTTTTCTTTCAATAAAAACAAAAATTTACAATTTGTTAAAAAAATATAAATGAAATGTAAAATTCAAAAAAAAAAAAAAAACTTTTCTATTATAAAGAAGTGGTCATATTGAACATCAGTTTACCAAAGAGCTTTCAAAAATGACGAGTTTGTAATATAAGGAAGTTAATATTGAAATTTCGTGAAGAGTTCTTTATCGAAAGTTCAATCTTTTGTTGCGCTCTCTATATAGAGAGAAAATTACAAAAGACAATGTTATGAGATAACACCTTTGCATCACTCTCGAGCATCTCTTTTCAGTTTTCATAGTGTTGATAGTATCGGTTGAAAGTGGTTTACCAGGCGCGCTGCTTTTAAGATCAGACTAAAATTGAAATTCCGTTTATTGCAAACTTTCGTGTTTCCGCAAGCTACAAACGGCTTAATAATTTACTCACGAATAAACTCCGTTATTTAAAGTCATGCTCAACTGTTAATTGCATTTTCAAACATTCAAGATCATTCTTCATCAAAAGAAAAGAAACTTGCTCTCTAACTTTCTTTTATAATTCTAACAATTGTGTATACATTTTCACTCTGATTTTTCACATAGGTATATACAGAAAAAAAACCGAACTCATTTTTGCTGCATCTCATTTTGAGATCAGCATCAAAATGAGTCAACAGACAACTTCACGTTACTCAAAATTCGTTGAATGTGATTAGTGCGTCGTATTGGATTTAGTGGCTAAAAGCAAGTGTTTCATACTAGATAATGAATAATAATTGGGGAAAATATATGAGGGAACAGGGAAACATTTCAAGGTGGTTGTACACTGAAAAAAATATTGGTTGGGGTAACAATTTTTGTTAGTAAACTATACTGCTACTAATTTATTAGTTGTGGTTACTATTTTTATTGGTTGGCATAACTATTTTATTAGTTGGTCTATCTAATTAGTTGGTTGGAATAACTATTTAATTAGTTACCTTACTAACGAAATAATTAGGCTGACTAATGAAATGGTAACAATAACTAATATAAATTAGCAAAAATACTCTTACTAACGAAATGATAATCACAACCAATCGTTTCTCTTAGTGTATTTATAAAGTATTTTTAATTAATCTCGAATTTTTTAATGGGAACGTCAACAAGATTCTTAACCTAAAAATTCTATTATTTAATTTCGTTAATTTTTGTAAATAAAATTTGAGAATTAAAGTTTACGTTTGTTTATTAAAAACAATTATTTTCTTTAATATTTTTCTAAGTAATTATTTGCTTGTCCACGATAATAATGTAACATTAATCTCGAACTCAAAATGAACCGGGTTCGATTTGAAACATTTCACATTTCTGTGTACTTTTATTAAATTAATGTCAGAATTTAAATTATATATAAACTTGGCTGTAAAATTAATGAAAAATAATAAAAAAAAAAAAAAATTTACTTTTCTATGCATATATAATCTGTGACGCGAAGGGTTAAATACCAGTTCAATTACAGGACACGTCGCCCACGCTTTTTTTCATTTATAGCATCTTTTCAACGTTTTACATCCCACTCACATTTATAAGACATTCTACGCAAAAGGGGAGAACATTTTTTTGACCTGAGAAATTATTAATAATTCTTCTTTATATATAACTTATATATTGTAAAACAAAACATTTTTTTTTTTTATTTCATTTCGGAGTAAATAATTTCTGTATTTAAATACATGTGTAAAAGATATTACACTTTATTATGTTTATTACTTTGGTTTAATTACGAGTAGTTAATTATTCCAAAACATTACACTGGGCAATGAAATGCATGTTTATGACAGCAAGAATGTTATACAGCAAGGATTATATTTCTAATCAATATTAGGCAGTTGCTTGATCAGTTATCAAACTGCCATTGAGGTCAGCCTACATCAACTTTGTGGTTGTAGATATATATATATATATATTTGCAAACTTGACCTCTCTGAAAAGCCAGAAACTAAATCAAGACAAAATTATTAGGTTAAAAAAAGAAGAAATAATATTGGAATTTAAAAAATACACAGAAAAAACAGTAAACTGAAATGAAGAATAATATATTTAGGAATATTTTATACTTAAATTAAGTATATATTCTTAATTTAAGAATAATATATACTAAGTTTAAGTATAAAATATTCTTTTAAATATGCGCCACAAATATATTCTTAATTTCAGTTTACAGTTTTTTCTATGTAATGTTGATAAATAGTAATTTTTAACATCCGGATAAAAAAAGTAAAATATTACAAAATTATATATTTTTTAATAAAAACTTTTTTTTAGATACGAAATATGGGTTCAAAAAATGATTTCGGCCATAATAATTACTCTTAAATCATCTTATATATGAAATATCTTTATAGTTTTGTCCGGGAAAGCTTTCATGTATGCATGTATAATGCATATACATCTGTGCAGCTTTTCACGCCGGAAGCCCATATGAAACAGTGTGGTCATTAATCGTCTTCAAATGCAGCAGCTTTATGGTTTATTACTTTATTTCGTGTAGAAAATACATTTTCTTTAATACAAAAACATAATTGAATTTTTGGACTGTTAAGTCTAATATTAATTAATACTATCTTATTAAATATTTTAAAAATATTAAAAAAAAACATTTACATTCTGTACAGTTTTAATTTTATCCCAGATATCATGTAAGCTTTCAGCAACCTTGCGGCAAGCCTGCCGCGCAATATTGCCAACCTTTTGCGGCAAACTTGCCGCAAGGACGCATGGTAAGCTTACCGAAAGATTGCAGTGTAAGGTTACTGCAAGCTTGCTCAGTAAACCTACCTTAAAGATTGCAGCGTAAGGTTACATATATCATAAAAAATTCCAGTGAAAACTTACTGCAAAATTGCTTAGTAAGCTTGCACGGTAAGCTTGCAGCAAGGTTGGTGTAAGGTTGCCAAATAACTTTACTTTAAACCTAAAAATTGTTTTTTAATGTTTCGTCTAATTTATATAATAAAATTTATATAATAAAATTTATATAATAAAATTATATAAATCAAACAAAACATTTAAAAAAAATTTTTTTAGGTTTAAAGCAAGATTATTTGGCAACCTTACACCAACCTTGCTAGAAGCTTACAGTGCAAGCTTACTGTGCAATCTTGCAGTAAATTTACACTGGAATCTTTCGGTAACCTTTCGCTGTAATCTTTCGGTTAGGTGGGACATTGGAAGCTTGCAGTAAGCTTGTGGCAAGTTTGCCGTGCAAGGTTGGCAATATTGCGCTGCAAGCTTGCCGCAAGGTTGCTGCAAGCTTACGTGCTATCTCAGCTAATACATAATTTTCAGGGAAGCTTCCTATAACTTAACTTAAAAACGATTACAATTTATTAATTTTATTTTAAAAAAATTTTAGATGCGTCAATAAAACTTTCATTTGGTTCAGGTATCCAAAATTGATACAAATTTTATCCAAAATATCAACTAAATGACTTGTAATAAAAAAAATATAATTTTTCACTATTTTCCTTTTTCTTTTTTTTCGTATTGAAATGTTTAAAAAAATAAACTTTTCATACCATTTCAGATCATATTCTGCACCAGTAACACCATCTAACAGATTTTCTAAGGAATTTCATATAGGATGTTACCTTGCATTGCTTCTTTGTTATTTGAAAATGAAAATCAAAAATTTACTTTGAAAGTATAATTTTTAAATAAAAATAAAATTATTTAACGAAATCACCAATTTAATTCACCCAATATAATAAATTAGGCAACATATATATTATACTCCCACATAATATATATATATATACTAGATTTATATATAACGCATGCGTAATAATGTATTTATAAGATCAATGCAGTTTTTATACTTAAAATTGAAAAGTACATATATGAAATATGATTTAAATTTTTTTGTACGAAAAGTGATAAATAAAAACAAAAATTGATTATAAATATAAAACGAAAAAGGATCTAGATGGCGCTTTAACGAGACTGTTGTTTCTTTCGTTACTTCCTTGTGTTCGTTTTATTCGTCAAGTTGCATGGTGTGTGTGTGTATATGGAATAAAAACTGTCGGAATTTTACTAATTAATTTATAATATAGTAAATTAACAAAAATGGTGGACCTCAGTGGCGGTTCAGAAGGTCCATTAGAACATGGTTTTAGTAATGCTGTTTTTATTTTTCCCGCCCTGATAGTTGTGGGCCTATCAGGTATTCAAAGCAAAAAAAAAAAAAAAAGATAAAATATTGATGTATATATTTCTTTGATTTGTTTTTGCAACTTGCATTTTTCTTTGCATTAAAATTATACAGATTTGGGATGTTTACACAATTGCACCATTTCTCTGTTTTTTCTCTCATGACAAAAAAATATATTTACCACATTTATTATTTTTGATAATTATCATATATGCATGAAAAAAAAAAATATATTTTAAACACTATCTTTTTTTAAAACAAGGATTTGCACCAAATTACAACAAAAATTGTAAATAATTTTTATATACTTATTATCATATTTTTTTTATGTATATTACTTATTTTTTAAACGATTCTTGATTATACCGTTAGAATGCTTTAGAGTTGGCTATTCTGAAATGCTTCATTATAAATTTACAGTTATATTTCGTATTTGAATGTATTTATATTTATAAATTAGAATATTTTTCTATATAATATATAATACATAAAATATATATATGGTTCCAAGTAGAAAATTAATTATTTGATAAAGAATAAAATATGGTTTTATTTGAACAAATATCAAGGTTTTGAACACGTATCACAAAATTAATGGATACAGATAGTAAAGCATACACGTTGAAAAGAAGCCACGTTGGCCTGTTGATATCATTCAGTTCATTTCTTGTTCTGATCGTCTCTATTATAAATTCTTGTACAGAGATAATTCGTCCGTGAGGAGAAATTCATTCAGAGTGAAATAATCGAAAAAGTGCACATGTTCTTTTAAAATAAAGCAAACATAAGGTATGCAATTTATTCATTGAAAATATTTATAAAAAAAAAAAACACTGATTTGTAATTATATATATATATACCCTATATATAGACAGTAAAGATAAATTTAGCTAAGTATCTATATCAATGATCTAAAATAATAATAATAATAATAAATGAAAATAATGTATAAAATATAAAGTAAAAAGCAAAATTATTCTAGATTTAGTTTTTATTTTTAATTAACAAAAAAATTCATTATTATTAGTATAATGTAATTTTAATTAGTTCTCACCTTTTTTTAAATTGTATATATTTTTTTTTAATTTATTTATTTCAAAATTTTTAATATTATAGAAATTTATTTAAATTTAATTCACATACTACTGAATTAAATTTTACTTTTAAGAAATTTTTCAATAGATATAAAACATATGTCCACATGAAAAGGAACGACTTTATAGTTTCTTTCATAAGAGCTATATTCACATTAATGTTCAAGCAAAAATAATCCTTATTGAAATCGACAAAGTTGTTTCTTTCGGACGGACAAATATGTTTAAAAGATTTGAAACATGCTTACTTTTCTTATGGATAGTAATTAAAATTAAGAATAAGTTTCTCAAAAATTTCAGTTTTTAGTAAAAATGTAATTTATATTTACACGCCTCGGATTATACGACTTTTTTCGACTTATTTTAATAAAATGCGATTTTTTCGATTTTTTCACATTTTTTGAAAAGAAATTTTTAAACAAAATACGTTTTTTTTTTAGTATACAATGCAGATCTTCTTTATTTAAATTATTTAACAAATTTTTAACTAAAATTTTTCACTAAATTAATTATTTTTTATAATTTTAATGAAATTCTTCACAAATTCAATTATCTTAAACTATTTTTCAATTAAAATTTTTATGAAATTTAATAATTGTTTATAATTTTCAAAAAAAATTAGCAAATAAAATTACCAAATTTTTTAAATTCAAAATCATTTGAAATTTGATTATTTGCAAAAATTTCAATTATTTTTAATGATTTTTATAAATATTCTTTGAAAATTCAATTACCTGAAAGTATTTTTCAATTATAAACTTTTGTAATTCAATTTTTTTAATATGATTTCTAATAAATTATCAACAGAAAGAACTAAAAATTTCTCTTATAATTTTATGGTTTTTATCTTTTATAATTATTGTCGCAAATTTAACACAATCTTTTGAAATTCAATTATTTTAAAAAATTTCAATTTAAAAACTTCTAAAATTTAATTATTTCTAAAATTTTCGATCTAAAATTTTTTTGAATTTTAATATTTTCAATTATAATTCTATTGAAATTCAATTATTTTTAATTATTTTTTTTAATATTATTCGAAAATTGAACTGAAACCATTTTTCACTTAAAAAGTTATCAATTTATTGTATTTTTGTCTGCAATTTATAATAAATTTTTTAGTGAAATCATTAAAAAAAATTTAATTAAAAATCACTTGAAGTTCAATGAATTTCAAAAATCTAAATTGTAAATCTTTGGAAATTCAATTACTTTAAAAAAAAATGTTTTCCAAATTTACTTGGTAAATTATTTTTAATTCTGTTAAATTTAATTATTGTTTGAAAATTAACAAAATTTCTAAAATTTTCCATCTAAAGTTTTTTTAAAATTTAATAATTTCAATTATAACTCTCCTGGGTGTCAATTATGTAATTTGATTTGATTTTGATGTCGAAATCAAATTTATTTTTACGAATTCAATTTTTTCATTGGAATTTGATATAAAAATTCAAAAATTTATTTTTTTATTGCAATTTAAAAATCAAATTTTAATTTGATTTTTAAATAGCAATAAAAAAATAAATTTGAATTTGACGTTAAATTGAAATAAAATAATTGAATTTGTAAAAATAAATTTGATTTTGCAATAAAAATCAAATCAAATTACATAATCGATACCCTGAAATTCAATTATTTTTTAATGATTTTTATAATATTCTACGAAAATTCAAATATCCAAAACCATTTTTATCTTAAAAAGTTTTCAAATTTTTTTTTGTCTGCAATTTCTAATAAATTTTTTAGTGAAATCATCGAAAATTTTAAATTAAAAATCAGTTGAAGTTCAATTAATTTCAAAAATCAAAATTGAAAATCTTTGAAAATTCAATTACGTTTAAAAAATGTTATCTAAAATTATTTGATAAATTATTTTTAGTTGTTTAAAATTTAATTATTGTCTGAAAATTAATAAAATCTTTTTAAATTCTATTATTTCTAAAAATTTCAAATTTCACCCTTTTTTAAAAATTATTATTTAAAAAAGAATTTTATTTAAAAATCTGTAATACTTGAAAACTTGATTCAATTACTTTTAAAAAAATCTTTTCCAAATTTACTTGGTAAATTATTTTTAATTCTGTCAAATTTAATTATTGTTTGAAAATTAACAAAATCATTGAAATACAATTATTTCTAAAAATTTCAACTTTAACTCTTCCAAAATTATTATTAAAAAAAAAAATTTATTTAAAAATCTATAAAACTTGATAAAGTATTGCCTGAAATTTTTTTTGACCATCAAAATTGAAAATTATGACAAAATTTTTAATTCGAATAAATTGCTTGAACCAGACTTGAGAAAATGATAAAAATGGAATTTTAAGAATTTTTTGAGAAATTCCTACTTAAATAAAATGTTTAAAATTTGTCTTACAATTAGTTCGATTCTGAAATATTCGAAATAAATTTTCTTAATAAATATTCATTATAGAATTATTCTCATTACAGAATTAATAAAATGAATTTAATATCTAAAAATATTATTTATTTAAAGTAAAATATTCATTAACCAATTAAATTTTGTTAAAATAAAATAATCGACTTTTTCGTCTTTTTTTTAAAAATATAAATCGACTTTTTTTTGTGCCTTAAAGTCGATCCGAGACCTGTATTTATTATTCATTTCCGTTAATTGTTCAATAATTAGAGTTTAATTAATAATTAATCAGAATTTTTAAATGTAAAAACTTACAAAAATTTCAGTAACATAATTATAAATTCAATAATTTCTAAATTAAAAAAGAAACAGGATGTGGAGAACACTTTTGCTTGGTTTGACTGGTTTCGCATATGCTCAAGAAGCTGACGATGACGATGCTGTTGTTAATGATGTACCTGAAAATAAAATTCCAAGTCCACAAGAACTTCTTAAAATGTTAAATTCTATGGGTCTGTCGGAGGAGGAAAAAAATAAATTACGTGAAGATATAATGAATTCTCAAGGGGGTCAATTAGGGCCTGATATGGAGGAGAACATTGCAACTACTAACGTCTTTTTTTCCCAAACTATACTTCTTCTTCTTTTATTATCACTGATTTCTTCAATATTTGGTAATTAAAATTACACAATTTTTCAGAAAAAAAGAATTTCAATTTTTATGAGAAAATTGGCAAATATTTTAAAAGTGTCAAAAAAAAAAAATTTCAATTATATTTTTCTTATTTTTGTTAAATATTTCATTATCTGTTTCATTAAAACTTTTTTTTTTATCTTATCATTATATTAGCACCAACTGATTTGAAAACTTTCGACAGTCTTTTATAAACTTTTCTAGAATAATCATTTGAAACAAAATAATTATTTGTATATGTGTAAATTGTGAAATCAATCTTTAATGGCGAAAATATTGGAAAAAATAGAAAATAGAGAAATACATGACAAACTCTTAAATATAATTGATCATTACAGAGAATTGCAAGACGAAGAAAAGTGGCATTTTAATCAAGCCATAAAAGACATTGTTAAAAAAACATTAAACAATTTGTTAGACCATAAAAACAATCGAAGTAAATGGCTAACGTGGCTCATAGACAGTCGTATTATTTTTCTAATCTCTACATTTATCATTAATTTTCTATTTGGTACTTAAATTATTTACAAAATAAATTTCAAATTTCAAATTGAATATTTTAATTATTTTCTAATTTACAGTTTTCTTTGGATACAAACTATATAAAAGTTTGTCTGAACGAGAAAGAAAGCGTGAAGAAAAGAAGAAAATGAAGCAATTAAAGAAGAAGAAATAAAAGATTTAAAAAAATCAAATAGCGAAGAATCAAAACAGCATGTGTTGTGAAAAAAAAAATTGCAAATGAAAACATTTGACGATTGATATCAACTATAAAGAAAGAAATCACGAATTGTTTTGTTACGTTATCAAAGATTTATATCTCATGTACAATAATTAAACATTCCTTATTTTATGTGTATTAACTATATTTTGTTAAATAAATTGTCTATTTCTCAGATGCTTTTTTTTGCGTTATAGAGGATTAATAAGAAATTCTATTAATTCAGTAATAAGTCAATTTTTATTGTCTCATGCACGAGAGAAAATATATTTAAACATTTTTCAAAAAGGATCACGCCACCCCAAGAACCTTTATCAAAAAAAAAATACATATTTTTCCTTTTTATGTAAAATTTTAGATAAAAATTCAATTAAGCAATAATTTTTTACATTGGCACTGAATATATTGATTAATTATCATATCCTAAAATTTAATTTAGTTATAAAAATACAGGAAATTGAAACGGCGCAATACTTGTATAAAATAATTATTTCTAATTTCGAGTTTTTTTTTTCTTGTAGCGCTTAAAGTCGTAATTATAAAACAAATATTAAATTTCTTTATAAAATAAATATATATATATATATTTTTTAATAACTTTAAATTTGAAAAAAAGTAACAAATAAGAATACGCAGATCATTTAATCGTTACTATTATACGATTAATTAAAGTAGTCCTAAAATGAGTATCTTTCTCTTTAAATAACAAAATAATTCATCTATTTTTGATTGACAGTAAACACTAATGAACATATGATATTAAATAAATATCTTATTTGTAATTTTTTTCTGATAAGAAACACTTTGAAAATAATAACGAAATTTATTAAAATAAAATCTAAATGGCAGTAAAAATATATATATGTGTATATATTGGGATCAGATGTTTTATACTATAAAAAAAAATAAAATATTAATAATAATTGCATTTTTCTTTCGCTCAATACTTTAAAAATGAGCAAAAAAAAAAAAAAATTTTTTTTTTCTTTGCTTTAAAGAGTTTTTTCATTGATTTTGACATTAAAAGTACAATAAAAATCAAAGAAAATTACTCGAATTTTTCTGCTAAATTAAAAAGTCACTCTCATTATTTTCTTTTTATCATGAAGGCGTGGAATTAAGGACACTTTATAATTTGACGCTTTTAATTAATTCTTTTCGCCTTTGTTTTTCAATGGCTTTCCGTGGTTTCAGCACATTCAGCATGAAGAAGGCTTTAAAAGCAATTTGTATCTGTCGCTATTTACATCTGTAAACAAAAAAAATCCAAATTTAATTAAAAAAATATTAATTTATTTGAAAATAGTAAAATACAGAAACTGACCTTTGATAGTTTCAACGAAATACATGTTTTCATCTTTCATATTCGCCACTAATTCATTGGTGACTAGTATATGAATTCCTTGTGGACCGAGTAGAAGCATAGAATGCAATCTTTCTTGAGGCAAATTCAATGTTTTAACTAGTTTACTTGTGAGAGAAGCACTAGTAAGACTTTCCAAATAAACAACTCGCCAAAGTGAATTGTTGCCTTCAATTGAAAAATAAAGACTCAATTTTGGCGCAGGTGCTTTTGAATGTAAAGCATTGTATAGTCTTATTCCATCAGCAAGACCACAAATTTGAATCAAGTCATCTCGTGATAAGCGTAAAATATCAGAAGCTGAAAAATTGGCAAAAGTTGATTCAAAATTTTGAAAACGCGCCCCTCGTAACCAGGCAGATGTTTGTGATGCATTTGCATCTGGAGATAAATCTAAGGGATATGAGACAATCTGAAAAGAAAATTTTAATAAATTTTTTGAAATTTTTTTTTTTTTGAAATGTAAAATATCTAAAAATAAACTAACGTTTGTATCAGGTTGTTCGGAAATTATAGCAGCTGGAGATGGAAGTGCTGCTGCTGGTATGGGATCCTCTTTTACAGATTCGGAAGCTGTGATAATTGGCAGAACGCCAGTATTACCCACAGAAAGAGATAGAGGAGTTGAAATTGGCGAAGAATTTCCACTGATTGTAGTACGACTTTGTGGTGATCTGTAATGAAGAAATTTACAATTTAGTTGAAGAAGAATAAAATTATAAATTTCATTTTTAAAAAAAAACTTTGAATAATTGTCACTTTATTTATTGTTAAACTTTTATGCAACTTCTTTTACAATTAAATTATTTAAATTCAAATTTCAAAATGATAAATAAATAAATTTCTACTTTAAATTGTTATTAATTGCATAACTTTTTATTAGAAAATAATTGCAATTTTTAGTGCAAAAATTTCTCTTAATGAAAATGAATTTTTTTTTTAGAAGAGAATAACAGTTACGTAAGCATCTTAACTGCTTTAAAAGGAGTAATTATCATGTGCGTGTCTAAGACATTTAACATCTGCAAAAGAAAAAAAAATTTAATCATTTGTTTTCGTATTTTTCTTACATGACATTCTTCTTTAAATGGAATATGCACTTAGGCAAGGCACCAATTCTTTTTGAGCAGGTACGATTTCTTCTTAAAGTGAGACTTATTAATCCACCACGACAAATTGAACGAAATCCATAACGATTTTGTGGTAAAACATGAACAAATCTAGCAACCACTTCAATTCCAGTGAGTTCGCTACCAACTGTAACCTCGTGCTCCAATAAATAAACAGACAGACTCTTAGTCTCTCTACGTGGTGCTCGCACAGACCAGCAGCTCTTTAAATTCCAATGCGAATTTTTTACCATTTCGAAATTAGTTTTATCAAAAAAAAAAAAAAAAAACAAAAACTAAACTCCTTCACCTTTTTTAAAATCAAAATTTATTTTAAAAAAGCGATTTGTAATTTTAATTCCATTTTCCATAAATTTAAGAGATTTTCCATTTCAATTCTCATTAGACCCATGTCACTTAAGTCTATCTCTCCTCAGTCTCTATAAATTAAAACTAATTCTAACTGTTAGCCTCCAAGACCCAGATGATTCTTCAAAGAAAATATAATATTCAATTAATTTTCTCTTCAATTAATCTGAACCAGATTTGAATTGATTTCGAATTTTACTCGAGATTGGTTCAGAAGATAAAGAGGTTTTTCTGAGAAATCATATTACAGTCTAAAAAAAATTATCACATGGATGTAAATTGAATTTTTAAAATATTGACTTGCTGACCACTTGCAAGAGATGCAAGCTTTGAAATGTTTTTTCTTTTCGTTTCCTTATTTCTCATAAGCTTTCTTAACTCCACTTGAATCTGGATATTTCCAGGCGAGGTTTAACAATGACCTCCTCCTCCTCCTCCCCCTTCTCACTATCGACCTGTTTTTCTTTCGACCTCGATTATCTTCTTTTTATAGCCATTTTCGTACTTTTTTTTTTTTTTTTTTCGTGACAAAACTCTATGTCATATTGTTCTTATAAATAACAAATCATCAAGTGGATTGATTATTCTTTGACTTCTTTGTTCGAGCATTTTTATATATTTAGTAATTTATAAAATGTCTGGTTACAAACGGAAAAACTCAGCTTTTTGGAATAGAATTGTCAAAGTCACAGTTAAATTTTGATGAATGGTGATCTGAGTATAACCGCCCTGGCGGTCAAGCTACTCGTCATCTGAGAAGGTGATCCTGTCGCGAGAGGAGAATCTTGCTTGCCTGATTTTTGTCAAAATAAACAATTTTAATTTTAGGCCGCGAGATTATGGGAAATTTGCAAAATTTTGACGAATAAAGAGTCCTTGAACCGCGGGAGACCATTCCAGTGCTGATGATAACAATTTTAAAAAAACAAATCTGTGTTCACACACGTGATCAGTTTTTAATCCTTTGGAAAACTTTCACTTTCCCGAGAGCTTAAAATGCAGATTTAATGAAAAAAATTGAAAATACGTGTTTCATTCGCTACTGATCACTGTCTGTCTCTCTTTTTTTTTTTTTTTATTAAGCTCGATGTAATTCGAATCAAATCCCACACTTGGTTCAAGTGATGGTTTTATAATGGCCACAACAACGAGGACAAACGGCTAAACTCAGCCACTAACCGGTCTATTTATAAACCTTGATCCTAGCGGTATATCATTTCTGCGATGATTGTCACCTCAGAATTTTTGCAATTTTCCATTTACCAAGTACCCACTTTATACGTTGTATTATTTCTCTATTGCACTTGAATTAAAACCAAAATAAAATGTTTTTAAAAAAAATAGTTTCTTTCAAAATAAAATTTTAAAATAATAAAAATCGCGCAAAATATAAGATATTGCGACGTATAAATCGTACGGTAGTCTGAATTTTATTGTTATGCAGTGAGCTCTTTCGAGTTTCTACTTCTGACATAGTTGTCGGTTCTTCATTGCTGGCTCGTGCCGGTTCAAGCCAGTTTCATCCCCACAACGTTCACCAGAACCCTCTTTTCCTCTGTGACCTCTTCAACAATCACCACCTCCAATAAACCTTCCTTCCACTACCACGTTCTTTTGACTCTCTTACATGATGTGAATCTGATGTTCATAGAAAATTGACAACGTTGTGTTGATGCTATAGTTGGACAGCCACTTCTTCTCCCTTCGTTACAAATTAAACTCTCTTTCTCTTTTCATTCATTTATATCTATTTCTGTCTTTGCCTTTTATCCTATATATACCAGCTTTCAAAATGGCATAACGAAACAATATTCAATAGAGTGAACAAACTTCAATAGAAATTCTTCATTTTTATATTTAATGAGTAAAATTAAATTTTAAAAACCTACAAATTAAATGACTACAACATATACTATATCAGTCAAGGAAAATAAGTTTTTAATTATTGAAAGGAAAATTTTCAGAATCGAATATCTTATCTCACTCGTAAACAATTTATTAAAGTTAAAAATAAAATGTCATTTAATTGATTTTCTCACGATCAAAAATTTAATATCCATTAATTAATTTTATTTACAATAATATTCTCAACTGTTATTTTTTAATGGAACAAAAATTTACATTTCTTGCAAAATATTACAAAAAAACTAACAATTGCAAATATCATTATATTTGTCGGTATCATAATTGCTATTTTTAATTGAATTTAAAAAAAATAAAAAAAAAATTTCGTACACAGTGTATTTTACAATAGGACAAGAAATTCGCGGTTAAAACTTGTAGTAACCGGAAAGCACGAAATGACATACTGAGTTTTGAACGTCATAATTTATAATCAATTGAAATTGGAAAATTTTTTTTTTTTGCAAAAAATAAATTCTCATGTCAAATTGAACTTGTGATAAGAGTTGATAATATACAGAAAATTTAGTTATGCATAAAATATTCAAATTCAATATCAAAATTTTAAATTGCTAACATTGATTTTCTCGAATAGAAAAAAGATCTACATATAAATATTCTTCTGACACTGATTAGAAAAATTAATTAGTATATTTATACATATTCAAATTCTATTTAAAAAAGAAAAAAAAATAGTGCAATAATTAAAAACATTGAGATCTCTCAACTGTCTATAAATAGTACTAATCTGCTAACAAATTACTTAGCATTATTACAAACTGTTATGTATGTTTTTTTTTTATTTTTGTAATGAATTCTTTTGAATTTAACTATAATTTTTTAAAAATTAATTTTTCATTAAGTTAAAACTTGCAGATAAAAATATTTCATATTTTAATTATTAGAAATAATTATTAGAAATAATTTAAATCCTAATTTTAAAATTAATATTAAAATTTTTTCATTATTAATCTTTTTAAATATTAATTGTTGGACGTAAAATGCAACTTTTCAAAAATTCGTTCAGTTTTAAGGAATTATGGATAAAAAAATCATTTTACTTACATTGCCTCTGATGGAGCATATGGACTAGCAGCATTTTGAGTTATCGAAGTAGATGACGAAAGAGACTCCAGTGGAATCTAAAAATTAATTATATGAACAATATTAAAAGAATTAATTTTCAAAACTTTGGTTAATTTTTAATTAAATTTCTGATTTACAACTTTTTAAAAGCAAGTTTGATTCTCAAAAATTTAATGATTTCATTTTTACTAAATAGTAGAAAAATCTTACGTCTGATAGAACAGTGCAGTCATAACTGGGTTGATATTTATCTTGTTCATGGGGAGGTCTTTTCAAAATTTTATCACGGTCCTGTTTGTGTTTTCGATCAGCTCCTTTTAGTTTAAAAACTTTAACTTGACAAGAAGCGCCGTGTAATCTTGATCCATCTGGAAAACGAGTTTCAACTTGGATTCGAAAAGGTACACCTTTTTCACCGCCATGTTTTTTTGGTGTGAATTCAGTACTGATACAATTTATCTAAAAGAAAAAAAAATTAAATTTACTTGATACCATATTTTTAAATATATATAAAGTTTTAAATAAAAATGAATTTTCTTCTTTGAAATTTAAACAGTCAAAAAAGGAGTATTTAAATGAAATTTTATACCTTGACATAAACACCAACTTCTTTGGTGGGATCCCACATAAAATCCACACTGTTATTTGTTGGAGAAGGTTGACAAACATCTACCATACCATAACTAAGAGGCACATCTACTTCCAAAAGTCTTTCACCTGGTCTTGCACGTTGCCAAGCAAGAATTTGTTCTCGTTCAGTATATTGTAATCGTCTTTCATGAAAGCAAATACGAATAGTTGACTGGAACAAAAAAGTCGGATCTCCCTTCAGAGAAATTGTTAGCTCTGTTTGGGTATTTCGCATCTTTTAAACGCACACTAAATCAACGTGCTCACGCTAATTACTCATCATGACAGTTAAAATAATTTTCAATTTTAGATTTAACTTGAGCTCGAGATAAAGTTTGCAAAGAAAATGATCATAAAGCATTTTTTTAAGATGTTACGACCCAAACATGGATTGTCAATAAAATTTTATTTTCACAAGAGTTAGATGTAGAGCAATACCTTTAAAATTTTTCCACGATAAGCTGAAAGATCGCCTAGTTTTTTCAATTTAATCTCATATGATTGTCCTTGATTTAAGTAAGTTAAAGTTTCTTCATTCACCTTGGTAGCAATACTTGTCGCTGCTGCCAAAACGTACTGAAATCTGAAATAATAAAAATATCGAATTAAAAAATGAATAATAATATTAATTTTTCTGTTATAATAATTTTAATTTAAAATGAACTCACCGACAATCCTCATTGGATTCGTAACCTTGCTGAGAAGACGAAACATGATTTGTGGAAGAGGATGTTGGAGGATATTCTTCATTTGAATTATACAACAGCTGATGGAGACTAGGTGCATTTTGTCCATTGTTGTTGCTGTCTGGGTCCAGTAAACCGACATTTCCATTATTTGTTGGTGCAACATTAACACTTCTTTGTGAAACATGGTTTAAACTGAAAATCAAAAAATTAATTAAGTAAGTGAATTTATTTATTTTTATATATCAGACCTCAGCTTATAAGACTTTTTCCAACTTTTTTTTTTTTCAAAAAGACGATTTTTTTCTGCTTAATTTAATAAAATGCGACTTTTTCGACTTTTTCACATTTTTTGAAAAGAAATTTTTAAACAAAATACGTTTTTTTTTAGTATACAATGCAGATCTTCAGATCTTCTTTATTTAAATTATTTAACAAATTTTTCACTAAATTAATTATTTTTTATAATTTTAATGAAATTTTTCACAAATTCAATTATCTTAAACTATTTTTCAATTAAAATTTTTATGAAATTTAATAATTGTTTATAATTTTCAAAAAAAAATTACCAAATAAAATTACCAAATAAAATAACCAAAAATTTTTAATTCAAAATAACTTGAAATTTAATTATTTGCAAAAATTTCCATTTTTTAAAATGATTTTTATAATATTCTTCGAAAATTCAATTATCTGAAAGCATTTTTCAATAAAAAACTTTTGGTATTCAATTTTCGTATGTGATTTCTAATAAATTCTTCATCAATAGAATAGTGTAATTATTGTCTGAAATTTAACAAAATCTTTTAAAATTCAACTGTTTTCAAAAATTTCAATTAAAAAGCTTCTAAAATTTTATTATTTCTAAAATTTTCCATCTAAAGTTTTTTTAAAATTTAATAATATCAATTATAACTCTCCTGGGTGAAAATTATGTAATTTGATTTGATTTTGATGTCGAAATCAAATTTATTTTTACGAATTCATTTTTTTATTGCAATTTGACATCAAAATTCAAAATTTCTTTTTTTATTGCGATTTAAAAATCAAATTTTAGTTTATTTTTTAGGTTTACTTTAAATTTGACTTCAAATTGCAAATCAAAAAATAAATTAAAATTTGATTTTTAAATAGCAATAAAAAAATAAATTTGAATTTGACGTTAAATTGAAATAAAAAAATTGAATTTGTAAAAATAAATTTGATTTTGCAATAAAAATCAAATCAAATTACATAATCGATACCCTGAAATTCAATTATTTTTTAATGATTTTTATAATATTCTACGAAAATTCAAATATCCAAAACCATTTTTATCTTAAAAAGTTTTCAAGTTTTTTTTTTTTGTCTGCAATTTCTAATAAATTTTTTAGTGAAATCATCGAAAATTTTTAATTAAAAATCACTTGAAGTTCAATTAATTTCAAAAATCAAAATTGAAAATCTTTGAAAATTCAATTACGTTTAAAAAATGTTATCTAAAATTATTTGATAAATTATTTTTAGTTCTTTAAAATTTAATTATTGTCTGAAAATTAATAAAATCTTTTTAAATTCTATTATTTCTAAAAATTTCAAATTTAACCCTTTTTTAAAAAATATTATTTAAAAAAGAATTTTATTTGAAAATCTGTAAAACTTGATTCAATTACTTTTAAAAAAATGTTTTCCAAATTTACTTGGTAAATTATTTTTAATTCTGTCAAATTTAATTATTGTCTGAAAATTAAGAAAATCTTTGAAATACAATTATTTCTAAAAATTTCAACTTTAACTCTTCCAAAATTATTATTTAAAAAAAAAATTTATTTAAAAATCTATAAAACTTGATAAAGTATTGCCTGAAATTTTTTTTCACCATCAAAATTGAAAATTATGACAAAATTTTTAATTCGAATAAATTGCTTAAATCAGACTTCAAAAAATTATAAAAATGGAACTTTAAGAATTTTTTGAGATATTTCTCCTACTTAAATAAAATTTTGAAAATTTATCTTACAATTAGTTCGATTCTGAAATATTCGATATCAATTTTCTTGATAATATTCATTATCGAATTATTTTCATAACAGAATTAATAATATAAATTTAACATCTAATAACTTTAGTTATTCAAAGTAAAATATTTATAAACCAATTAAATTTTGTTAAAATAAAAAAATCGGTTTCTTCGCCTTTTTTTTGGAATATAAATCGACTTTTTTTGTGCCTTAAAGTCGATCCGAGGCCTGTATGTATAAAAAAAAATGTAGTTAACATTTTTTCATACAATTTTAGTGAATAAACAACTTTTTTTTGTTTATCAATAATAAAGAAACCTACAGAATACTATAAAATAATGAAGTTGAAGGATTAAATTCTGGACGACTTCTCATACTGTTTGACGAAGTGATTTATACGTCACCAAAACTTGACACCATTATCACAGATTGAAAATAACATTCTTAAGTAATAATTCAATTTCAAGTTCACGTTTAAACATTTGAAGGATATTGCATTATTAAAGAATTGCAAACTCTGAACTGGTAAAACTCAGTTTATACTAGTTCTATCATTGAATCCACATTTTTATATTAGTAGAAACGATAAAGCATTTTTTGTACACTAGAATATTTTAAAAAGAAATAGAAGCTTGAAAATCGATTAATATTTCTAATATTTTGTATTATACAAATTTCTATTCCAAAATTGAGTAATAACATTAAAAAAAAAAAAAAAAATCATTATTCTCAATTCAATAAACAAAACTGATGATCACATAATTTTAACAAAAAAAAAGGGTGTATATTTTATGAATTCTTTCTAATCAACTGTTTGAGCAACACGAACTTTGTGAACCCGTCGATAAATAAAGACTGAATTCAAAAGAGTCTTCAACTTCTAAAAGATGCGAGACTATCTGTTTTTGCTTTGCTGGAGAGATGCGCGGCATATTCCATTCATTTTATATTTAATTAATATTGTTTATTCTGTATTGAATATAAAATAGAAAAGAAAATTGAAAATGAAGAAAAATAGTCAAGGCAATTAGCTTAGAGGTTTTATAACAATAAGACATTGGAAAAAATCGCTTGAACCTTGGAGATCTAAATTTTAAAGAAGTATTTTTTTTTCATTAAAAAAGCGATATGATCGATCAAAAAAACTACGAAAAATATAATAAGAAAAATAGTGAAAATAAAGAGAGAATTATTGAAGAAGTTTATAGTGTTTTTTTTTTAACACTTACTTAGGATTGTTCGGCTGGTTTTCAGGAGACAGTGCTTCCTGCTTAAAGACTGTGAGCGAAGGTAAAGCCAGTAAAGCTTCGCTGCAACAATAAAATAAAGTAATATTTATAGTATAACTTTATTAAAATTGAAAGTTGCAGACTTTTTTTCAAAAAAATTCCTCTCTGAGACTTTAAATTGTTTTTCGAAATATCTGATTGTTACGCCAATTACCTTGACTTAACATGAAGCATTGTTTGAAAATTAAAAATCAAGGCTGATAGAAAAATTACATTTACATGAGAATGTGTATTCACATCTTAGAATAATTTCTAGTTCATTCTATCACTGTTATAACACCAACTGACACGGTAGTTACTGGTTCAATGGTTCAATCTGATGTAATTTAAGGGTTCGGCCTACACACATAGGTACCTTCCTACAGTACGTTGTGTGCCAAATTAAATTTTCATTATTATTCTCATTATCATTTTTATCAAAAAAAATTTAGTAATTTACATTTGAATTATACTCAACTGAATCAAAATTTCAGTGATACCTAATTTTATCAGAATATTATTATAAAATATAAATTAATTGCCATAGAATATCGGTCTATTTAAGTTTAAACTGAACTTTTCAGCAAATTTCTAGTTCTCTCTAATGGAAATATAAATATCAAGTTTTAAACACAATTTCTTTGATAAACTTTGTATAAATAATGTTTGTATACATACAAAACTGGTACAGACCAGTTAACTAAAGCTTCAATTTTTTTTTTTACATATTTTCTGCAAACTAGATTTAATATTTAAATTAAATCATTCTTAATAAATAAGTACATATTTTAATTAAAATATATTTTTTTAATCTTTTTTATTTTTTTAAATTAATTCATTTATTTAATATACAATTATAATTTGAAATTATCTTTGCAAGAAATTACAAAAATGAAATTAATTTTACTAGTTTCAAATATAAATAATTTCTTTAGATATTTTAGATTAAGTATTTTTTTTGTTATACATTTTTATAGTTGCCCTTTTATGGTCCCATTGGAATTTGTAATTTGTAATTTAATAATATTTATATTATTTATATTATTATTGAAAATATTCCACATTCCAATGGGACCATAAAAGGGCAACTATAAAAATGTATAACAAAAAAAATACTTAATCTAAAATATCTAAAGAAATTATTGTAATTTGTAATTTGTAATTTCTTAAATTACTTTAATTTTTAAATAAATAAATAAAAAATTGTAAAATTTTCAATAATAATATGTTCGGTCATATAAATTTTTTTTTTTTTAAGGCAGTGCTACTTTCTTTTTCATTATATATTGACCAGTCGGAAATCTGAACCCATTGATAACGTTGTTAAGTCATCAAGGTTAGCTTGAACCGGCGTATACTGGTTATTATACAATATTCAATGTATCCCACGTGGGATGAATTCTACAGAATCACTTCATGGAAATTTAAAAAAAAATTTACCCCACAGGAGTTTCGCCAAAAAATATATATTATTCGTAGTGTCAAACAGGAGACTTTTCCGAAATGAAGCAAGTACTATTCTTGTTAGGACTAAAATATTTACTCTCTAAATCTGATTTAGTAAAAAGTGAGCTAATTTAAATTAGTAAAAATATCCACTAATTTTTACTCACTTTTTACTTTTTAGTACAAAAAATTAAAAACTACTAAATCAAATAGTAAGATTTTACTAAAAATTCTTGCTGTGCACTTTTCGTTAATTTAAATTTAGAGAGATATTTTAAAAATTCTTTAAAGAAATATAATTTTTAATAAGAATTTAAAAACTCTAAATTCTCTCTATATATTTTTATTAATAATAATTTTTTATACCAATTTTTCCTTTGTCCCATACTGTAAACACGATATTTTTACAATTACAAAAAATAAAGTATCACAGGATAATTAAAAAGTGTTACATGTTTCTGATTGCTCGGTTAAATTTAAAAAAAAGCACACTTCACTCATTGCAATACTATACTGTCACATGTGTTTCACGCGCGTTATTTCCTCTTTGAACAAAATACGATTAATTACATTTCCTTATGCCATCGTACAGTGCGTCGCGAATTCGAGATAACATTAACTGAAACTCAATTTAAGTACCAAAATTTAAAGATTAATTTTTACATAAATTATTTAATTTTGTTCCATTATTTCATTAGATTTGAAAAATTCATTTCCTTTATTAATTGAATTATAAATTGAATTTTTGAATTAGAATTTGCAATTTGAAAATAATATCAAGATAATATAAAACGAGTACAGATATCAAATGAGGAAAGTTTGAAGAGGAAAACGATTATCAAAAGATGGCTCTCGTCTTGAAATTCAACATACCTACTTTATCAACAGATGTTGAAAATTTAATTTAGAAATGAAAATAATTAATAAATTAATTTCAACAATTTTAAATGAAAAAATAAAACATGTGCATCAACTTAGCGAAACAACTTCAAAAATCAAAAGTCTTATATAGCTCAAAATTTGCCGCTTTTTAGTCGCTAATTAGTTGTGGAAAAAAAAATTTTGTCGCTCTTATATTTTTTTTTATATAGGATGTTTCGCTAACTTTATATCAACTTAGCGAAACACCCACTCTATCTCGCTTAATTGTCAAGATTCAAATATTTGCTCTTGACAGGAATTTGCCGTTTTTTTGCCGTAACACAACCAAATAGTTCATTTTTCAAAAAAATCAAAAATTAAAAAAAAAAATTTTCAAAAATTTTTTCAAAAAAAAAAAAAATTTTTTTTTTAAATTTACTATTTATACATCAAAGCTGCTTAAATAAAATAAATAATATTAAATTATAAATTGAAGGGACACGAAAAATATAAAAAATTTCTTTGAAAAATTACACATTAAACTTGATGAAATCACTAAATAAAAATTTAAAATGGCCGTTCATTAATAACGTAATTGTTTTGACCCCCTCCCCTTCCCATGTCAAAAAATACGATTTTTTAGACTCACCTACACCCCTTCTTACGTACAGTATCATTTGAATTTTTTCTAAAAAGCACTAAACAAATCTATAGCGTTAAATTTTTATTTATTATAAAAAATTACGTAAGATTAATTTATACCCCTTCACCATATAAGGAAACATAAGATTTTTCAAACCTTCCAACACTAAGGTTACTTAAAAAATTAATGCATGGCCACCTAGTCCATTACTCCCAAAAGAAATTAGTCAAATAAATTATTTACCATTTATTTAAAGAATTTTGACTACATTATTTTATGTTTCAGATAAAATAATAATCACAATAAATCAAAAACTGTCGTACGGGAAATTCATTATGTGCAATTTTCAACAATATAATAATTTTTATTAAAAACTTCTATTTCAAAAAACATACTTTCAAATTGTTAAAAAACATTTAATTTCTCATTAAATATTCACAGCAAAATCAAATTCACCTCTAATCATCTGAAAATCTCTTACGGCAAATTCAGAATGCAAAACTTTATAAAAAAAATAATAATATTTATTTAAATAATAAATATTTATGAAAAACCTCTCTTATCTCGTTTATATAATTTTTTCTACCCATTAAATGATAACGACAAAATCCGAATCACCGTTAATCATCTCAAAATGTCTCACGGCAAATTCAGGATGCAAAACTTTTTTAAAAAAATAATAATATTTGTTTAAATAATAAATATTAATGAAAAACCTCTCTTATCTCGTTTATATAATTTTTTCTACCCATTAAATGATAACGACAAAATCCAAATCACCGTTAATCATCTCAAAATGTCTCACGGCAAATTCAGGATGCAAAACTTTATAAAAAAAATAATAATATTTATTTAAATAATAAATATTTATGAAAAACCTCCCTTATCTCTTTTAAATAATTTTTTCCGGCCATTAAATGATAACGACAAAATCCGAATCACCGTTAATCATCTCAAAATGTCTCACGGCAAATTCAGGATGCAAAACTTTATAAAAAAAATAATAATATTTATTTAAATAATAAATATTTATGAAAAACCTCCCTTATCTCGTTTATATAATTTTTTCTACCCATTAAATGATAACGACAAAATCCAAATCACCGTTCATCATCTCAAAATGTCTCACGGCAAATTCAGGATGCATAACTTTTATTTGTCGTTAGAGGTTTTTAGTTGATTTACAGTGTATTTCAATTTGTCGTGAATGTTTGAAGGTGCCAGAAAATTTTTTATCCTGTTAAAAGTTGTTTTTTATTAAAAATTTTTTTTTAAAAATAATAATTAGGAATTTTTGAAAAAACTTTGCTCGCAGAATTTGTCGTTAGAGGTTTTTAGTTGATTTACAGTGTATTTCAATTTGTCGTGAATGTTTGAAGGTGCCAGAAAATTTTTTATCCTGTTAAAAGTTGTTTTTTATTAAAAATTTTGTTTTAAAAATAATAATTATGAATTTTTTGAAAAAACTTTGCTCGCAGAATTTGTCGTTAGAGGTTTTTAGTTGATTTACATTGTATTTCAATTTGTCGTGAATGTTTGAAGGTGCCAGAAAATTTTTTATCCTTTTAAAAGTTGTTTTTTATTAAAAATTTTGTTTTAAAAATAATAATTATAAATTTTTTGAAAAAACTTTGCTCGCAGAATTTGTCGTTAGAGGTTTTTAGTTGATTTACAGTGTATTTCAATTTGTCGTGAATGTTTGAAGGTGCCAGAAAATTTTTTATCCTTTTAAAAGTGGTTTTTTATTAAAAATTTTTTTTTAAAAATAATAATTATGAATTTTTTGAAAAAACTTTGCTCGCAGAATTTGTCGTTAGAGGTTTTTAGTTGATTTACAGTGTATTTCAATTTGTCGTGAATGTTTGAAGGTGCCAGAAAATTTTTTATCCTGTTAAAAGTTGTTTTTTATTAAAAATTTTGTTTTAAAAATAATAATTAGGAATTTTTGAAAAAACTTTGCTCGCAGAATTTGTCGTTAGAGGTTTTTAGTTGATTTACAGTGTATTTCAATTTGTCGTGAATGTTTGAAGGTGCCAGAAAATTTTTTATCCTTTTAAAAGTGGTTTTTTATTGAAAATTTTGTTTTAAAAATAATAATTATGAATTTTTTGAAAAAATTTTGCTCGCAGAATTTGTCGTTAGAGGTTTTTAGTTGATTTACAGTGTATTTCAATTTGTCGTGAATGTTTGAAGGTGCCAGAAAATTTTTTATCCTGTTAAAAGTTGTTTTTTATTAAAAATTTTTTTTTAAAAATAATAATTAGGAATTTTTGAAAAAACTTTGCTCGCAGAATTTGTCGTTAGAGGTTTTTAGTTGATTTACAGTGTATTTCAATTTGTCGTGAATGTTTGAAGGTGCCAGAAAATTTTTTATCCTTTTAAAAGTGGTTTTTTATTGAAAATTTTGTTTTAAAAATAATAATTATGAATTTTTTGAAAAAATTTTGCTCGCAGAATTTGTCGTTAGAGGTTTTTAGTTGATTTACAGTGTATTTCAATTTGTCGTGAATGTTTGAAGGTTCCAGAAAATTTTTTATCATTTTAAAAGTGGTTTTTTATTAAAAATTTAGTTTTAAAAATAATAATTATGAATTTTTTGAAAAAATTTTGCTCGCAGAATTTGTCGTTAGAGGTTTTTAGTTGATTTACAGTGTATTTCAATTTGTCGTGAATGTTTGAAGGTTCCAGAAAATTTTTTATCATTTTAAAAGTGGTTTTTTATTAAAAATTTAGTTTTAAAAATAATAATTATGAATTTTTTGAAAAAACTTTGCTCGCAGAATTTGTCGTTAGAGGTTTTTAGTTGATTTAAAGTGTATTTCAATTTGTCGTGAATGTTTGAAGGTGCCAGAAAATTTTTTATCCTTTTAAAAGTGTATTTTTATTGAAAATTTTGTTTTAAAAATAATAATTATGAATTTTTTGAAAAAATTTTGCTAGCAGAATTTGTCGTTAGAGGTTTTTAGTTAATTTACAGTGTATTTCAATTTGTCGTGAATGTTTGAAGGTGCCAGAAAATTTTTTATCCTTTTAAAAGTGGTTTTTTATTAAAAATTTAGTTTAAAAAATAATAATTATGAATTTTTTGAAAAAACTTTGCTCGCAGAATTTGTCGTTAGAGGTTTTTAGTTGATTTACAGTGTATTTCAATTTGTCGTGAATGTTTGAAGGTGCCAGAAAATTTTTTATCCTGTTAAAAGTTGTTTTTTATTAAAAATTTTGTTTTAAAAATAATAATTATAAATTTTTTGAAAAAACTTTGCTCGCAGAATTTGTCGTTAGAGGTTTTTAGTTGATTTACAGTGTATTTTAATTTGTCGTGAATGTTTGAAGGTGCCAGAAAATTTTTTATCATTTTAAAAGTGGTTTTTTATTAAAAATTTAGTTTTAAAAATAATAATTATGAATTTTTTGAAAAAACTTTGCTCGCAGAATTTGTCGTTAGAGGTTTTTAGTTGATTTACATTGTATTTCAATTTGTCGTGAATGTTTGAAGGTGCCAGAAAATTTTTTATCCTGTTAAAAGTTGTTTTTTATTAAAAATTTTGTTTTAAAAATAATAATTATAAATTTTTTGAAAAAACTTTGCTCGCAGAATTTGTCGTTAGAGGTTTTTAGTTGATTTACAGTGTATTTCAATTTGTCGTGAATGTTTGAAGGTGCCAGAAAATTTTTTATCCTTTTAAAAGTGGTTTTTTATTAAAAATTTAGTTTTAAAAATAATAATTATGAATTTTTTGAAAAAACTTTGCTCGCAGAATTTGTCGTTAGAGGTTTTTAGTTGATTTACAGTGTGTTTCAATTTGTCGTAAATGTTTAGAGGTACTAAAATTTTTTTAAACATGATGAATCCTGTTTTTACAATATTTGTTTTTTAATAATAATTGTTATTTTTTCGAAAACATTATGCATTATGAATTTTTGGTAAGACATTGTTATTTGGTTTATGATGATTTTGTTCTAAACAATCAATAGTGAACAATATTTTAAAGCATAATTATATAGTAGTTGAATGTTTTTGTGAAAATTATTAACTGGGGGTAAAAATTTAATTTTTTTTATTTTGTCGTTTGATATGATTATTATTGTTATATATTTATTATAATTCTTATATCCCGTTAGGAATTAAGATTGAAATTTTTTTTTGAAAACAAGATGAAAGCCATAAACGCTAGATTTATAGATATTTATAGATTTGTTATACGACATTTGTAGATTATATATAATTATTTTAATTTTTCATTTTACTATTTATAAGAATAATGTAAAATTAATTTAAAATATTTGATAGGTTTAAGTGGAAAATAATTGTTTCTTTAATAAAAATTATTTTATTATTTTTATTATTATTATTATTATTATTATTAATGAAAAGTTTTTATATAATCGTAATTTTTTAAAAATAAAAAACAATTTTTTAAACACGTGGAAAAATTATACGTGAAGATTTTCGTTTTTTATGGTAAAATAAAACTAATTTGCTATGTTTGTTAATAATTGTAATAGGTGTATTTATGCAAATGAACTTTGTTTTTAACAGATAACAATCAAATTGAAAATTTTAAATTAATTATTTTATTTAAGTAGCTTTGATTTATAAATAGTAAATTTAAAAAAAAAAATTTTTTTTTTTGAAAAAATTTTTGAAAATTTTTTTTTTTAATTTTTGATTTTTTTGAAAAATGAACTATTTGGTTGTGTTACGGCAAAAAAACGGCAAATTCCTGTCAAGAGCAAATATTTGAATCTTGACAATTAAGCGAGATAGAGTGGGTGTTTCGCTAAGTTGATATAAAGTTAGCGAAACATCCTATATAAAAAAAAATATAAGAGCGACAAAATTTTTTTTTCCACAACTAATTAGCGACTAAAAAGCGGCAAATTTTGAGCTATATAAGACTTTTGATTTTTGAAGTTGTTTCGCTAAGTTGATGCACATAAATAAAACTGTTTTATATTTTTACACAAGAAAATGTAAATTTAACAGTATTTAGAAAATATTTTTAAATGAGGTGTTTTTGGAAATTTTTACCATAGTTTATAGAAAGGAATTTCCTCAAAATTTGAAGAAAATCTATTGTTTCAAAAACAATAGAACTATCTTAATGTCTTCATATAGATAATACAAATTATAAAAATGCAAGAAATTCTTCAACAATCACTTAATCTTCATATTAATTTTCATTTAAAAATAAATTTATAGCCATCATTATATCTAATTACAGAGGTTGCTACGGTTTCAAAATTTTTAAATTCCCTGGTTTTCCAGACCATTTTTCTTAAAATTCCCTGACTAAATATAAAATTTTTGTAATAAAGTTTTAGCTGATTTTATATAAAAAAAATTCAACGATATTAACAATAAAATATTTATATGGTTATTAATTAAAAAAAAATTTTTTATCTAAATTGAAAAATTATGTATTGGAGTTTTTTTAAAATTTAAAAAAAAAGAAAAGAAAGGCATTAGAGTATTGTCAACTTGATTAATGTAAATTTACACGATTCAAATACGGAAAATTAATTTTTGAAAAAATATTTTTTATAAAATTCCCTGAGTTTTACAGGTTTTCCCTGAATGAAAAAAAATTTCCTGACAATTCCAGATTTTCCCTGACCGTAGCAACTCTGAATTACTTTTGTTTTTGTAAATATTTTTAACTGATGCAAATTGTACATAACATTTTTTTGTTTCTTAAGATAAGAAAAATTAATTTTTTAAATAGCTGTCGAATTGGATTTTTATTAGAAAATAAAATTATGATAAAAAATAAATTTTTTTACCTCATATTATAAGAAGCAACAGCAGTGGCAAGATCGGAGGCGGCAAGAGCTGACAAAGAATTATCAAAATCAGCAGCCAAATGTTCTGCAAGTTCTTCCACTTGTGTAGTCCAACCTTGTCCAGATCCATTACTTCCTACAGATCCTGAAAACCATATATAATTTTAAGTGAAAAATGAAAAAACCTTTTGCTATGGAAATAGAATAATTATTAATTATTGTAGTTACAAAAACATGTATTTTATCTCGTTTTATTTTATCATTAAGAAAATGAAGATATGAAAACAAATGTAGCCAAGGTTAAAATAGTAATAATGATCTTTTAACCTTGAATTAAATATTTATCTGTAAGATCCAAGTTTATCACTTCATTAAAATAAAAAGCATTAATAGTTTAGTCTAAATAATTAATATTATTCGAGCATTAAAAGAGAATATTATTTAAAAAAAAAAATTGTTTACAAATAACAACGGATTTTTTACAATAATTCACCTAATTTTTCATTTCTACCAATGATAATCATTTAAAGCTTTGAAATACAAACTAGTTCATTCTTAATCAAGTTGAAGAGAATTTTATCTTAATAAAGTGTCTGTAAGTAACAAAGCTTTCGCCAAAGGGTGTCAATAACCTCATTACATTATCTTAAGAATATTACATTGTTTACTGACTGTAACCAAAGCAACTTTTTTATTCCGCTTAACATTTTTTATAACAAATGGTTAATTTAATTTTGCTTTTTACGTATTGATTTGAAATTTTTTTTGAAATTGATCATCGGGATTAATTTTAAGTATAAATTTCCGAAATAATTTGTTGCTTTGATTTTTTTTTTTTTTTGCTTATTGTACCTTGAAGACAATTATAACCAACATGATATTGATGTTGCATGATTCTGTCTTTTTCTTCCTGTCGTCGTCGAGTTTTCAAAGTTATTGGATAACGACGACTTTGAAGGTATGCACCCCTTGGTCTCTCAACTTCTGACCACTTCATTATCTACACTTTTACACGATTTTTCTAATCATTCGCACAAAAAAATAATAATAAAACTCTCCCACAAATTATTCCAATTTTTGCAAAGATGAACAACTAGAAGTCTGCTTCCAAGTGGTCAATATCTGAGATATGTTGTGTACCGTCGAGTTATCAAAGTGACCACGTGGTCAAAACGGCGTCGAATCTCGGGCGAAGAGCTTCAAAGTTTTTCTCTTATTTTTTTTTTTGTTTCATATATATATAAATAATTTCTAAAATAATTTTCTAAATTTTTAATAAATACGAAATTTTAAACAATAAAAAATGTTTTCTTCTGAGAAAATAATTAATATTACAAACGAGAATTTGACATTATTGAAATTAATAAGTTATATAAAACGAAATATGGGAGTGAATATATAGATGTGAGTAAATTCTTATCTTTGAATTTGAATCTTAAAGAGACCAAACTGTGAGACGAAGAGAGTGTTAGGTAATGCAGTCAGAAGAAAACATTTTAGTGCCTGCGACCATGCATTGGAGGTCGTTTCATTACGACCTCATGAATGATGTGCTGACGATGATGATGATGATGATGACAATAATGATATAAGTTAACATTTAACTGATAATAATATACAACTTTGTTTCTTTTACTAATAAAAAAATTTATTTTATTAAGATTCATTGCTCTCAATTAAGTGGAAAATAATTTTTTAAAAGTTTATTCCACTTGCAAATTAAAAAATCCGCCTTGAAATATACTTTTTCAATGAAAGAACAATTTTAATAGTTAAAAATATTGTATACCAACGATAAAATTAGCTGAATCATCTATAATAAATCTGATACTTTTTTGAACTTCTATCATAAAATAAATCAGATTTAAAAAAAATTATATTACCTTCTAGGATTATTAATTAATAGAAAAATAAATAAACATAAATAAAAATAAGTAGATTTTTTTAAAGACCAGAAAATTAATACACTTGAAAAATATTTGTATGAAATAATTATTATGTGAACAAATATCAAAATTTATCAAAAAAACTATTTTTTTCTTTTGTTAATAAAAAAAAAAATGAGAAGATTTTCTATTTTTCATTCTTAAAAACAGCATTTCTTGAAGCTAAAGTCTTTGTGATTATTCAAAAATTATTCGTCAAGTGCATTAACGTGAGATGGTATGCATGTAATATTTGACCAGACAGGAAGTTTGTAATTTTCATTAGTTTTAAAATGAAAACAGGTCACACACGACAATCTCTTATTAATGCATACACATGTTATTTAGGCATATGTTTCAAGTAGCATAGGCGGATATTTATGTTATTTGATTAAATTTTTTTTTAAACTCCCAATAACAGACATTTGTTCTATCACCATAAATTTGCAGTAAATTACAGTAAAAATTAGATACAAAATTTAAAGAAAAATTTGGTACTAATTTTATAATTGAAAAGTATTTCAATTTTTAATAGATGAAAAAATTTTTAAAATTATATTCTCTCTTTCATTGTAATATATTTCACGTGTTTTTTTTTAAATTTTCGAAAATATCCATTCTTTATTGAAGAGAAGACAATCATTAAAAACGTGTCGACTATCTTATAAGATTAGATTCATCCATTCAAGTTGGTGTTTTTCTAAAATTCTCAAAGATAAAAACTCCAAATTTTTTTTTTTTTTTTTTATTAAAAGTCTTAAATGTCTACTTTTAAAAGACTTTATTTGACTTGTTATCGTACCTTTGTGTCTGAGATATGATATCAGAGGATTGAATACTTTCCTCTACTTATGCTTGTTATGTAGTTTTGCGTGCTTCGAAATCAGATCAATAATAATTGAAAACAATTTTTCACCTAATTAAATTCTAGGTAACATAACAAGTTGTTTCAGAGAAAAGAATTGTTTTTTTGTTTTTTTTTAATTGAAATGAAGAAAAAAGAAAAAAATTTTTTATGAAAAATTGTAAATATTGATATACCTTCGGTTCTAGCATGTTTTCTGTCGATTTCCTCGATTTGCTGCAAAGAATCCTCGGCTGTACGTTTGAGGAGATTTTTCGTTTGATTAAGAACAATTGATGTTGAATTATTATGGGGTGACGCATTATTAGAACGTATTTGTGATTCCGATTCTGGAGAATTTTTAACCATATTTCGCTTCTCTTGCCAAAGTTCATTGCTCGGGCCATGATATCCCATTGACTGGTGAAAAAAAAAAAAATAAGCAATTTAGTACTCTTATAATGAAAATAATAATCTTGATAATCAAGAAAAATTATTATATATTTTTCTGAGAAAATATCAATTAAAGACTAATTACATTTATGAGCGAACGTAAATAACAAATTAAAAGACAATTGAACATTGTGTAACAGTGAAAAAGACAAATTAACTTACTTGAGCTGTGATCCCTTCACATACATTTTGATGGCTTGATGTAACTTGTTGAAAGGATGGCGAAGAATTACTGTTTAACCACATTGCTCCACTGAGGGTTTCAGGTCCAGTATCCATAATTAATTGGAGCTCCATTTGAAAGAAGTTGCTAGTTCTTTTTTTTTTAAAAAAAAGTTTATTTGTCTAATTTATAAAAAATTTCCTAAATATTTTCCCTCGTGCTTTTTTTTATATATATATATTAAAAACAAATATTTTTTATTTCATTTAAACTTTTCTCTCCATCAGATTGTCTCTCATAGTAAAAACCATAAAATTTCCTCGAGACTTTATTACACTTTATCTCGTCTTTTTTTTGTGAGAGCTAATCTACGTTTACTGAAGATTTCCTTGCACCCTTTTTCTGTGATAATGATAACGGAAAGGTTTTAAACATTCCCCTTTTTTTTTGCACAATTCTAACCGTTAAAAATGGCAAGAACCCTTCCTTAGAACATTACAAAGAAACTGTTGTACAATTTCTTAATTCCAGTAGTCTCGCGCTGTCGATGAGTTTCCAAAAGTGCGCAACCACGCGACTTGAGTGATAAAAAACGTGAAAAAACAACAAATGCATCACCGAACACCATCACAAGGCCTTGACTGCAACGCATTTTGTTTAGAATTTTTGTTAAACTTGAAGAATAATCGGCAACTTTATTTTTAACGTCTTGTTAGTTTTTCTCTTCTTTTATTTTCAACCTCAAAAAATTTTCAAATTAAAGCAAGAGCTTAAAGTCGTTGACTTTCTCTGTCAACACTTGTTTATCACTTTACACAAGTGTGGCACCTTTACGAGTATTGTTAACGTCACAACCTGAAGTTCAGATATACTCTGAATTGAATAAAATGTATTGACAATTTTTTTTTTTTCTTTTTTTTTTTACTTTCTAACGACTATGGCTTGCACACTTGTTAGTGTCTTGATAGTAGAAAAACCTTCTTGACATTTCGTCATCACATTTTCATGATTCTCCGCTCCATGGCGAGGGTAAAATTAATATCCAACTTTTCTGAATAATATCAAAAAAATTTCTCACTTTTTCACTCAAATATGAACGACAACTTTTTTTTATTTAATTACCAAACACTAATAGCCTAATGGCTCGCTTTATCTATCATCAATCTTCTCAAGTTTTCTCTTTTTCTTCTTTTTCTCTTTTTCTCAAAATAAAATACCTAAATTCAATGTTTTTCAAATAACAAAAGCCAATACAATTGTGCCATTCAGCTGGTGTTCACTTCTGTGATTGAAAATGAATATTAAAATATTTTTTCAAATTCTACACTTTTTTTAAAAAAAAAAAAAAATATCCAAATCAATTTATTCCAATTGTTTTCATTTATAACTTTTAATAATAATATATCCTCTCCTTGACTTTGAGAAAACTAAGAACTTTTTTTTCTGATTTTTCAAGAGAAAAATCGATGCTGACAGTTTGAAAGTGCTGTGACAAATACTCAAGTGAAGCAGTCGCATACGCGACAATTATGAGTTGTGATCTAATCCCAAGAAAGATTAAGAGGTCGACCAATAGGAGTGGGGAAAGAGAATCGACCTGACCCTCAATTGGAACCACTCAACGCTTGATGAACAAAACGCGTTTATCCCCCGTACCTTATGATTCTTGTGAAATTAAATAAACTTTTCTCAAGATTTCTTCAAGAATGACAACAGTATTAAAAAAAATTTTTTTTTTTTTTTTTTAATTCACTTGGTCAACTATTTTTTTGTTTTCTCAACAACTTTTTGAAATTAAAATTTTCCACTCTCTCACAATAAAGTTTGGTGTGACTCTAATTTGAAAATAATTCCAATACGCATCAAAGGCACTTAAAGAATTCTTTTTTTTTTTTTTTTGATTAGTAATCTCGATAGCGACAAATTACTCTTTTATTTGTTCAGTAAATCTTCAAAGTTGTTAATTCTTTTTCATAAATTGTTATCTCCAGACAATTGAGTTTTGTTTCTCTCGTCAACTGAATAAAATATTTTGAGAATCAGATCCAGAAACGTGATACAAAAATCTGAAACAAACGAATAAAAAATTTTTTAAATAAATTGTTTGATTTTTATTAAAAATTTTTTTTTTAATTAGTATAGAAAATTAGTAGAAAAAATAAATTTTAGTAGAAATAAAAAGTTTTTTTTATCAAAAAAAAAAAAATATTCAATTTTCCGTTACTGTACATTTATTTACTTCTTTAACAAATGATGACCAACTTGATGAAGCAAAACGCCTGAGGTTTGTTTGATTAATGTCAATCGGTAAGGTCAGACTTTAAACGCATCTTACTCTTTTCAAGATGAATTATAAACTATATCTATATATCTAAAGAAACCTGCATGCCTACAAAACTCCAATGGCACTGATTAAAAACACACATAAATATATATATATATATATATATATATATATATAATTTACATTATACAGTACCAAAAAAAATAATTTAAAAAATATTTTTTTTCCCTACACACACCATTTTTGTATAACAAACACATTTTGCTTAAATATTTGATGATATTAATTCGATAAAAAAAAATTTTTTAAATACTAAATTAATAAAGAAATTTTTATCCATTCCTCTCTTATTGGAGGAAGATATCGCGAGAACTGAAATAGTTTTCACTTTATTTCACAGATAAATATCACGTCTTTTTGAAAAACATAAACCTTCATAATTATTAATGCAAACAAGAAGAGTAGAATTTTCAATTAAAGAATCAATTTTGATTTTATTCACTTAAAAAAATATTTTACACACATTTTTTAGAAGATACAAAAATTTAAATTTATGAAACTACACTTAAAAGGCAAAAAAAAAAATGTTCTCAACACAGTAAATAAATTTGAAGTACATTTTGGGATTGTCGAGGCTATTTTACAATAAATGTCCCCCCCTACCGATTTAATTACAAAAGTGTAAAGGAAGTAATTTACTCGCTTTTTTTTGTATATCATCACATTGTGTTATCAGTACACAATCATTATTATTTCATTTAAACTGAATAGAATTTTATTTACTTAAATTTTATGACATTTAATTTAGTCTTTTGAATTTGAAATTTTAAGAAAAAATGGAGGTTTCAAAGATAATATAAATCAATCTTTGTAAATCCCTTATTACAAAATGATACGTTTAAACTACGATATGGTTTCCGTCATTTGTTTACATTCAGATTCGAGAATCCCACACCAGACTTGATAACGATGATTAAGACCAGGTAACGAATGCAAGACAATTTTACTTCCAAGGACTCCTGAAGAAATATTTGCCTTTCCGTAAAATATTTTATTAACTCTTGAATGTAATAATGCCATTGCACAAAGTGGACATGGTTCCTCAAGTAAAAATATCCAATATCCTGTACATAAATAAGATCCCTCTTTAGATGTATCATTATCTTTTAAATTTTCTAATCTTTTCTCTCTCGTCTTTATGAATGGTTCTAATTCAGGAAATACAATATGTGACAAGGATGCCGGATAACAAAGTGGAATTGCCCCTTGAAATTTCTTTTTATTCTCTAATTTATCATCATAAGTGTTGTTTTCAGAGGAAATTTTACTGTTCAATTCCCACACACCACCACCTTGTAATTTAGCTACAAGATCAATGGCCAACATTGATGCATGATACATTGGATGTAAATTGATTTTAGCTGCTGCTAATGATAAAATATTTCCACTTTCTGGATCAATTATCATTGCACTACCGGTACAATATTCATTTCCAATGGATTCTCTTTTTGCAGCTTCAATTATTAATCGCATACATTTTTCCATTGAATTTAATTGATTATCGTCAAATTCTTTGCCAGATAATATAGACTCAAGTCTAATGTCAGGATGAAAATTAATTGGCCATATTTTAGAAGCTATAGCTGCTTGTATTTTTGTTTTTGGTGCTTTAAGTGGAACAGAAATGATTTCAAATTTATCTTCAAGAAGAGTAAGGTCAAATCCTTTATTTATGAGAAAAGATTTTAATTTTTCTTGTGATAAATTAAAATTCTCTTTTACATAAGAAATTTCTTCGTTAGTTTTTGATAATGTCTCTTTACATGGACAAATAAGAATTTTTTGATAAGAACATCTTTTTAGATGATGAAATCCGGGAAGCACGGCAGAAATACTTTGAATTGCTTTAGATATTGTTTTTCTATCTTTTAATATTCCAACATAAAATTCAATATAGCTTGGTTCTTCTGTTAATTCTGGTGCTAATACAGGTTTTGCGATCCAGGTTCTGATTGTAGATTCCAGTTTCATTTTTTTTGACATTTTCTCCACTGGGACATCCTCAGATTTTTTTTTGACTCGCATCCGTGAATGTTCCTGAAAAGATGCTGCCTTCATTTCTTGTTTTGTTGTGAAATAATTTTCTTATAAATTTACAAGAAAATAATAATTCTTAGATAAAATATTTAAAAAAAATGAAACTGATACAAAATTAAAAAAATTATCTCTCAGATTTTTTTTTTTTTACAATTCTTAGTTATAACACGCGGATAAAATACTCTAAATCTTAAATTGCTGTTAACTTAGGCCACGGTCGAATCATTTGTCGCAGTTAGACGCAATTGTTTCTCTACTCTATGAGATATAAACGATTGTCTTTGCAAATATTTGAAAAAAAAAAATTACTAACTTTTTTAAGATCAATGAATTTTAAAATTATTCATTAAAGGATAAATTTAGATTGAATAATATACAATTGGATTTTGACTTAAATAAAATCGATAAAGGATTCGAATTACGTAATAAAATTATTTCTTGCGACACGTACTTTAACGCCAACTTGACGTCATATATAAAATATCTAATTAATGCTCGTGAATAGCTTTATAAAATAATTTAGATTCTATGAGATATACTGACAAAACGTTAAAAGTCATAAAAAATTTGAAAATCTAAAATGTATATTTTCTTAATGTCATATATTTACAAACTTATTTTTAACATAAATAAGGTAATAGATAATTTTATCATAAATTCGTATTTTCATATTTCAGGAATGTATTGATAAAGTTGATTTATCAAAAAAGTAAAATTACATCTGCATATTTCCAATTCACGTGTATAAGAGCTATTTCAATAAAAAGTACTATTTAATCTATATCAAAGTTTATAAATTTTATTCCACATTTCCTCATTTTGGAAAAATGCCAATTTTTTCAGTCATCAATAAGATGCGAGATAAAATATTAGAACATACAAATTTAACAATTTCTATCAATAATTTAAAAATAATTTTTTCATAGATCTCAAATATCATTATTTGATTTTAAATTCATATTACAATTCCAGGCCTCGGATCGACTTTAAGGCACAAAAAAAAGTCGTTTTAGTCGATTTATATTTAAAAAAATCGAAAAAGTCTATTTCTTTTTAACAAAATTTAATTGGTTAATGAATATTTTACTTTAAATAACTAATGTATAAAATTAAATATTAATATAAATTAATTTAGATATTAAATTCATTTTATTAATTCTGTAATGAGAATAATTCTATAATAAATATTATCAAGAAAATTTATTTCGAATATTTCAGAATCAAATTAATTGTAAGACAAATTTTTGAAAATTTTATTTCAGCAGAAAAAATTTCAAAAAAAAATTCTTAAAGTTCCATTTTTATAATTTTTTGAAGTCTGATTTAAGCAATTTATTTGAATTAAAAATTTTGTCATAGTTTTCAGTTTTAATGGTCAAAAAAAATTTCAGGCAATACTTAATCAAGAATTACAGATTTTTAAATAAAAATTTTTTTTTAAATAATAATTTTGGAAGAGTCAAAGTTGACATTTTTAGAAATAATTGAATTTCAAAAAATTTTTGTTAATTTTCAGAAAAAAATTAAATTTTACAGAACTAAAAATAATTTATCAACACAGAAAATTAAAAGGCATTAAAATAAGCTGCAACGCTTATTATTTTAATCCAATTTTGCTTATTTTAATCCATTTTGGTATTAAAATAAGCAAAATTGGATTAAAATAATAAGCGTTGCAGCTTATTTTAATACCTTATAATTTTCTGTGAAAATAATTTTAGATAACATTTTTCAAAAGTAATTGAATTTTCAAAGATTTACAATTTAGATTTTTGAAATTAATTGAACTTTAAGTGATTTTTAAATTAAAATTTTTGATGAATTTCACTAAAACATTTATTAGAAATTTATTAGAATACAATAATTTGAAAACTTTTAAAGAGAAAAATGGTTTCAAATAGTTCAATTTTCGAAAGAATATTATAAAAATCATTAAAAATAATTGAATTTCAGGTGAGTTATAATTGAAATTATTAAATTTCAAAAAAAAAATTTAGAAGCTTTTAAATAGAAAATTTTTGAAATTAATTGAATTTCAAAAGATTGTGTTAAATTTCAGATAATAATTATAAGAAGAGAAATTTTTCGTGATTTCTGTTCATGAAGAATTTATTAGAAATAAACATAAAAAAATTGAATTCTAAAAGTTTTTAATTAAAAAATGCTTTCAGATATTTGAATTTTCGAAGAATATTATAAAAATCAATAAAAATAATTAAAAATAATTGAAAATAATTGAAATTTTTAAAAATAAATAAATTTCAAAAAATTTTGTTAATTTTCAGACAATAATTAAATTTTACAGAACTAAAAATTATTTATCAAATAATTTTAGATAACATTTTTAATTTTTTAAACGTAATTTAATTTTCAAAGATTTATAATTTAGATTTTTGAAATGAATTTAACTTTAAGTGATTTTTAATTTAAAATTTTTGATGAATTTCACTAAAAAATTTATGAGAAATTGCAGACAAAAATACAATAATTTGAACACTTTTGAAGAGAAAAATGGTTTCAAATAGTTGAATTTTCGAAAGAATATTATAAAAATCATTAAAAATAATTGAATTTCAGGTGAGTTATAATTGAAATTATTATATTTCAAAAAAAAAAAAAAATTTAAAAGCTTTTAAATTGAAATTTTTGAAAATAATTAAATTTCAAAAGATATTGTTAAATTTTAGACAATAATTATAATAAGAGAAATTTTTAGTGATTTCTGTTGATGAAGAATTTATTAGAAATAAACATAAAAAAATTGAATTCCAAAAGTTTTTAATTAAAAAAAAATGCTTTCAGATATTTGAATTTTCGAAGAATATTATAAAATTAATTGAAAATAATTTAAATTTTCGCAAATAATTAAATTACAAGTGATTTTGAATTAAATCTTTTTGGTAATTTTATTTGCTAATTTTTTTTTGAAAATTATAAACAATTATTAAATTTCATAAAAATTTTAATTTTGAAAACTAGTTTAAGATAGTTGAATTTGTGAAGAATTTCATTAAAATTATTAAAAGTATTTAATTTAGTGAAGAATTTTAGTTAAAAATTTATTAAATAAATGAAATTAAGAATATTTAAAAAAAATCTGCATTGTATACGAAAAAACGTATTTTATTAAAATTTTTTTTTTTAATGTAAAAAAAAGTCAAAAAAGTCGCATTTTATTAAAATAAATGGCAAAAAAAGTCGTATAATCCGAAGCCTAGAATTGAAATTCCAGTGTCTTCTGACTGATAAAAATTGATAATCTCTTTTTAAATAAATGTCAAGATTCATATATATATATTATACATAATAGTATGTAGAGCGTGAGACAAATGCAAGTTGGAGGATGTGCAAATGGTGAATTTTTGAACGGATAATACGTGCAGATAAATACGATTAGATTACAATATGATGTTAAAGTATGACGTCGTTGGAGCATATTTGCTTCGTTGAGAGACTGTTCATGAAGATGATTGTCCACTGTCGTGGATTGCGGGGAAGAAGATAATTGAAGTATTCATCGCATAATGGAAAGTGAATTAAATTGACCTTGAGTTTGTGAAAACGTGCGGTCCAAACTTTGGTCTCTTCATGACCCTAATTTTTAAACTTTTCATTTACAACAATATAGAAATGTGTTTTTATTTTCTCATCGAAACGAATTCTATTAAAAAAAAAAAAAAGGTCGATTAACATTATATTAGTACTTTGAATTATGATGCATAAACAAATATTTCATAATTCTAATCATTTCATTATTTCTTAGAAGAAAATTTTCAATGTTTCCTTATGGAATTATTATCTCGTCATTGTCATCAATCTTTTTCATTAACTTTTTTTTTATAAATATTTTTAATTATTTCTTTAGAAAATTTTTAATAAAAATTATAAACTAAATGCGAAAGAAAAATAATAATTTAAATTAATTTTAGTGTTCATAATATTCATAAATTTATAAGAGTATAAAGATTAATAAAACTGAGAATATCAAAGTAGAGATTTAGAGAATTCAATTGAATTTTTATTGCACAATAGTGAAAAAAAAACTACATTTGCATTAACATGTTAAAATTTTCGTTTACATATATCATTATCATTTTCTATTTTTCTTGTGAAATATATATTGAGTCATTTTTATAGACCAGTTGTCTTTGATGACTTGATGTATTCAATAGCGTCCACTCTCCTATATATATTTGACACGTTGTTCTCACGTGTTTCTGTAATTTACAGCTAATTGAAGCTGACTGTCTACTCTCCCACTTTTACAGCCTATAATTTCAACAGATTTGAAAATGCCTCTCACTATACACATATTTTTAGTTGGAATTTTACGTAAAAGTATCACGAAATATTGTCATTCTTTAGTTGCGAGTAAAATCGAAGAATTCTTATTTATTATATTGCAAACTTTTCTAAAATAGCTCTCATTAATAATAAATATTTGAATCAGAAAAATTGCATTTAGTTTCCAAAATAAATTCATAAAAACCCGCCAACTGCATTTATATCAAAATGGTGGGATAGCATGCATATCGAACGTGCTTCTTATATAACAAAAAAAAAATCGAAAACTGAACAACAATCCAAAGTGGGACATATCCTGCGTAGTTAAACAAGTTTACAATAATACTTTACAGTCTATATAAATATAACCTTGATTCTCAGCTGCTACTTTACATAAAAATTTACGTTTCAAAAAGATTTTTAAATTAAAATTTTCATTTAAGAAACCAATCTTTTCATTTGTCCTTGAACATGTATACGAAGTTAATATACTTTTAATTAAGTAAAACACTTTTCATTATTCTATTAATGTTAGATGAGAAAATAATAAATGTCATTGATCTTATACGCGACTGTAATTGTAGTGGTTAGACTTGTTTATTTGAAATATTTTATAAAATACTGCTTCTTACCTGTTGCTGAATGTTTCTCTTTTTATTTGTCTTAAATAGTGATTCTATTAATATAATTATCTCCGTGAAATCATCAAATACTTTTTGTCGCTGACAATAATTCAATATAGTTGACAAAACTGTTTCACTAAATTAAAATAGTACAAAAATATATATTAATCCACTGTCAAGAAGTTAGAACCAAATGCCACAGAACTCACTCTCGACCTCGCAGTAGAAATTCGATATTTAGAGAAGCGACTGTTGCTCCATCTGATGGACAAATATTAAACTACATTTGAATTTAAATTAAATTTAAAATTATTCATAAATTTAAAAGATAAATAATATTCTCGATATGAGTAAAAAATAATTTGATATTTTTCTAAAGAATTAATTTTTTAATTTTATTAAAACAAAATAATTTTTAAATTGAGTTGAATATAAAGAAAAAAAAAATTTGTTGACTTTTCAAAGAATAATGAAACAGTAATTTTTAAAATAAATTTCCAAAGCCATTTTAAACACACGAGGATCGATCAAAAAGCGGATCTACAACATAAGGAAGATTGTCCTTGACCTCATATAGTTATCATTATGTCATGATTATCACGTTTAATGTCGACGTCATCGTTAATTTTCAAAATTTAGTCATATTCGCCTGTAAAATTATAAATAGATATAATATAAATTAATCAAACAATTCTATTATTAATAGAACAACAATTATAAATAATTTCATAAAATTCTGTATTTTATAATAATTAATATTTAATAGTATATTTTTAATAGTAAATTACAAAAGAAATTAGAAATTTTAAATTAAAATTATAATTACTTAATGATCAATATATATTGTTTAAAAAATCATTCTGTTAGAAAAAAAAAAAATTTTTAACTAAAATATGCCCTTGGTTAAAGAACAACTCTAGCCAGTTTAATGGCTAAGCAAAAGGTGAAGAACTCGCGTGCCAACCATCACCAATGCTTATCTTGATCACCAGTCAGCGAAACTTTAAGTACGCAGTTTTCTTATAATCTTAACTCTCCAAAATTACCTATTCAAATTACATACATCGTATGTAGGAATTTTTTCATTTATTGATGTCGAATTCGTTGCTCTATAAAAAATAATTTTTATCCTATAAATTTTTATTTATAATAAATATATATTTTTTTTATACTTATATTTAAAATCAAAATTCTTTAGTGTTATTAAATAAATTACCGTCAATAAATTATAGTTTCGATAAAAAGAATTTTGTGATTCAAAGTTAAAAGCATTCATAATTAAGAAATTGATCGATACGTTCGTTAGTAATTTCCACAATAAGAATGAGAAACGTAATTCAGTAATATGAGGGTGGAGTATAAAAATCGAATCAGTATTAATGCAATGACTTTGAAGTAACCTAGTTTGTCTTCAATAGAGACTGACTGCTTTTTCATTACAGGATATTCCTACGTCATTAATTCTATATGAAACATCAATTTTTCTAGAGTAATTGCATTAAGGGAAATTTTTTTTTTTTTTATTCGAAATTCTTACTCATATTGACGCAAATTTTTTGAATTAAATTATTAGAAAATAAATTAATAATGAAAAGAAAAATAAATAAAAAAAAAGAAAAATTTAAGAAAATAACAATTTTCCTTACGTTTTTTTCAAGTTAATTTGCAGATTAGAAATTTAATAGATTAGAAAATTGCTGACAGTTGCTATCAATCCAATCCAAATCGGTAAGTAGATCACAGCTGAACCACCTGTAAAGGTTGCCAAGGTATATTGTTAACGTGATAACATGAATAATATAGTCATTAAATAATGCTCTCATAAGAATGGATATTACGAAATCACGCTAAGTTCAACGAAGCTCAGATCTTAAGATTATCAAAGTCACTTTCTTTGTCACGGTTACATTTACTTAGAATGCTGTATGAACGATGAAAAGTCACGCTAAGTTTCAGTGTAAATTGATACGAAGGTTCAATCAAGAATTACCCTATCCAAAAAAAAAATCATTAAAAACTTCAATATTCAAATAAATCTAAAGTTTCTTAAACTTTACAAATTTTATCTAATTCTTGGTATTACTTTAAAAATATGGTTAATTTTGTTTAAATTAATTAAATTTTCATCATACAGGCCTCGGATTATTCGACTTATTTTAATAAAATACGACTTTTTCGACTTTTTTACATTTTTTTAAAAATTTTTTAATAAAATACGTTTTTTTAGTATACAATGCAAATCTTCTTCATTTCAATTATTTAATAAATTTTGAACTAAAATTCTTCACTAAATTAATAATTTTTAATAATTTTAATGAAATTCTTCACAAATTCAATTATCTGAAACTATTTTTCAATTAAAATTTTTATGAAATTTAATAATTGTTTATAAATTTCAAAAAAAATTAGCAAATAAAATTACAAAAAGATTTAATTCAAAATCACTTGAAATTTAATTAATTGCAAAAATTTAAATTATTTTTAATTACTTTTATAATATTCTTGGAAAATTCAATTATTTGAAAGCATTTTTAAATTAAAAACATTCAATATTCAATTTTTTTATGTTTACTTCTAATAAATTCTTCATCAACAGAAATCACTAAAAATTTCTCTTATAATTATTGTCTAAAATTTAACAATATCTTTTGAAATTTAATTATTTTCAAAAATTTCAATTTAAAAGCTTCTAATTTTTTTTTTGAAATTTAATAATTTCAATTATAAATCACCTGAAATTCAATTATTTTTAATGATTTTTATAATATTCTTTTGAAAATTCAACTATTTGAAACCATTTTTCTCTTGAAAGGTTTTCAAATTGTTGTATTTTTGTCTGCAATTTCTAATAAATTTTTTAGTGATATTCATCAAAAATTTTAAATTAAAAATCACTTAAAGTTAAATTAATTTCAAAAATCTAAATTATAAATCTTTGAAAATTCAATTACTTTTAAAAAATTAAAAATGTTATCTAAAATTATTTGATAAATAATTTTTAGTTCTGTAAAATTTAATTATTGTCTGAAAATTAACAAAATCTTTTGAAATTTCATAATTTCAAATATAACTCTCTTGAAATTCAATTATTTTTAATGATTTTTATAATATTCTTTGAAACTTCAAATATCTGAAACCATTTTTCAACTTAAAAAGTCAGTGTAAATTGATACGAAGGTTCAATTAAGAATTACCCTAGCGAAAAAAATCATTAAAAACTTCAATATTCAAATAAATCTAAAGTTTCTTAAACTTTACAAATTTTATCTAATTCTTGGTATTACTTTAAAAATATGGTTTAATTTTGTTTAAATTAATTAAATTTTCATCATACAGGCCTCGGATTATTCGACTCACTTTAATAAAATACGACTTTTTCGACTTTTTTTACATTTTTTAATAAAATACGTTTTTTTAGTATACAATGCAAATCTTCCTCATTTCAATTATTTAATAAATTTTGAACTCAAATTATTCACTAAATTAATTATTTTTAATAATTTTAATGAAATTCTTTACAAATTAAATTATCTTAAATTAGTTTTCAAAACTAAAATTTTTATTAAATTTAATAATTGTTTATAATTTTCAAAAAAAAATTAGCAAATAAAATTACCAAAAATGTTTAATTCAAAATCACTTGAAATTTAATTATTTGTAAAAATTTCAATTATTTTTAATGATTTTTAATATTCTTCGAAAATTCAAATATCTGAAAGCATTATTTAAATTAAAAACTTTTAGTATTCAATTTTTTTTATGTTTATTTCTAATAAATTCTTCATGAACAGAAATCAATAAAATTTTCTTTTATTATAATTATTGTCTGAAATTTAATACAATCTTTTTCAAAAATTTCAATTTAAAAACTTCTAAAATTTAATTATTTCTAAAATTTTTTGAAATTTAACAATTTTTAATTATGACTCTTCTGAAATTCAATTATTTTTTAATGATTTTTATAATATTCTTCAAAAAATTTAACTGAAACGATTTTTCATTCAAAAAGTTATCATATTATTGTATTTTTGTCTGCAATTTCTAATAAATTTTTTAGTGAAATCATCAAAAATTTAAATTAAAAATTTGATTTTCAATTAATTTCAAAAATGAAAATTGTAAATCTTTGAATATTCAATTACTTTTAAAAAAATGTTATACAAAATTAATAAAATTGTTTGATAAATTATTTGTAGTTCTTTAAAAAAGTAAAAAGAAAAAAGTAATAAAGTTATTTAAAGTGAAATAATCATTAATCAATTAAATTTTGTTAAAAAAAAAAAATTTATTTTTTCGACTTTTTTTGGAATATAAATTGTCTAAAACGACTTTTTTTATGCCTTAAAATCAATCCGAGGCCATACATTCATTTTTTTACACTTATTTGTCAACTTTTTATTAAAATAATTTCATTTTTATAAATTATTTTCCAAAAATATAGTATTTAAAAATTCATTAAAATTGCATCATTTAAAAAAAAATCTTTATAATTATTAAATATTAAAAAATTACAACTGATATCTTACAGTTAAAAATCTTTTTCACATTCTTATGAGAAACACTTTTCTTAAGGTATATATTAATGATTAATTATTTACCATTTTTTTTTCACCAAAAATCTACCATTTGATTCAATTTTTTTACAAATCCTGTTTGATTTTTTATAATTGCGATCACATGAACAGATTCCGTTTGTATATCTCACTCTTATATCTTCTTCTAAGATATAATCTTATTTTATTTTGTCAATCGTCACCAAATACTAAAAAGTAAATTTGTAAAAGTATATTATTAAAATACTACTATATATACAATAATAATAATAATTTGTTTCGTGCAATGAAATATAATTAGATAAAAATTTAAAATTCAAATTGCACTTAATAACTCAAAAAAAAACTATAATATGAAAAGTTTTACGTAATTTTCTATTTTACTTTAAATTAGGCACTCACATTTCTTTTTAAAATAGTTACCATTGTTGTAATGGTCAGTATGGGCACAAGTATAAATGCCAGAAGTTGAATTTTCTCCTTCAACTGTATCGCTCCTTCGTGAGCAAATGCCATTTGTTAATATTGCATTACACTGAATATGGTGATCACATTTATTTCCGTACAAAGAAACTAAAATGAAAAACCTTCTAATTAACAAAATATTCCAATAATATAGTACAGAAATAAATCTGATTTGTAGATAGAAAAAAAAAATTAATTACTGAAACGAACCTTCAACACAATTATCATCAAAAAAAGGGGGAATAAAATTTTTTTTTAATACAACTGCAAACATTGAAAATGCAAGTACCATTTTTGTATTTTATAATCTTTAGGTTTTTTTTTGCAAACTGCATTAATTTCTAATAATTCAAAAATATATTGTGGTTTATATTGATTATTTTATTTTTAGCTTTAAAGTAATTGCGTTTTTGTTTCTACTGACCAGTTGGAATTTTTATACACAACGTCTTTTTTGCATTGAGTAATAACTTTCGGACAAATGGAATTTTTACAAGAGAATTTAAATTCTGATCATGGAATCATAATTTCTGGAACAATTTTTATAAATTCCTTTATTCTTCCAACAAAATAGTTTTTTTTTCAACATAATGAGAATTATTATTGCAAATACATTTCTTTTGATATACAGCATTAGGTCAAAAAATTTCCTCTTTACATGAAGAGGCTTCAAATTCTGAGTTTACGTAACACTCATCATCAGTTGTACATTTTTCTGAACCTGAAAAAAATTAAAATACTGTATTATTAACTATTTATCATTTCTAAGTAGAATACTAATTTTCAAACGGACAATTTTATTATAGTAAAGAAACTTTGATAAAAATTAATGTTAATATTTTCTATATTTATTTCTTAAAAACATGTGTTTATTTTATTAATATTAAAGTTGTTTAATTTCTCTCAAATTAAATAATTATTGTATAGAATAATTGATTTTTTTTCTTTAAATCTTTATTTGATTTCAGCTTCATCAGATAAGATGTCGAGCATTTTCGAAAGGCACGTGGGCGAGAATATTTAAATCACAAATATTTTTTAGTTCAACTTTTAGGTATATTGATTTTCCGGTTACATTCTTGTATTTTTTTTTGAACTAATAAAAAGGGCCAAAGAAGATTAAAGATTTCTTTTCTTTTTTTTTTTTTAAATAGGTTTCACGCGAAAGACAGCTTGCGTGTCGTCGAAAAACTGGTACAAAAGGGTCGGCATAGTGGTATATATTTATGTTTGCGGTTGATGATCTATGACTGTGATCGCTAGTTCGTGGAGGAGAAAAAGCGTGAAAGCACATTTTAAGAACAATTTCGCTGTACGATTCGATACGAATCTTGTTTCTAGACCTGCCCCAGGGCATGGGAATCGATATTGTTATTTCCTCACGAAAGCTTCAATACACTACTTCTTCAAGATTTTATATTGTAGCCCTTGCTATATATGGTTTCAGGTCAAAACTATATTAATTTTCACTTCTAAATTTAACTTTATAGTTTTTAAAATGTAAAATAAATATTTCTACAGAAAATAAATCGTATGAGCAAATAAAAAATCCCTCCTTTAATTTTCGTAGTACTAATACCACTTTTAATATATTTTAAATATTTTTTTTATTCTATGACTCAAAATAATTTTCATAATAGAAAAAAATTTTTTTACCTTTTTTTGAAAATATAAAATTATATAAAAATATCGATTTCATTTTTGTTTGAAAATTAAGTATGAAATTTGGTAATAAAAAAAAATTTTTTTTTTGTTACGAATTTCAAAATGATTTTTATTACCTTAAATAATAAAAATTTTCAACTTTACGGGAATGATAAATTCTATAAAGGTCAAACATTTTGTAAACGTATTATTATAATTTTAAAATTACGACTGCGTTTAAAAAAAATTTCCATAAAATCAAATATAATGTACGTATTTAAAAAAAAATTTTTTTTGTTTTATCTATATTACACTGTATTTCAAGGGTAGAAGATCGTAAAAATGTTATTTTCAAAAAGTTTTTCATTAGACAATAAAAAAAAAAATATTAATGCGCTAAAAGATAGTGAAAAAAATTATTATTTGAAACGTACTAAAAAAATAAGAATTTTGTCATTTTACAATAACTATTATTATTGTTAAAGTGCACGAAATAAACTACTGTTGTCAGTTAACAGCACGAATTGATCATAAATGACCTAAGATTGATAACCTATAGCCATATTTCTTAAAGTCGCAATACATATGTTATAGAAATCCCGTCGGTTGAACATAATTCTACTAAACGTCATTTTGAAAAGTGTTGTCAATCATGAAATTCTTGTGGTTAAATAATAACAAGGGTAAGCATTTTACAAAATTTATCTAAATTAAAAAAAAATGCTCAATTCATATGAGAATTTATTTTCATAAAATTAAAATTTAAAATCAAAATATTAAATTCCATACTAAAAAAAAAAACAATTTTACAGACAAGTTAGTCCTCTCGGAGGAAGGAAATGTGGATGAAAACTTGGAACGAATTCAAAAAAAAAATAAATGCAAAATTGTTATGACAATTTTAAAAATTATTATTGTCCTTGAAATTATTATGTTAATTGGATCGGCTTTAATTTTATTTTATAAATATCAATATTGTGAAACAACAGTTGAAAAAACTCAATCCGAACCACATTCGACAAATGAATTACTTAATTTGAAATTGTCTTCAGAAAATTCGAATGATTACAATATCAAAACTGTTAATAATGAAAATAATGAAAATCAAGTACAAGAAGATGAAAAAGTTAAGCAAAAAAATGAAATGATAAACAATGAAGAAAAAATCTTTGAAGAGAAAAATTCAAATGATGAAATATCGTCAAATGAAATGCCATTCAAGAAATTATTTTCATTACTATTTTCATTACCACAAAATGAAGAAATTGATGAGAATCAAAACAATAAGAATCCTCAAACTGTTTTAGAAGAACCTATGAAGGAAACATTTCACATTCGTATGATTTTTCACCCAAAAAATCCCAACAAAAATTCTAATCAAACAAACGAAAATATAATAAATCCAATAATTACTTTACCGGAAAATATTATTGAAAACGAAGAATCTTTAAATCAAAACATTAATAATGATGATAAGGATGATTTTTATAATATTTTGACTAATGTAATAAAATCAAATGTTTTTTCTAATTTTTTTAATTTTGATAATAAAGAAAATTATAATGCTTTCGAAGAAATAGAAAAACCAAATCCACCAGAAAATTCTTTCAGTAAATTGCTTGAAAATAATGGTTTTAAAGAAATTATATCAAGCAACACTTTAGATGAAGCAGATCCGTTATTACTTAAAAACATTTGGGATAATTTAAATCAGGGTAATTATGAATATGACGAAAATTCAAATTTTGATTCTGAAGAATATATGTACGATTGAAAATTAAAATTAATTTTTGTATATTTCAGAACCAATTGTTTAATAAGATAATACTCCAACTAATATTGCATGCAATTGAATTTATATGGAGATTTTCGAAAACATTTTAATTAATTATAATCTATTATTTCTATTAATATAATAATTCTATTGCTATTATACATTTTATGCATTATTTTGTGTGGTTTTTTCAATTTTTATTGTGCAAAAGAAATTCTCTTTTAAAATGCGTGATTTCTTTGAAATTTGAAATTCAAAAATTTTTTTTTATCTTTTCTAAAGACATTGTAAGTTTTGACGATTAATTAAATAAACATGCACAACGACTAATTGAAACTTTAATTGCAATTCCCTGCATTAACCTTGAACTTTATGTTAAATTCTTACGATTTATTCTAGAATTTATTCGATAACATTCCTATGCGTTAAATGATAATTATTACTTATGTCATTTAAGATATAGAAATAATATTTTTCATTTAAAAATTTTTGTCAAATGATAAATTAAAATGGTCTTTAAAAAAAATGATGTAAGCTTTGTAAAAACTTAAAAAAGTTATAAACATTCAACAATCTTTCATTTTGCATAAAAGTATATGGAGAAAAAATTACAAAAAAAAAAAATTTAATCTGCTTTTTACAATTAATTTTTTGCGGTTTCCAATGAATTTATTATAGAAACATAATTTACAAAGAATAAGTATTTTTTTTGTAATGGAATATTTTAAATAGAATATCGAAAATAATAAATATTCTTGGCGTGCACATATGCGGATAAGGGTACATTTTCGTGAACAACTGCTCCTAAAATTATAGATAAAGAAACGGAGAAATAAAATTTTTATAACTGTATTTAAACATAAATTTAATTTCTAAAATACCAATATTTATAATCTTTTTTTTTTTGTTATCGAAGTTTATTTTTAAATAGAAATTATTTTCATTTAAAAAATATTTTTTGTTTTTAAATAATAAATTAAATAATGCAAAAAAAAAATAAACAAAAGTAATGTATATATTTATAATAGCCAGAATAAGATATGAAAGAAAGTATATGATTTAAATTTTAAATGAACGTTTATTTGAATTCGTGAAAAATAATAAGTTTTTTTTTTATATCCACATATATACAAAATATATATTAATAGTTCACAAACGTAGATTTATTTTCATTCTGATTAAATTTTCGACGAATATCTTAAAGGTTTTGAAGGAAAAATAAGAAATATGGTCGTGTTTCACGAAAAGTGTAAATTTATGATAGAAATACTTTTATCTGCATCGCTTTTTAAAATGGCATTTTTACTAAACGTTAAAAAAAATGCTAATGCTATACCTGCAATGAAATTGTTAGACATAAGGCGATTATTATTATTATTATTATTGTTTTCATTTAAGGTATAGACTTAATTTAAGAAAGAAATTTTTTTTTATTTTGTACTAACAGCTCTTATTTAGACATAATCATTTATAAAATATTTTAATATTTTCAGGCCTCGGATCGACTTTAAGGCACAAAAAAAGTCGTTTTAGTCGATTTTTTTTATTTTAATAAAATTTAATTGGTTAATAAATATTTTACTTTAAATAACTAACGTTATTAGTAAATTCATTTTATTAATTTTGTAATGAGAATAATTGTATGAAAATATTATCAAGAAAATTGATTTCGAATATTTCAGAATCGAACTAATTATAAGACAAATTTTTTAAATTTTATTTAAATAGAACAAATTTCTAAAAAAAAAATTTCAAAGTTACATTTTTATAATTTTTTAAAGTCTGATTTAAGCAATTTATTCGAATTAAAAATTTTGTCACAGTTTTTAGTTTTGATGGTCAAAAAAATTTCAGGCAATACTTAATTAAGTTTTACAAATTTTTAAATAAAATTTTTTTTAAATAATAATAATTTTGGAAGAGTTAAATTGAAATTTTTAGAAATAATTGAATTTCAAAAGATTTTGTTAATTTTCAGACAATAATTAAATTTTACAGAACTAAAAATAATTTATCAAAATAATTTTAGATAAAATTTTTTAAAAGTAATTAAATTTTCAAAGATTTACAATTTATATTTTTGAAATTAATATAGTTAATCACCTCAAGTGATTTTAAATTAAAAATTTTTGATGATTGCACTTAAAAAAAATTGATTAGAAATTGCAGACAAAAATACAATAATTTGAAAAGTTTGTAAGTTAAAAATGGTTTCAGTTGAATTGTCGAAGAATATTATAAAAATCATTAAAAAATAATTGAATTTCAAGAGAGTTATATTTGAAATTATTAAATTTCAAAAAATTTTAGAAATAATTAAATTTTAGAAGTTTTTAAATTGAAATTTTTGAAAATAATTGAATGGAAAAAGATTGTGTTAAATTTCAGACAATAATTATAATAAAAGAAAATTTTATTGATTTCTGTTCATGAAGAATTTCTTAGAAATAAACATTAAAAAATTGAATTCCAAAAGTTTTTAATTGAAAAATGCTTTCAAATATTTGAATTTTCGAAGAATATTATAAAAATCTTTAAAAAATAATTGAAATGTTTGCATATTATTAAATTTCAAGTGATTTTGAATTAAATCTTTTTGGTAATTTTATTTGCTAATTTTTTTTTTGAAATTTATAAACAATTATTAAATTTCATAAAAATTTTAATTTTCAAAAATAGTTTAAGATAATTGAATTTGTGAAGAATTTCATTAAAATTATTAAAAATAATTAATTTAGTAAAGAATTTTAGTTGAAAATTTGTTAAATAATTGAAATAAAGAATATCTGAAGAAGATCTGCATTGTATGCTAAAAAAACGTATTTTGTTTAAATTTTTTTTTAAAAAATGTTATTTATGTACTTTCATAACAATCTTGACAAAATAATAAAAAAAAAATTCTTTTAAAAAAATATAGTCCCTTTGTCAGAGACCTTCGCGAACTAACTAAATTAATTAAAATTTTTTTTTATTATCATGAGTACATTAAGTTCAAAGGTCATTCATTTCCATAGTCATCATTTTTTATCCATGAGGTTTTTGAATTAAAATAATTTTTTTTTTACTATGCTATATATTTAGAATATTTTGTGTTTGAATGGACTAAGCGACAAAAAGAAACTAATTTATCCTGAAATCAAAGTAACTTGAATGCTAAATGACAAGTTGAAATCAGATTTAAAGTAAGGGTAGTTGGTGGTTGAAGATAGAACAACAGTGGGGGTAGTTCGAATGCTTAAAAGGCCTTTGCAAGGCTTTTACTCCCCACAGTCTTGGTAAGAGAGTGAATTCATATTGAAGTAAGAAGTAAGAACGTGTGTAACTTTTCGCGCCAGATTTAATTATTCTAAATTTAAAAATCGAAATGATAAATAAAAGTTAATGCCGTGAATAAATTTATTTCGTGTTCTTCTTTTTTAAATAGTGATTTTAAAAATAAAGCGACAATTATTCTGTTTTGGAAAAGTTGATAAAGTTAACGTTAATCATGACGGAATTTATGAGGATTCGTATATTATTCACTACAGTTCTTTTACTTTGCGCCTTTACCTCAGTTTGGTCCATGGCACTCACAACTTTTGGAAAATCGAATCCTCAAAATCAAAATCCAACGCCTCCACCAACATCCGGTGAGTATTGAATCATATTATTCAGTGAACGTTGATAAGTTTTTTATATATTTAAAATCTGTAAAATATTATTTAAAATTAAATTAATACATAATATTTGTATCTTTTTAATTTTATAAAATAATTATAATAACTGAATTTATTTTATGTACATAAATAAATGTTTTGTTTAAATTTGCTCAATAATGATCTTATTAAAGTTCATGGTCGTTATATCAATAAATTTTTTTTGATAAAGGTTTTGCTATATCATCATTAACAGTAAAGCTATTGAAAGGTTAACAATAGTTGACACGTAAAGAAATTTTTCATTTTATAGACGTTCAACGATATCTCATATAATTCAAATTTTCTTTCTTATGAAAGTTGTTTTAAATAAAATTCACACTTTATGAAGAAAAATAAAATTGAATGTGCAAAATATTAATTTGAAAATTTATTATTGTATTAGAATTCTAATTTTTTATAATATTCATTAATAATGGATAAAAAAAAAATCAAATCCATTATCTACAAATAAAATTAGATCTAAGTTGGTAATTTTTTGCTGAATAATATAATTATTTTAATACTCGAGTGAAAAAGAAAATAGTAATTTTTTAAAAAAATTTAAGTACTTGTTACCTCTTAAGTTTTTTCTATAGAGTTAAATAATACACGAGACCTAAACACAACGTTGCAAGAATTCTGCATATTATCTTAAAACAGAATCTTACGTCCGAGTGTCAAGGACACACATACTAATATTTTGTTGAATACCAGGGTTGCAACCCTGAAAAACAGCAACAACCTACTCTGGAGAATGCGATAAAAAGTATTTTTTTTTTTTATATCTTCATATTTCTACATAGTATAGACGAATTAAGAAGAAAATTACTATGTGAATAAGTTGAAAATTTCTAAAATCAGAAAAATAATTGATTTATGTTTTTTCAACTCTTAAGGATAAAATTGTAGCCAGTATTTTAAGGGCACCTTTTTAATGATTATCATTTAATCTACTAATGAATTTATAATGAGTATAAACCTTTCTAGTCTTATAAAATGCACTATTAGACCTAGAGTTTTTTTTCACGTGATTTTCAAAATGGAAAAAATTATTTTTCAGTAAAAAAAAGTGCAATTTTAAATGTTCCCTTTTATAGTTAAATTTTTTCAAAACTCTATTTGGAGTATTAAGTTTTTTTTTAAAAAATGTTACATTATAAAATTATCTTGAAGTGTCTTTATTATTAGGCTATTTAATTTTTTTAAATTTATTGTAAAAAAAATTTCATTCAAAAATTATTGTTAAAAAAATACCTTTTGCTTTTTTTTACAAATAGAATGTAATTGGACAATATTTAATAATTTATAAATTTATTTTGCAAAAATTTCTTGAAGTAGGTAAAACTAATAATTGGTAACAATTATGGATTTAATTTTTTTTTATTTTAGTTGGAAAGGCTCGTGAGTGCAAAACACAATCCAATTGTGAAGGGATACGAAACACATTTTGCATGATCCATCCTCAAGACAATATCATGCGGTGTCTTTGTGGAGATTATAGTGCACCTGACAATGGGCTTTGCAAAAATAAAATACAAGGTAAAAATAAATGCCATGAATTTTAAAGACATTTCAAGTTTTTGGAAAATTTTTTTCTAAGCGTTTAAAAAAAAGAGTTGAATAATATTAAAATTGTATCTATTTTTTTAATAATACATGTAATAATAAATTTACAAAAATAGTTGACATAAATTTTTTTTTTCATAATTTTTCTGATACTCTACGGTATTATTTTAACCCCTTTAAACAAGTCGAACAGTTTTGCGTTACTGATAATAATTAAAAAAAAAAAAGAACAATTTTCTTCTAAACATAATTTATAAATATATACTGCCAACAGTTAAATGCTCTAGGAAATTGTAGAAAAATCGTAAAAATTATTGCGAAATTATTCTACTTTTGCTTCTTGAGAATTATCGGAAAATGACTTCTAATGCATATATACAGATTATCAGTTTACGGGATTTCTTGTGAAAATCATATAGAAAGTAGGTGCCAATTTTATTTTATTTTCTTCGATTTTTATATTTTTTTCAAGAATTTATAGATAGAAGCTGTAAGATATACGAATATAGGTTATTCATTTATTTATCCGGAAAAAATGATTCTTAGCTTTAAGTCTTTACATATGAATTTTAAAATGCAAAATGTCACACTATATGAGAACAGATTATACTCATGCGTGTTGACATATACAATTTACATATAATACAGCCGCATGTATTTATTTTACAGAGTATACACTTGAACTTTATAAATTATATTTGAATTTCGTTTTGCATTTTATTGATTATGAAAAAAGATTAAGATGTCAATAAATTTTTTATTTTTTTTTCTATTTACGAAACAAGAATTTTTTTTTATTTTAGTATATAAAATTTCAAAACATTCATAGCTAATTTAAATATTATAATAGATTTCTTGAAAATATATAACTTTATTAAATCTGAACAAATTGAGTTTAATATATATATATATATATCTTGAAAATAATTTTAATTTATATGTAAATTTCAGTAAGTCCATTTAGGTGAATCCACCTGCCAGAATAGTCAAAGAAAGTGTTCCTAACAAACTTTAGTAAGGGTTGATAAGACACAAGAATCATTGGTTGCATGTCATGAAATAATTAGGAACAAAAGTTACACAATATCGATCGTATGCAAAATCTATGTCGATAATATATAATGGTCACATTTACTTTAATTGCAACCGATTTACTACGGACACAAATCAAAATGACTGAATTAAATGAAAATGATTGTGAATTATTTTTCAATTTAGCCTGTGAATTTATTACAAGAAATTTTCGTTTTATTCCATAAAAAAATTCTTTTTTTTTTATTTTGTTATAAATGACACGACAAAATCATTATTTGATAAATAAAAGAATAGAAAGGTAAAAGAAAAAAATTTTCCTTTGAAAAAAAAAATATGAATTTTATTAGAATTGAAAAACTTTTTTTTTTGAATAAAAAAAATCGTGACGATAAAAATTTTTAACACGCGATAAGGGTGAATATAAATAAACGGAAAAAAAGTGATTTTCATTTTCTAGAAGGAACTTAATATTTCTCTATACTAAATAAAATCATTAGTTGCTTAGAAACTAGTCATTAGAGAAAGCCTATTACTGATAAAAATCTTTTTGTCCTATAAAAAAAAAATACTTTTGTTATGTAATAAAATTATTTAATTTATCAGCATTTTTGAAAAATCGATATTATTTAATAATACTAATATTTTAATATTATAGCTGTTGGTGCACCCTGCAATACAGATTCTGAATGTACTGAAGGAGCTCAATGCGTTAATGCAAACAATACGCTGTCAATAAAACGATGTTATTGCAAAGAAGGATATTTTGAAGATAATAAAATGTGTAATGGTACGTTAATTAATTAAAAATTAAAATTAAAAAATTAAATTAAAATTATTAAAGTAGTAATATTTACCTCTTACAATTATTCTTTGTTTGCAGGAGCTTCTACGACTCTAGGAATTTCGACATTCACTTTATTCACCATCTTTCTTATATTTGGAAGATCCAATATCTGAAGAAACGTATAAAAAGATTTTAATTAGTTTTTAAATAATAATTATATCACTAAAAACTAAAAACACATTAGGTTTCAAAGGTTTCGTTCAAGCCAGTCAAAGCAACAAAGACTTGTTTCATTCATCATTTGTGGCGTTTTGGCTTTAAATCATTATTTAACATTTATAATTCTGAAAAGTTCAGCTGCGAATTTTTATTCTTATATATTATACTATTATAATAATATATTATATTTGAAAATGTAATCGCAATTTCATAATACCAAGAATGCCATCTGATATCAAATGGAACAAGTAATATAGATTTTATATAAATTATTATTAATTACAAAATTATTCTATAACAAAAATTAATAATTATTTCAAAAATCAATTGCGAATTTAATATCTATAATAAAATGAAATTACAATTTTAATTTAAAATAATAAAATACTCGTTTTATGATTAATTAAAATTTTTATGTTTCATCTTGATATTCTAGTCTACATATTCTTGACTGCTGGTTAGGTCAAGTGTTAAGTCGAGGATATTAACTAAATATAAGTTATTAGTATAAAATAATTATTTTACTTATATGTGTGCAATCATGAATCAATTTTAGAATATATTACTATTTATTTTATTTTATTCTATAATTCATTAATGTGAAGTTAAAAAGTATTTAATAGAAGTACATACACTTAATTAGAAATTCACCTGTATTTTAAAATTTCTTTCTAAAATAGAAATGTTTTGTAATATTTGTATGCTCCGAAAGTTATCTAGTAAGTGCACTTAAATTTGCTCTTTATTTTCTTATAATTTAGAGAAACTTCAAGACAATTTCATAATGCAAACTAAATAAGAAATTTGCTTATTATAATGTACATTAATTTTTCTTACCTTTAACGGAATTTATAGACATCAACTACTATAAGTTAATTGATATTTTTAAAAAAAATCAATTTTTGCTTTTGTTAAACAATCGAAATCTGTCTTACGTCGTGTATTATTAAAAAATATTCTTAATTATTGTTTTATAAAAACCAACTGCGTTACAGTATTTCCAGTTTGTCCACCAAATGAAAATGTTTTTGTCGGAAGTTCCAGAAGAAAATTAAACTCTGTAAATTATATTTATATATATTTTGAACAATTTTCCATTAGTTATGTATAAATAATTATTCTGTAATAATTTCTTTGAAATAATATTTGATTTTCCTCGAAAATAATATTTACTCACTCTCTTTGAAATGTTCTATTAATTCATCCTTCGTCCAATTGCATGAAGTTAATAGCAAATATCCTCCAGGCAAAAGAATTTTATGAATATTTTTAATATATTTCAATCGATTTTCCTTTGGATTTTCTGGATGAAGACTAATTGCATCATATGTACCTTTATCGTGTGCAAGTTTAAAATCATTTGATAATAAATTTGTTTCGTCGAGTATATCACACACTTGTATTTTTACACAATCTACTTTGCTGTCTTTTAAAACAGAATTTGCCAGATTTATTGCTTTTTGTGAATAATCTACTCCTACTAAATTTTTAAAACCATTTTCAGCTAAATCAACCAAAAGCATTCCATTACCACAACCTAAATCAATTATTTTGTCATCTTTTTTCATTTCCAGTTTTGAATTTATACACCTAGTATAATTTATGTTTATTATAATTTGTATTTAAAAAAAATTAAATGTTTTAATAATAGTAGTACTTTTATTAAATTTAATTTAAATATTTTCACTATACATACCTTATTACTTTGGAAGCATTTTCACTTCCAAACCAAATTTCGCCTGTGTCACCGTGATCCTTGAAATTTTCAATTTCCAAAGCATACGTCTTTTCCCAACTGTAATATATACATATTTTACACAAATGTAAGATTATCATTTTAAATATATTTGATATTTAATATAATTTTTATTTAAAATACTAATTAACTAATTATACTCACTATTCCAAAGTGCCCAGTTCTGAAGGATCTAATTCTTTAGCCATAGTAAAATTTTTTTCTAATTATTTAAACTATAATGTAAATCTAAATGTATTAAAGTAAATATAAAATCATTAATTTATTTTAATTAACAATTGTATAGACTATAAATATTTTTTTTAGGTCCACACGTGTCAATCACCTGTTTTTAAACCTAACCTCGAATTATTCTAAAGTGCGAGTACAACGTGATACAAGCTCATTGTTATATTTACATGTTCAGTAAATAATTGGGATTCATTTATATTTAGTTAAAAACAAAGTATTAATTATTACATAATGTTTTACATTGAAACTTGTAATTGACATTGTTTAAGTTAATTTTATAGTAGCGTATATTAAATTAGCTATTTTGACTTACGTATTGTTAGAAAAATTCAGTTCAGGTTATGTTTTTCGAAAACTTGGAGAAAACGTCATTAGAAAAAGGAAAATTGTTTTGAAAACATAAATTTCTTATTTTATATTTGTATATAATTTAAGCATACAGTAGAATTAATATACAAAATATTTAAAATGATTGTGTCAAATTTAAGAAATCTTTTAAATATAGGTAAGTTGATATAAACAGACAATTGATAAAAACTAATTGTAAAATGTTTGTCATCAAAAATTTATATAATATATTATCGAGTAATTATTAACAAAAAATAGATAAGAAAAAAGAATATTAGTGTTATTTTTTTTAAAAGTTCAAAAACATACTGAAAATTATTTTTTCTAAGCGAAAAATACATAATAGAAATTATTTAAAATAATATTTAGTGTATATAAATGAATTGACAGTTATTTTCTTTTAGGAAATCAAAATAGCAATAATTTAGTGCCTATTGTAAGGACATTGGCTTTGGCTTCACAACCTAAACATCGTGAAAGTGAAAAACCAAAAACTGCTATATTAATGTTAAATATGGGAGGTCCAAGTAAATTAGATCAAGTACATGAATATTTATTACGTATTATGACGGATCGTGATATGGTGCAAATGCCTTTTCAAAGGTTTAACAAAAAAAAACCTTCATAATTTCATCACTATCATATTTTTTTTTCTTATTTATTACGTTTTTTTTTTAGCTTTTTAGCACCGTTGATCGCTAAAGGGCGAACTCCAGAAGTAATGGAAAAATATAAAGAAATTGGTGGTTGTTCTCCAATTTTAAAATGGACTAACAAGCAAGGCAAACTTCTTTGTGAACAATTAGATCAAGTATCACCGGAAACAGCTCCTCATAAATATTATGTCGCTTTTCGATACGCCGATCCATTAACTGATGAAGCTTTAAAACAGATAGAAATGTATGTGTATATTATTTATATATTAAGTATAATATAATAAAAACAATTATTATTTTTTCAGAGATGACATTCAAAGGACAGTTATATTCTCTCAATATCCTCAGTATAGTTGTGCAACAAGTGGCTCTAGTTTAACGGCAATTTACAAATATTATAAAGAAAGGTAATAAAAAATAAATTTAAGTTAATGAATATATTATTTATTACTAGCAAAATTAAACGCGCGCAAGCGCGCCAAATTGGGTATTTAATTGTTTGTTATAAAGAAATTAAAGATTAATATTTATCAATAATAATTTAATTTATTAGAATATTATTATTATGAATAATACCTCGGATTATACGACTTTTTCCGACTTTTTTCAAAAATACGACTTTTATCGACTTATTTTAATAAAATGCGTCATTTTTTTTTACATTTGAAAAAAAATGTAAATAAAATACATTTTTTTAGTATAAAATGTAAATCTTCTTCAGATCTTCTATAATTCAATTATTGAACAAATTTTGAACTAAAATGATTCTTCACTAAATTAATTATTTTTAATAATTTTAATGAAATACATCCACAATTCAATTATATCAAAATTATTTTTCAATTAAAATTTTTATGAAATTTAACAATTGTTTATAATTTAAAAAAAAATATCACAATAAAATTGAATTATTTTTTAAAAATTTCTATTCAAAATAAACTAAAATTCAATTATTACCCGAAATTTTAATTCAAAATCAATTAAAAATCCAATAATTATCCAAAATTTTCAATTTAAAATTTAATTATTTACCAAGTTTTAAATTCAAAATGAAATAAAATTCAATTATTTTCCAAAATTTCTATTCAAAATTAATTATCCAAATTTTCAATCAAAAATGAACTTAAATTAAATTATTATCCAAAATTTCAAATAAAATTTCATTATTCTCAAAAATTTGAATTCAAAATTAATTGAATTTTCAATAATTTGAATTCAAAATTAATTGAATTTTCAATAATTTGAATTCAAAATTAATTGAATTTTCAATAATTTGAATTTAAAAGTATCTAAAATTTAATTATTTCTAAAATTTTCCATCGAAAATTTTGTTTTTGAAATTTAATAATTTCAATTATAACTCTAAGGAAATTCAATTATTTTTAACTATTTTAATAATATTCTTTGAAAATTCAACTATCTGAAACCATTTTTCAATTAAAAATGATTTTCAAATTATTGTATTTTGTCCGCATTTTCTAATAAATTTTTAGTGAAATCATCTAAAATTTTAATTACAAAACACTTAAAGTTTCAATTAATTTCAAAAATCTCAATTTTAAATCTTTGAAAATTCAATTAAATTTAAAAAATATTTTCCAAAAATTGTTTGATAAATTATTTTTAGTTCTGTAAAATTTAATAATTGTTTGAAAATTAACAATATCTTTTGAAATTTAATTATTTCTAAAAATTTCAACTTTAACCCTTCGAAAAGGATTATTATTAAAAAAAAATTTTTTATTTAAAAATCTGTAAAATATTTTTGTTAAAATAAAAAACAAATCCACTTTTTTAGGGTTTCGTGGCCCATGGCCGAAAGCCTTATAGTTTCACTTTGGCGTCCGTCTGTCCGTAGTATATTTTGGGGCACCACAGCTCCCAAAATCAAATTTTAGGGCACAGATCCCAAATTCAAATTTTGGGGCCCCACAGATCCCAAATTAAACTTTTGGGGCACCACAGATCCCAAATTCAAATTTTGGGGCCCCACAGATCCCAAATTCGAATTTTGGGGCACCACAGATCCCAAATTCGAATTTTGGGGCACCACAGATCCCAAATTCAAATTTTGGGGCACCATAGCTCCCAAATTCAAATTTTGGGGCCCCACAGATCCCAAATCTCCATTTACTGAATGAACATTACATGTCCCATTAGTTAACATGTCCCAGTAGTTGACCTGTCTCAGTAATTGACATGTCCCAATAGTTGACATGTCCCTATAGTTGACATGTCCCAGTAGTTGACATGTCCTTATAGTTGACATGTCTCTATAGTTGACATGTCCAAGAGTTGACATGTCTTAATAGTGGACATTATCGAATGGACATTTTACCTAATGTTTTTGTTTGTGAATCAAAAAAGATAAATGATAGAAGAAAGACCTCCACTCCACAGCCACTCTTTCTTTTTTCTTTCATTTACCTTTTTTTTCAATTTTGATTTTTGCCAATTTTTGATTTTCTTTGATTGCCATTTTTTAAAAATTTTGCCATAAATTTTTTTTTTTATAATAAAAATTTTGCTAAATAAATAAAATTTAATAGTACATAAAATTTATAAAATAAATTTTATTATTTATTTTTAAATTATTTATTTTTTTTTAATTAAAATTTAAAGTGCCACGAAACCCTAGATGTAGGCGCAATTGCGCCTAGTTCTTTTCCTATTTTTTGGAATATAAATCGACTGAAACGACTTTTTGTGTCTTTAAGTTGATTCGAGGCCTGTGTTTTTATAATTAATATTTAATAGGTATTCGTTGGCCCCTGGTACGTTAAAAATTAATATTTAAAAATAAATTTTTTTCAAATTACCATCTTGTACGAAATTTCCTGGCGCATCTTTTTTCTCATCATAAATTTTTTGTATTTGTATACAATTTTTGAATCAATATACAACTTTAAAAAAACTTTCGTTGGTAAATGTTGTATACTTCAGCTTCGTGAATTGAATTTTCGAATTTGGAATTTTAAAGAAACTTATTCCGAAATTTGGAAACACAATTATACAACTTTGGCAAAAATGAGAAAAAGAATTGTCAAAATTTGACACGTCATAAGATTACTATTCAAAAAAACACGTGAAATCAAAAAAGGCCAACTTCAAGTTAGGACAGAAGGACAGACCAAGCATTTTATTATTATATAATTATTTTTTTTTTTTTTAGGGAGGAACTGTTAAATGGAATGAAGTTAAGTGTAATAGATCGTTGGAGTACGCATCCTTTATTAGTCAAAGTTTTTGCTGAAAGAATTAAAGAAGAAATGAAACATTTTCCTAAAGATGAACAAAAAGATGTAACAATAATGTTTTCTGCTCATTCACTTCCATTGGAGGTTAAAATTTCAAATATTTTTACAATTCGATGTATTTAATTTAATTTAACAGAACTAAATATAAATTTTCTTTAATTCTATAGGCAGTGCAAAGAGGTGATTCATATCCTTCAGAAATTGGTGCTACAGTTCAATTAGTTATGCAAGAATTAAAATTTTCAAATCCGTATATCTTAACGTGGCAATCAAAAGTTGGACCTGTAAAATGGTTATCTCCATTTACAGATGAATCTATTGAATTATATACTAAAGTTCATAAAAAGAAGAATTTCATTTTGGTACCAATTGCCTTTGTTAATGAACATATTGAAACTTTACATGAAATGGATATAGAATTTTGTAAAGATATTGGCGAGAAGGTAATAATTTTTCTAAACATTACTATCTCAATAATTTTAAATGAACAATTTAATTACATTTAATTATTCCTTGATAATATTTTAGTTGGGAATTAATATAAGAAGAGCGGCAGCACCTAATGATCATCCAATATTTATTAATGCACTAACAGATATTGTTGCCACACATTTAAAATCTCATCAAATGATTAATCCAAAAATGTTGACAAGATGTCCTCATTGTACAAATCCTAATTGTGAAGAAAGCAAAAGCTGGTTTGAACGAGTTTGTCAAGCTTAATGCAAGAAAATTATTACAAAAAAAAAACGGTATTAAATATTTGGTGAAAATAATGAATTATCAATTAGATATTTATTTTATCTGAATAATTATTTTTTGAATTAATTCATTTATTTGAATCAATGTTTAATGGACTATTTAATTCTAAAAAGTATTTGGATGAAATAAATATTTATTTGCTAATCAATTTTTTAATAAAACATCATATGAATGGAATTCATAAATTAATATTCATATTGGAATTAGATGATTTTGTTAGATATATATATTTTATAATTCAAGAATTTATTGTGATAGAAAATAAATATAAAACTTTTTACTTTAAAAGTTTTTTCTATTTATATAATACAAATGCAATTATGGCTTCGAAATTTTGTGTTATTTAATATAACTGTTTACTTAATGGAAATGATTTGATTACAGATGATTCATAAAAAAAAAAATACGTATAATAAAATATAAATATTTGAAATTGCCGGTCCCTACAAGCGACATCTACAGATAAATATTTAAATTAAAGCAATGCACATATGGTAATTGTTTCTGAAAAAAGGCAATAGTTACCGACTCACAACATAACTTTGGCCAGATGTCGCTAGTTTCTTATTACTGGAAGAGACCCTAATTGTATTTTATTCAATGAATTACCACAGGAACCTAAAGTGACCACCGAGTTATTAAGGTAACAAATAGATGTCATTTACAAAAATTATTAAAAAATTAAATTAAGCAATATACGTTTTTAATCTCTAAGAAATAAAGCTTTTTTTTTTTACAGGAACAATTGAGATTTTTTTCAAAACGCGGCTGAAATTGCCATCCTGCATTATTATAAAGTAGGTATTAAAATCTTTTCTTAGTAATAATAATCCATTTTTAATTTTTTTAACCGGTCAAATTTCGACAATATTAATTTAGTCGATTTCTTTCATTTAATCACGATTAAAATTAATTCTCATTAAAACATTAATTAGTAATTATTCTTTTAATTACAGTTGGTGAAATCGCGGCCCCTGCTCTTAGTCTATGCAATGCGGTTAAAAACAAGGTAAACACATCGCAAATTAAATCAGGTATTTGTTCTATTTTTTATAATATAATTATTTTAACAATATTTTTATTATGTAATAAATAATTATCTAATATTTATTACATTATAATATTAACAAATAATTATTTCTTAATTATCGTTGAAATTATTATTATTATTATTTTTTATTATTTACTGTTATATCTCTCGTCCATTATTAGTCTTAATACTGAAAAATAGGAAACGCATATTTTGAGAATACGAGTAAAAGTACTTAAATTCATTGGAACAAGTTTTCCTGCTGATAAATTAAATGATTTTCCAGCTTTTAACATTATAAAAAATACATCTTTTGATAATTTTTTTGGAAATTCAAACCATTTACTTTCGTACGATGCATTTGCTATAAATTGAACTTTCGATGACAATAAATCGCCGGCAATGCAATATAAAAATATTTGTACCAATAAAATTTGAATTCCAATTAATGGTTTTATAGCTGCAAAAATACCATTTTCTTTTGAATTTATAATTGTCTGTATTCCTGAAAAAATAATTTATTTTTATAAATTTGTTAATCAATTATTGAATTTGTACATTCAGAGAAAAGGTATATATATTTGTCTCAGAACCAAATAAACATTTATTTCATTTAAATAAAAATTTTATTTATAACTAAATTATCATATATATGACAAATAAAATTTTTATTTACGTCAAATAAATTAGCTTTGATATAAATTTACAATTATTTAACTCAAATATATATTATATTTGATTGAAATAAAACATTTTTGAGTGTAAAATTTCATTTATTCTGCAACAAATAATATTAATAATAATTAACGAATTTTTGTATTCTCTGGGATAAAAAAAATTCAATTCATTGAAATAATTGCATAAATTATTATTGGGTCAGAATTTCTCAAACGGATCACCTAAAATTCAGAAATTTTTTTTTTAGTCTCATTTTTTTTTCTCAACGGTTTCTTACACAAAATTGTGTGGGGAATTCAAAAAAAAATTTAATTTTCTTTAGGACGTCAAGAACACTATTTTTTAATAACATTTTATAAATAAATAATATAAAAATCTATTAAATATGAAATTTTTTCAAAATAAAAATTATATTTAGAAACTACATTTTAAGACGAGAAAAACCCTTTTTTTAAATTGGTGAACAGGAAATCGAGAAAAAAATTTTTTAAAATAAGACTGCTAAAAATTTCAATTGTTTATAACTTTAAAAAAAAATTTTTTTTTTACCTAAAAATTTCAGGGACTTATTTTTACCATGTAAGGAGTCAAAAGAAATGATTTTTGATTAAAAAAAAAAAATTTCTGAATTTTAGGTTATCCGTTTGAGAAATTCTGACCGTATTACAGATAATAATTAATTCAATTATTATTTGTTACAAAGAATAATTAAAAAATTTTAAAATCAAATAAATCTTAATTAATGTTTAGAATATGCAATTAGAAAAAAATTTGTTTGAAACTACCAAATGTATTGCATCAAATTTTTGGTTAAATCAAGGAAAATATTAATTGGTACAATAAATTCTTTCTTTATTCGAATTTATTCAAATAAATAAAACAATTTTTGTTTGTATCAAATAAATATTTATTTTCATCAAACAATTTTTATTTGGATGAAATAAATTTTATTTGAATCAAATTCTATTTGAAGTAACCAAAAAATTGTGTTAGTACAAAAAAAATGGTATATTTGGTTCAAATAAAAACTTTTCTCTAATTGTGCGTGTATACCAAGTAACGATAGGCCAGAAATATTAATTGCAACTTGCAACATAATAATCAAACGGAATGTTTCTTCTAAATCTGTAGCTTTTTTCAACAAATATTGATGTTTTTGGCTAAAATTAACAATTTGAATTCGAATATCCTGATAATTTTGACCTTTAATATTGCATATTTCTTCACACAAAATGTCAAATTGACCACATAGATGCATTGCTAATAAAAAGAAAAAAACATCTATTCCAACATTTCCAAGGCCTGTTGTAATTGATTGAATAATTTGAAGAATATAAATGAGAATACACATTGTTATCGATAAAATTAAAAATATATTATTCGTTTCTTGTGATTCTTCTAATAATATTTCACTTGAATTGATGATTGAATTATTTTTCAAATTATTATTGATATTATTTATCAATAATGGTAAATTACCAATGGCGAGAACTAAAATTTCTGAGCACATGACTATTAATTGAGCTTTATAGACAAAATTTCCATACAAAGCATAGGATTTCATTATTTCAAGAAACGATTCATCCTTTATCGTTGACCAATCCTCATTAATTAAAGAAATTATTTGTAATACATTTCTTCGATAATATTGAATAAAAATCACTTTTATTGCAGCTATTGTTCCACATTGGAGATATAATAATAGATCCACCACTTCATCTGCATTACCGTATCCTAATATTATAACTTTTCCTACACTAATCACCAATAACATCTACAGAAAATTTTTTAATTAATTACATTAATTATTACAATAATTATTGAAAATTAACAATTTTTATTGCAAGTTAAAATTCAGATTTCCTGAAATTTAATCAACAATTCTTTTTACAATCCATCACCTGAATAAGAAGAAAAATAATAGTTCGTAATGTGGAAAAATAATTGTCACTAAAGGGCCAAACACCCAATGGCCATAAAATATTCTTAAGTTTCTTTATAGGATTATAATTTTGATCAAGTTTTTCTTCTGACATGACTTTATTGAGAATGAAGTATTTCTTTTGTTGAAAAAAAAGTTTTTGTAAAAATTAAACTGAATTGCGCATGTCCTTAGCTTATGTCACTTTGTTTGTACACTCTCACCCTCTTCATTTTCTATCTACATAACTATATAATTTCTTATTGAGCTCGAAGGAAAAAGTTTACCCTATTGTCTCCTTATAGGAATAATGTAAACCTATCATTATCGTTGATCGACAACTGTAGAGGGTCATGAATTTCAAACAACATTTCTTTTCAACTCCATTTTTATCTTTCTTTTCTGTTGATTCCACGTATATTAAGAAAAAAAAGTAATAAAAAAAGAAAATAATTATTTTTGGTACAAAAAAAGTTGAGAAATAATATTATAAAGAAGCAATTTCTTTTTTAATCGGCCTATATTTTTAGAGTTAAATATTTGGTTCGTGAGATAAGTGACTTAGTCGTTCAAAAAAAATTTAATTAGATTTTATTTAATAAATATAATTGAAATTAAATTAAAAATTTAGATAATTACTAATATTTTTAATTTGATTTTAATATGTTGAATATCTTACAATTAGATTTAATTTTTTTATTATTATTAAATTTTTTTTTGGTTAATTATGTTTATCATTACATTTTTAATTACAAATTTAAAAAAAATTAAATTAAAAAATATTAAAAAATTACGTTTTTCATAATGATATAATTCAAAATGTTTAAAATCATTTTAATTGTATAAAACTACATTATGTTTTTAATGGTAAATATTTTTATAAAATCTATTATTGTTTTTTTTTATGTAAAATACTTAAAAATGAAATTGTTTAAAAATTTTTTTAAAATTCTTTTGGAATTGTTTATTTTTTTCTTTAATTCTTAATTTATTTATTAATTTGCAATATTATATATTTTATAAAGCATCAACAATTTTTAATAAAACTTTTTAGAAATTCAAACTTTTGATAACTCAAATTTCTAAATATTTGACCTTTTTGTAATTCGAAATTTTAGAAATTCGATCTTTTGATAATTTGAATTTCTAAATATTCCAATTTTTTGTAATTCGAACTTTTATGAATTTAATCTTTTGATAATTCGAATACTTGAAAATTTAATTAAATAAAAATTCGAACAAATAAAAATTCTATCCTTTTATAATTCGAACTTTTAGAAATTCGATCTTTTGGTAATTCGAACTTTTAGAAATACGATCTTTTGATAATTCGAATTTTTAAATATTCAATCTTTTTGTAATTCGAACTTTTATAAATTTAATTTTTTGTTAATTCGAATATTTCAAAATTTGATGAAATAAAAATTCGAACTTTTAGAAATTAGATCCTTTGACAATTCGAACAAATAAAAATTTTATCCTTTTATTATTCGAATTTTTAAAAATTCGATCTTTTGATAACTCAAATTTCTAAATATTTGACCTTTTTGTAATTCGAATTTTTAAATATTCGATCTTTTGGTAATTTAAACTTTGAGAAATTTGATTCATAGATAATTCGTACTTTTAGAAATTTATTCTTTTGGTAATTCGAAATTTTAGAAATTCGATCTTTTGATAATTTGAATTTCTAAATATTCCAATTTTTTGTAATTCGAACAAATAAAAATTCTATCCTTTTATATTTCTAACTTTTAAAAATTCGATTTTTTGCTAATTCGAATTTCTAAATATTCGATCTTTTTGTAATTCAAACTTTCATAAATTTAATCTTTTGATAATTCGAATACTTGAATATTTAATTAAATAAAAATTCGAACAAATAAAAATTCTATCCTTTTATAATTCGAACTTTTATAAATTTAATTTTTTGATAATTCGAAAATTTGTAAATTTGATGAAATAGAAATTCGATTCTTTAATAATTCGAGCAAATAAAAATTCTTTTCTTTAATATTTCGAACTTTTATAAATTCATTCTTTTGAAAACTTAAATTTTTAAATATTTGACCTTCTTGTAATTCGAACTTTTAAAAATTTAATTTTTTGAAAATTCGAATATTTCAAAATTTGATGAAATAAAAATTCGAACTTTTAGAAATTAGATCCTTTGACAATTCGAACAAATAAAAATTTTATCCTTTTATTATTCGAATTTTTAGAAATTCGATCTTTTGATAACTCAAATTTCTAAATATTCCAATTTTTTGTAATTTGAACTTTTATAAATTTAATCTTTTGATAATTCGAATACTTGAAAATTTAATGAAATAAAAATTCGAACAAATAAAAATTCTATCCTTTTATAATTCGAACTTTTAGAAATTCGATCTTTTAGAAATTCGAACTTTTAGAAATACGATCTTTTGATAATTCGAATTTTTAAATATTCAATCTTTTTGTAATTCGAATTCGAATTTTATTTCATCAAATTTTGAAATATTCGAATTTTCAAAAGATTAAATTTATAAAAGTTCGAATTACAAGAATAATTAATAATAATTGGAACTTTTATAAATTTAATCTTTTGATAATTCGAATATTTGAAATTTTGATGAAATAAAAATTTGAATTTTGAGAAATTCCCCCCCAATGCATTGTTATAGTTTATACTATTATATTATTAAATAATACATAATATTAAGATTATATAAATAGTTAAAATTTTATTTTATTAATTACTAATGTATCTTGCATCCATCATTAGTTTTAATACTGAAAAATAGGAAACGCATACTTTGAGAATACTAGTGAAAGTATTTAAATTCATTGGAAAAAGTTTTCCAGCGGACAAATTAAATGTTTTTCCAGCTTTTATCATTATAAAATGTACATCCTTTGACAATTTTCTTGGAAATTCATACCATTTACTTTCGTACCATGCAATTCCTATTAATTTTACTCTTGATGATAATAAATCACCAGCAAGACAATAGAGAAATATTTGCATTAATAAAATTTGCATTCCAGTTAATGGCTTTACAGCAGCTAAAAAATCATTTTCTCTTAATTTTACAATTAGTTGTACACCTGAAATTTACAAAAATTCTTGTTACAAATAATGAAAAAAAAAAAAAATTAAAGGAAAAGAAAAAAATTTAAATAAATACCAAACAACGATATACCGGTAATATTAACTGCAATTTGTAACATATTAATTAAATGAAAAATTTCTTCTAAATCCATAGCCTCTTTAAATAAAATTTGTTGTCTTTGACTCAAATTAATAATTTGAATTTTAATCGAATTAAAATGTTTTCCATTAATATTGCGTATTTTTGCACACAACATTTCAAGTTGACCACAAATGTACATTACCAATAAAAAGAAAAAAACATCTGTTCCAACATTTGCAAAAAGTGTAGAAGTACATTCGATCATTTGAAAAATATAAATAAAAATATACATTGTCGTTGATAAATTGACAAATAAACATTTGGTTCCTTGTGGAAGGGGTTGATAATATAGAATTTCACTTGAATTTATAGTTGAATTGCTTATTTGTAAATTTAATGGTAAACTGGAAATTGTGATTAATATTAATTCTAAACAAATGAAAATTAATTGTCCTTTATAGATGAAATTTCCATAAGAAGCGTATGTTCTCATTATTTTAAGTAATAATAATTCTTTTATCGTTATCCAATCCTCATTAATTGACGATATTATTTGTGACACATTTCTTCGATAAAATCGAATAAAAATCACTTTTAGCGCTGCTATTGTTCCACATTGGAGATATAATAATAGATCCACCACTTCATCTGCATTACTGCATCCTAAAATTATTTCTTTTGATACGCTAACAACTGAAATTATCTAAAAAGAAGTGTTTTTTATAAAGAAAAATAAATCATGAAATTTTAATTAAAACTAGCGATGTATTCCTCGCTCGGTTAAAATTGTACTTATTGTTGTTTACTTATTGTAGTTTATGTATATTATATTTATAATTTATGTTTTAAATTAATATCTTATTAATATTGTATAAAATTTATCTTAAAATTGAAAAAAGATGTTACATAAAAATAGTTTGTAAGATTTTCTAAAAGCATATATGCAAAGTATTTTGATTTATTTGAAAATAATTGAAAATAGATTTTTCAAGGACGGTGTCGAGGTCACGGGGTCGGTGTCGTTTTTCGAAATTTGTTAACTTAATATAATAGAAGATGTTTCGTTTTAAATTAAGAAATGTTAAAATTATTAAGTTAAAAACATTTGATTTTAATGACACTTAAAATTAGACACAATATTATAGGTTACTAACTAAAAATTGAAAAAACAACAATAAATAATAAAAAATAATAATAAAAAATTGAAAAAATCAAAAAATTCTTAAAAAATTGCAAAATAACCCTTTTTCGGGATAAAATTGAAAAATAACCCTTTTTCGGGTTAAAATTGAAAAATAACCCTTTTTCGGGTTAAAATTGAAAAAAGATGTTACATAAAAATAGTTTGTAAGATTTTCTAAAAGCATATATGTATGCAAAGTATTTTGATTTATTTGAAAATAATTGAAAATAGATTTTTCAAGGACGGTGTCGAGGTCACGGGGTCGGTGTCGTTTTTCGAAATTTGTTAACTTAATATAATAGAAGATGTTTCGTTTTAAATTAAGAAATGTTAAAATTATTAAGTTAAAAACATTTGATTTTAATGACACTTAAAATTAGACACAATATTATAGGTTACTAACTAAAAATTGAAAAAACAACAATAAATAATAAAAAATAATAATAAAAAATTGAAAAAATCAAAAAATTCTTAAAAAATTGCAAAATAACCCTTTTTCGGGATAAAATTGAAAAATAACCCTTTTTCGGGTTAAAATTGAAAAATAACCCTTTTTCGGGTTAAAATTGAAAAAAGATGTTACATAAAAATAGTTTGTAAGATTTTCTAAAAGCATATATGTATGCAAAGTATTTTGATTTATTTGAAAATAATTGAAAATAGATTTTTCAAGGACGGTGTCGAGGTCACGGGGTCGGTGTCGTTTTTCGAAATTTGTTAACTTAATATAATAGAAGATATTATCACCTGAATAATAAGAAAAATAAGGGTTCGAAAAGTTGAGAAATAATTATTATCACTGAAGGGCCAAGCGCCTACTAGCCATAGTATATTTTTTAGTGGCTTTACAGGATTAAGATCCTGATTCTGAGAACTTTTCTCTACTCCCATGTCTAACGAAAGTGTTATATCTTTTTTTTTTTTTTTTGACGAATAAACTCACGATGACAATTGCAGTTGAACTGCGAATTGCGCAAACTCTATATTCTTAAATTTATTCTTTCTCTGCAAACCTATAATTTCTTATCTAAAGAAGGGAAAAAAAAGTTTACCCCCTTTTTGTAGAAATAATGTAAACCTATCATTATCGACAAAAAAAAAGTTATAAGGTGAATTTAAAACAAACCAGTTCCTTAAATTCTCTTTTCTATTTTCTTGATAATTTTTACACATTGAACAAAAATTATTTTTTTGAAATAAAAAAAGTCAATTGCGAATTACAAAGAAATAATATTTTATTAGATTCTTTCATTTCTGATTCGTATGAAACTAATTTTTTTTTTTACTCTTGAGTCATATATCTTGCATCTAACATTAGTCGAAACACTGAAAAATATGAAACTGACAATTTAAGTATATTACTGAAAGTGTTCATATTTATTGGTAAAAGTTTTCCAGCAGATAATGCAAAAGGTCTTCCAGCTTTCATCATTATAAATAACATATCCTTTGATAAACTTATTGGAAATTCAAACCACAAACTTTGATAAGATGCTAATGTTACCATTTGTACTTTTGATGTTAATAAATCGCCTGCATAGCAGTAGAGAAATAATTGTATCATTAAAACTTGAATAGCGGTCATTGGTTTTAAAGCAGCTAAAAATCCATTTTCTCGTGAAGTTACAATTACTGAGATTCCTGTAAATTTATCAAAATTAGTTAAATTGACTATTTATACGGGTATGTACACATGCAAATGAAGTATTTTGGTTCATATTGAACCTCGAATTCCCAAACATAAATTTGAAAATTTTTGAAACATCTTAGCTTTCTTTGAGGAATTTCTTTAACGATTTCTTTAAGGAATACTTAAAGGAATTTTCAATAGAGGATAGTACAAAAAACAGTTTCCAATTCGTGCAGTATTTTTAATTAATAAAAAAACAATTTATTATATACAGGGTGATTTTTATGTTCCGGACCACTTGGAATTTTTTTTTATCCCACTTTTTTGGTTTAAAAAACGAAAAAAATGAGATTAAAAGGGAAGGGGGGTATTATTAGGGGGTTCGGAACATAAAAAATGACCCTGTATCGAGGGGGAAATAACTTGTGAATTAAGGTGTACACTTGTGTTGAATTATTATCCTGAATTATCTTGAACTACATGAATTATTTGAAGTAACGTGAGTTAACATAAATTAATTTGAATTATCTCGAATTACCATCAAATGTCCGGAATCATCTAAAGTAACGTGAAATAACAGGAATTTTCTTGAATTACTTTGAAATACTTCGAATTATCTCGAATTAATATGAATTATTTTGAAATATATGAATTATCTTGAATTATCTGAAGTAACGTGAATTATCATGAAATATCTTGAATTATCTTGAATTACTATGAATTATCTTGAAGTATAAGAATTATCCTGAATTAATTATCTGAAGTAACGTGAATTATCTGGAATAATCCCGAATTACTTTGAAATAATTTGAATTATCTCGAATTACTTTGAAATACTTTGAATTATCTCGAATTACTATGAATTATCTTGGAGTATATGAATTATCATGAATTATCTTGGAGTATATGAATTATCATGAATTATCTTGAATTACTTTGAATTACTTCGAATTACTATCAATTGTCCGGAATTATCTAAAGTAACGCGAATTAACATGAATTACCTTGAATTACTATGAATTATCTTGAAGTATATGAATTATCCTGAATTATCTGAAGTAACGTTAATTATCCTGAATTAATTATCTGAAGTAACGTGAATTATCTGGAATAATCCCGAATTACTTTGAAATAATTTGAATTATCTCGAATTACTATGAATTATCTTGGAGTATATGAATTATCATGAATTATCTTGAATTACTTTGAATTACTTCGAATTACTATCAATTATCCTGAATTATCTGAAGTAACGTTAATTATCCTGAATTAATTATCAGAAATAACGTGAATTATCTGGAATAATCCCGAATTACTTTGAAATAATTGGAATTATCTCGAATTACTTTGAAATATTTTGAATTATCTCGAATTACTATGAATTATCTTGGAGTATATGAATTATCATGAATTATCTTGAATTACTTTGAATTACTTCGAATTACTATCAATTGTCCGGAATCATCTGAAGTAACGCGAATTAACATGAATTACCTTGCATTACTATGAATTATCTGGTATTATTATGAATTATCTTGAAGTATATGAATTATCCTGAATTATCTGAAGTAACGTGAATTAACATAAATTATCTTGAATTATTTGAAGTAACGCGAATTAACATGAATTACCTTGAATTACTTTGAATTATCTGAAGTAACGTGAATTATCTTAAATTACTTTGAATTATCTTGAATTATAAGAATTATCCTGAATAATCTCGAATTACTTCAAAATACTTTGAATTATCTCGAATTACTATGAATTATCTTAAAATATATAAGAATTATCCTGAATTATCTGAACTAACGTGAATTATCCTGAATTATTTTGAATTATTTTGAAATACTTTGAATTATCTCGAATTACTTTTAATTAACTTGAAGTATATGAATTATTCTGAATTATCTAAAGTAACGTGAATTATCAAAAATTATCTTGAATAACTTTGAATTACTTTGAATTATCTCGAATTACTATTTATTATCTTGAAGTATATGAATTATTTGAATTATCTGAAGTAACGTAAATTATCTTAAATTATTTTGAATTATCTTGAATTATAAGAATTATCCTGAATAATGTCGAATTACTTCGAAATACTTTTAATTATCTCGAATTACTACGAATAATCTTGAAGTATATGAATTATCCTGAATTATCTGAACTAACGTGAATTATCGTGAATTGTTTTGAAATACTTTGAATTATCTCGAATTTACTATTAATTATCTTGAAGTATATGAATTATTCTGAATTATCTAAAGTAACGTGAATTATCAAAAATTATCTTGAATTATCTTGAATTATAAGAATTATCCTGAATAATGTCGAATTACTTCGAAATACTTTTAATTATCTCGAATTACTACGAATTATCTTGAAGTATATGAATTATCCTGAATTATCTAAAGTAACGTGAATTATCAAAAATTATCTTGAATAACTTTGAATTACTTTGAATTATCTCGAATTACTATGAATTATCTTGAAGTATATATATGAATTATTTGAATTATCTGAAGTAACGTGAATTATCCTGAATTATCTTGAATTACTTTGAAATACTTTGAGTTATCTCGAATTATTATTAATTATCTTGAAGTTTATGAATTATTCTGAATTATCTAAAGTAACGTGAATTATTATGAATTATCTTGAATAACTTTGAATTATTTTGAATTATCTCGAATCACAATGAATTATCTTGAATTAACTTGAAGTATATAATTTATCATGAATTATCTGAAGTATCATGAATTATCATGAATTATCTTGAATTATGAAATAGGTGTACACCTAATTTTTTAGTTGTTTCCCCCGCGCTCTGTATATTTATTTATAGATTTTTCTGCGTAATTCGAAATTGCAATTATCTCAAAAACTAAAACTGACTGTAATTTACTGCACTGAAAAAAGGGTTTGATTTTGGGAACAAAACGTTTGGTTGGTATTTAAATAACCAAAATTTTGTTGACGCAACAGAAAAAATTTGGTTCAAAATTTAGTTACTAACCAAACTTTAGTTATTATTATTATTTTGATTATTAAATTCTTTTTTTTTAATTTTGGTTGTGTCATCAAAGTTTGATTGAGACGAACAAAGTTTTGTTGAGTCAACAAAAAAATTATACACCAACCAAATGTTTTGTTGTCAAAACTAAACCCCTTTTTCAAGTGTACATCTGTAAACAGGGTAGAACGAAGTTAATTGATGGTTTCACCCCATTATTAGGGGTAAAACAACCAAATTCGCATTTGGTGTCAAAAAATTCTTAAGAGCATTTGAACCTTCGTGACGTCACAAATCATGGCGCATTACACGCAAACTTCGCAGGTATGTGAAAAGCACAATTTTGAATATTTTTTAAAAAAACCTTTTGGAAAATGTTCAGAATAACATAGACTCTGTCTGTTATGTGCGGAAAATTCAAAATTTTGCGTTTAAAACGTTTTTTAAACAATGTTAAGGTCACAAATCATGGCGCATGACACGCAAACTTCTCAGGTATGTGAAAAACACAATTTTGAATATTTTTTAAAAAAACCTTTTGGAAAATATTCAGAATAACACAGACTCTGTCTGTTATGTGCGAAAAATTCAAAATTTTGCGTTTAAAACGTTTTTTAAACAATGCCTACATATAACCAATTCGTGTATTTTTCCTTACTTGTGACAACCAACTTAAACATTGTTTAAAAAAAGGTTTATACGCAAAATTTTGAATTTTTCGCACATAACAGACATAGTCTATGTTTCTCTGAACATTTTCCAAAAGGTTTTTTTAAAAAATATTCAAAATTGTGTTTTTCACATACCTGAGAAGTTTGCGTGTCATGCGCCATGATTTGTGACCTTAACATTGTTTAAAAAACGTTTTAAACGCAAAATTTTGAATTTTCCGCACATAACAGACAGAGTCTATGTTATTCTGAACATTTTCCAAAAGGTTTTTTTAAAAAATATTCAAAATTGTGCTTTTCACGTACCTGAGAAGTTTGCGTGTCATGCGCCATGATTTGTGACGTCACGAAGGTTCAAATGCTCTTAAAACATTTTATGAAAGCCATTTTACGATACTAAATTTTTCAAAACAAAATCTTATTTGAGAATTTCATTTTTAGAGCAAGTGGTAATTTTAAATAAAATTAAGATTCGTTAGAATAAAATTTGGGTATCCCAAAATTTCTTTCATGTACAGTCAGTCTGGATATTAATTAAATATTATTTTTTTTATATTTATGTACCAAATAATGATATAGCAGTAATATTAATTGCAAGCTGCAACATAATAATTAAACTAAATGTTTCCTCTAAATCCATAGCTTTGCCCAATAATAGTTTGTGTCTTTGACTCAAAGAAACAATTTGTCTTTTAATAGAATTAAAATTGTCTCCATTAATATTACGTATTTCTTCACATAGAATTTCAAGTTGACCACAAATATGCATTGCTAATAAAAAAAAGAAAACGTCCAAACCAACATTTCCAATGCTTGTTGTAATGCACTGAATCATTTGAAAAATATAAATAAAAATGTACGATGTTGTTGAAACATTCATAAATAAACATTTAGTCCCTTGGGGTAGGGGTCGTTGAAATAAAATTTCACTTGAGTTTGAAATTATTAAATTATTTGTTTGCCAAACAGATAGAACGTTTTTAGCCATTAGTAGAAGAAGTTCTGAACAACTGAAGATAAATTGAGCATTGCAGACAAAATTTCCAAATGAAGCATACGATTTCATTATGTCAACTAATGTTGGCTCTTTTATTGTCGACCAATCTTCATTAATAGAAGTAATTGTTTGTGATACATTTTTGTGATAGAAACGAATTAAAATCACTTTTACTGATGCTATTATTGCACATTGTACCCAAACAATTAAATCAATTACTTCGTCTGCATTGCTGCATCCGAGTGTGATTTCTTTTGTTACACTTGCCATTAAACTAATCTAAGAAAATACAGAGTAATTAAATTCTATATTTAATTGAACAATTTATTATCTGAATTGGTTGATTAATTAAAAAAAATTTGTACGAAATAACTGGGCTACTTTTATTTTTATGTTGATTTCATTTCTATTATTAAATGTATTTTCATATTTTTATTCACCTGAATGAGAAGAACGATAAATGCTCGAAAAATGGAAAAAATATTATCAGAAAAAGGCCAAGCACCCAATGGCCATGCAACTCTTTTGAGAATTTTCACAGGATTAAAATCCTGATCAGGTTTCTTTTCAGTCATGTCTATACTGAAGATGAGGAACTCTCTTTTTGATAAGAGAGCTCACGATGACGGTTGAGATTCGACTGGAATTGCGCAAACTCTATTTCTTTTGTTTCCGTATAATTTCATTTAATTCACCCTTGTTATTGTCTCTGAAACCTATAATTTCGCATCAAAGTAGAGAACAAAAAAAAGTTTACCCCTTTTGTGGAAATTTACCGTAACCTTTTATTATCTTCGATTGGGGGGAAAAAAAAAGTATAGAGTCCAATAATCTCAAGCAATTCAATTTTTTTTCTCAGCTATAAAATTCTCAGTGAATTTATAAATATTAACGAATTAATAAGAATGACTTTTAAGATGTTGGTAATTTTTTTTTTTTATTTTGTATCCTCACCTTTGCTTTCTAGTTGGGAATGAAAACATTGTTTCTATGGAATAATTTTTCTTCAAAATGAATAGGGGGAAACTTTTTTCAAAAGTGTAATTGAAAATTATACCTTGGAAGAAATTTGAGAGGGTGAAGAATAAAAATAGAAACGGAAACTTTCAAAAGAATAGCGTCTGCGCAATTCAGTTGAAAATATTTTGTCTCATCGAGCACTTCTAAAAAAGAATCCAGAAAAAAGAAAAAATTAACTGAGTACTGCGTTAATACTGTGGCAGTAACACTGACCTAAATTGTAAAAAAAAATGACTTAACCGTAGAGAAAATTTAATAAAAATAATAATAATACTTAATAATGGATAAATATTGATAAATAATTTATGAAAGTACCTGTAATTGGCAAAAACAAAGAGTTTTATGAATTATTGTTTTTATACTGTCAGTGCAACACTGTACATGTGATACTGTGGATAAATGTAATCTTCTTTACCGACTGTTGATATTTACCAGTTGAAAATTTCTATTTTCGAAGAAGAAAATACATAATTAGTATAATAATAAATATAATCACAATAATTATATCAATATACAATAATTTAATTTGTTTTCTTTTTCGAAAATAGACATTTTCAACTGGAAACTATCAAAAGTCGGTAAAGAAGATTACATTTACCAACAGTATTACATGTACAGTGTTGCACTGACAGCACAAAAAAATATTTCACAAAACTCTGTTTTTTCTATTTATTTTTATTAAGTTTTCTGTACGGTTAAGTCGTATTTTTAAATCTTTTTTCTGAATTCTAATAATTTCTTAATTTTTAGTTTAATTGTCAACGTTCAATTTTCATTAAAATCCCATTTTATTAATACATTTTCACTACAAAAATGTCACGATACAATTAAACATGATACATTAATCTGAGAAGAGAGAAAAATGAAAATGTCGCTTTTAATATGCTTGAAAATGTTTTCATATTCATTGGGAACATTTTTCCTGCTGTTAAAGTAAATGGTTTTTCCGTAATCATTAAAATAAAATATAAATCTTGGGATAATTTTTTTGGCAAATTATACCATGATATTTGATATATTGCAAATGATAATTTCATTATTCTTGAAGATAAATTTTCTCCCGCAAATGAATATAAAAATAATTGGACCATTAAAAGTTCGGAAGCAAAAATTGATTTAATTCCACCTAATAATCCGTAGATTTGCATATTTGCCAGGCATTGAATTCCTAAAAAGAAAATAAAAATTATAGGTAACATTAAAAACTTCCAACTAAATTGTATTAAGTAATTTAAAAATAGTTTTACCATACGAACAAATTCCAGTAATATTAACAACAAGTTGCATTAAAATCATCAAATTAAATGTCTTTTCCAAAAATTGTGCCTCTTCCCATAAAAGTTGATGTCTTTTTATTAATTCAATAATTTTCAATTTTGTCTCTTTAACATCAATTGTACCTTCAAATTGAGAAATTTCTTCATATAAAATTTCTAATTGTCCACAGACAAGCATTGATAAATTAAAGAAAAAAATATCCATTCCAACATTTCCAAATGCTGTTGAAATCAATTGAATGCTTTGCACAAAACTAATTGTCAAATATGAACTTGTCGAAACATTCATAAAAAGACACTTGGTACGTACAGGAAATCCTCGTTCAATAATAATTTTATTTGTACTACTGTCATTTGACAAAGAATTATTATTTTCCATTTCACCCGAGAATGCCAAACTTGACAAAATTTCTAATGAAATAATTGTAGCCGTGGAAATTGATTGAGCATAAAATACAAAATTTCCACGACTCACGTATTTTTTCATAATTTTTTTATATTTCATTTCTTTCATTAAATTCAATTCATCACTGACGGAAGAAAGAATTTTCGCAAGATATTTTCTATGTAATCTCAGCGATAAAACTTTTATTGCTGCTATTGTTCCTAATTTTTGAAATTCAATGAAATCCACTCTTTCCTCTGAGGTACAACATCCTAGAGTTATTTCCATTGTAACACTTGTGACCAAACTTATCTAATTCAAAAAAAAATATCTCTCAATTATTTTTTAGTTTGCTTCTAGTTGCCTAAAATGGATTCTGGAAGTATTAATTTTAGCAGCGACAATATTTTTTTTTAAAGAATTTATTATTTACAAGAATACAATTAATATAATAAAATTTGTAATTAAAAATATTTTTTCAACACCTCAATGATGATGACGATAAATGTTCGAAAAATGGAAAAAATATCGTTCGATAATGGCCAAACACCCACGGGCCATGTAACAATTTTAAGAATTTTTAGAGGATTTAAATCCTCTTTGGTAGATTTGTCATTTTTCATTGTATATATATATATATGTTTTTTTCGTATTGTTAGAATTTTATTTTTGTTGCAAGTGATCGTGATGACAAACTACATTCAACTAAAATTGCGCAGTCTCTTCATTTCTGTAGGCTTCTATTTCCGTAGTTTTTATTTATTATGCGTTCCACCCCTTTGATGAGCTGTACATAGGGTATAATTTTCAATTATACTTGTAGAAACAAGTTTTCCCTTCTAAATGTCTCTTTAAGTATGAAAATTATTTTTTTTTATACTTGGTCACGAAGATCAATTATAATGTTCGTTTAAATGTAAAGAATAAAATCAAAAAAAATATATATATTTATTTATATTTTTTAAAAATTTACTGGAGATTAAACAACAATATAATAATCAAAAGGAAAGTAAAAATCGATAATTTTCAACAAAAATATATTTAGTGAAAAATGTTTAACAATAAGAGGAGGTAACAAATAGAAAAAAAATTTTAACCTTTAAACTGATTGAAAAATTACGTTTAGTGCTTTTCCCGGTCTGTCAGACCGCTATTTCTTTTTTATGTTTTTCCATGTGATTTGAAATTAATTAAATTTAAATTATGTATATGTTTTTTATTTTATTACATTGAACAATTTGTTTCATTATTTTATTTATAAATAATTGAAGTATGGTACAAAATCATGAAAACGTAAAAATAATAATTGCAGGTTATGATAACTGAAGAAACTAGTTGCGCAAGAAGATGCGCAGAAGTTATCTTTACTTAATGCCGGTATTACAGAAAGCTATATGTACGACATTTGATTATAGTAAAATTTAAAGAATTTTAAACTTTGAAACAATTGTCACCTAACATTTTTTCATGAAATATGAAAAGCTTGTAAAAAAAATAATAATAGAGACCGCTATATCAGTTTAAAGGGTTAAAAAATATTTCCTCTGAGGCAGCAAAAAAGCTAAAATTAAAATAATAAAATTGTAACAATAAACATGATAAGACACGGTGCGCCAGAAGGAGGTTTAAATAAAAATGAATTGGCACTTAAAAATTCTTTTTGATTATGGTTCTAAGATGAATAAAAAACTTTTCTCAATAGGTTTTAAAATCAGCTTACGTGCCCAATTTAAAACAAATTGAGTTTTAAATATTTAAAAATAGTATTTTATGAGGAACCAGAATTTATTTAATGTATACTTATATGCGTATAGATAATAGATGTTTTAGATTTGGGTTGATATAAATTTATTAACAATGAAGTTATTTTCTTGTTTCGTTTTTATATTTATGCATTAAGAGTGTCGAACGGTATCTGAAATTCTTTGGCAAGAAGAGAGCTTTAATTATCGCTCTGAACGTGAAATAGTATTGATTTTAAAATAACAGCTGCGACTTTGTGCGCCCTGCATGCTGCTGCCATCTGACGGCGGCAGGAGGTAATGTACCTGGCATTATATTACTTTTCGTTTTGCAATCGTGTTTTTGTATAGATTCGCATAATCTTTCGAATTTAGGAAATTTATATAAGATAACGATCTCTAGCTGCTTTTGTAAAAAGTTTCTGTCTTTCGAGAAGAAAGTATTTTAAAATCAATGTTTATCATTTTCACGTTTAGTGCCGTTTTTATAGAGCGATAATTAAAAGTCTCTTCTTGCCAAAAAATTTCAGAGACCATTCGACTCTCTTAAATAAATTTTGTCACTCTTAAAATCGTTCTTTTAACATTATAATTTAATTTTTTTAAATCGGACGCAAACACTACAGCAATATAATTATTTATATGTAAAATTGAAAATAAGTAATTATATTATCATTTATTACAGTATTTATTAGATTAAATAAATTCTGATTCCCCATAAAACACTGTTTTTATATAAAAACTCAATTTTATTTAAATCGGGCACGTAAATTGATTTTAAAAACTATTGAGAAATGTTTTTTATTTATCTAAGAATCATAATCAAAAAAGAATTTTTAAGTGCCAATTCATTTTTATTTAAGCCACCTTCTGGCGCACCGTGAAGAGGGTAAATTAGTAAAAATTTTGTTACATACCTAGTAAAACTCTAAAAATTAAAAATAATAATTAACATTTATTAAGAAAATAATTTTATTGAATCAAAAATTTTTAAACCTTTTAATAATAATATTAAAAAATATAAAGTTATTTTTATGAAAATTAATATTTATTAATTACATATTTAAAAATATAAGTTTTTCGATTATTTTTAAATACACTATGTATCCAACATTAGTCTGAGAACCGAAAAATACGTAACTGAAACTTTAATAATATTGGTAAATGTGTCCATATTCATACCCACAAGTTTTCCAGCTGTTAAACGAAATGGTTGTTCAGCCCTTATCATTATAAAATAAATATTTTTCGCCAAATTTTTCTTTAATTCGTACCAACAACTTTGATATGCTCCAAGTGTAATCATTTTTACTTTCGTTGATAACACTTCACCAGCATAACAATACAAACCTAATTGAACCATTAGAACATCAATTGCAGTTAGTGGTTTTATTGCTGCTAAAATACCATATTTTCGTAAATTGACAATTAATTGTATTCCTGAAAATTAAAAATTAGTCAAAAATTATCGGCAAAAAAAAATTTTTTTGTTGATTAACAAAATTTTTGAAGCAAGGGGTCAAATTTAAAGCAAGTCGTTGGTATAATGAAATTTTATATTCACCAAATAGGGAAATTCCAGTAATATTAATAGCAAGTTGAACCAAAATAATTAAATTAAATGTCCTTTCGAGGCTTTGAACATCATCCAATAATTTCTGATGTCTTTTGCTTAATGTAACAATTCGCAATTTATCCTCATTTAAATTATTTAATCCCTGGAATTCAGCAAGTTCTTGTTTCAAAATTTCCAATTGTCCCGACACATGCATTGCTAAACTAAAGAAAAAAATGTCCGTTCCCACATTTCCAAGACCAGTGCAAATTAATTGAATGCTCTGTAAAAAATAAACTAAAGCATAAGAAGTTGATGAGACATTCATAAAGAGACACTTTGTTCTTTGTGGTAGCATTCTTTCGAATATAATTTCCTCTGTGCCATTTGTTGTATTTAATTTTACACCGGGAGTAAAAAATGGCAAATTACCAACAACTTGAAAAAAAATAACAGTCGATGTTGATATTCCTTGTGCATAAAAAACAATATTTCCAGTACGAGCATAGGATCTCATGATTTTAATTAATTCTTCTTTCCTTGTGACAAACCAATCGTCATTCATTGTAGTGATTATTCGCGCTATATTATCACGATAATAACGAACCAATATCACTTTTAAAGCTGCTATTGTTCCAAATTTTTGCAATTCAATAAAATCAATCACCTCCTCCGGATTACAGCATCCAAGAGTTATTTCTATTGTTACACAAGCTACTAAACTGATCTGAACAGAGTTTGAAAAATTAAAAAACAAAATCGGATTGTCAATATAGAATTAATAAATCTTTGCAATAAATTTTTTATTCCAAATTTTTGTTATAATAATAGTTAAATAAAAAATTTCTTTTTTGATACCAGATTTGTCAGTTCTAAATTTTCAATTCGGTTATTAGATTTAATTATTTTTCGACTCTGAATTTTAATTACAAAAAATTTATCAAAGAAACGGATAAAATTTTTTTTTTGACACCTGTATGGCAATGAGAACGAGAGTTCGAAATAGCGAAAAATAATTATCACTCAATGGCCAAATTCCCATTGGCCATGCAACATTTTTCAAAATTTTAAAAGTATTTAGATCTTTCTCCGATGACATTTTGCGAGAGAAATGTTTGCGTTGAAAAAAATTCAATTGATTTGAATTGCGCAGACTCTATTGCTTACTTTAGATAATTATGAAATTTTTATTTACCTAATGCACCCCTTTTTCTTCTTGTATATTTTGTGCTGTAATTTTCTCTAAAAAAAAAAACCCTCTTTTTTTTGCATTGCATATGAAAATTATTTCGAAGAATTCGTGACTTAAACTTGTCATTAAATTCGATCGAAAGAATAAAGAATTAATACAAGTATACGTAAGTTATTTGTCATTGAAATATTTTTACTGCAACATCTTTATTTTTCCTATCAATTTTTTTCAATAATGTAAAATATGGTTTTAAAAAGCCTCAATGAAATTTTATTTCACAAACAAAAATATGTTTAAAATTAACTAAATACAGAAAAAATAACACAAAATTAAGGGAAAAATTATTTTTTTTTTTTAACACGAACAAAGGAAATAATTATATTTACAATAATAACGATTTGTATACTTGATTATGAATTGAACATTAATCGAAGTACTGAAAAATAAGAAACTGTTGCTTTGACAATACTGGTAAATGTTTTCATATTGATAGTTAACATTTTTCCTGCTGTTAAAGTGAATGGTTTTTCGGCAATCATTAAAATAAAATATAAATCTTGTGATAAATTTTTTGGTAAATTATACCATGAACTTTGATATGTTGCAAATGATAATTTCATTATTTTTGATGATAATTTTTCTCCCACATAGCAATATAAAAATAATTGCACCAATAGTAGTTCAACAGCAAAGAAAGATTTCATTCCACCCAAAATTCCATATATTTGCATATTAACGATACCCTGTAAGCCTTAAAATAATTGGATTAAATTTTTTTTTAATTTCATAAATACATTTAAAAAAAAAATTTTTTTAAATAATTTTTTAATTTTTGCAAAATGAAAAAAATAAAAATAAATAGAGCTAATTTTTTATGATTCTTAATTGAATTTCTTTTCTTTTGATTTAAAAAAGATAATTTTAGAATAAATTCATAAATATTTAAACAAATATCTATTTACAGAAATATAAAAAAAATTTTCCTCTACGATGAAAGTAATATTTACCATATGCACAAATTCCAGTGATATTAATTGCAAGCTGCATCAAAATTGTCGAATTAAAAGTATTTTCTAAAGTTTGTGCCTCACGCCACAAATGTTGATGTCTCTTAACTAATTCAACAATTTTCAATTTTATCATTGTCAAATCATCATTTTCCTCTAGTTGCGATATTTTTTCATATAAAATTTCCAATTGACCACAAATTTGCATTGATAAATTAAAAAAAAATATATCAATTCCAATATTACCAAATGCTGTGGAAATTAATTGAATTGTTTGAAGAATACATATTAATACATAGGAATTTGATGAGACATTGACAAATAAATATTTTGTTTTTAATGGAAATCCTCTTGCATTAACAATAATTTCAGAATTATTTTGTAAATTATTTATTTCAATTGTTGGTTGAACAATTAATAAACTGGAAATTACTTGTAGAGAAATAATTGAAGCTGTTGAAAATGTTTGTGCATAAAATACAAAATTGCCAATATTTCCATAAGTTTTCATGATTTTTTGAAATTTTGTCTCTTTCAACCAACACCAATCATTATTCACTGAGGAAATAATTTGAGCCACATTTTTACTATAAAATCGTAGTAAAAACACTTTTAACGCTGCTATTACTCCAAATTTTTCTAATTCTATGAGATCTATTACTTCATCTGTAGTATTCATTCCTAATTTTATTTCTATTGTCACGCACGTGATAAGACTAATCTGAAGGAAATTCACATTCAAAATTTTCTGTTGACTACGATTTTTTATTTAATTCAATATGTTTGAATGAATTTTTAAAAAAAAATTTAACTAATTATTTCAAAATTTTATTTGAGCATTAATAATTGAAAAAATTTTAAATACTATACAAAATAAAATAGTTTCAATTTATACAGAGTGATTTTTATGTTCCGGACCCCCTAAAAAAATTTTTTTTTTAATTCCACTGTTTTTTGTTTAAAAAACGAAAAAATGAGATTAAAAAATTTTTTTTGGGTATCCGGAACATAAAAATCATGCTATATAATAAAAATACTTGAAAATTCTTAATTAATTTGAAAATTCAATCCCGTCAATTTATTAAATAAAAATAAATAAATATGACAAAAATTTTAACCAGTTAAAAACGTTCAAAAGTATTGAAGAATTAAAAAAAATTACAGAAATAAATTTCCATTTCTAGCGACATATGTACTTATTACAACACCTGTATTAAAGAAAACAGAAATGTTCGAAATAAGGAAAAAAAATTATCATTTATAGGCCATACACCCATGGGCCATGCGACTTTTTTCAAAATTTCCATAGGATCTTGAATTTTTTTGTAAAACATTTTTTTTTCCATTTTCCTTTTAATCCATGAAGATTGTAAAAAAAATTTTTCTTTTTCTTGAAAGTGTTCGCGAACACGTACAGAATTTAACTGAATTTGCGCGTGCGTTTTCTTAGGCTTAGTTTTCCATTATATTTTTTCTTTATTTATGCAAATACAACCCTTTTCATTGAATGATATACTTATCAGGGGTATAATTTTCTTCTAAATGTGGGAAAAAATTTTTCTTCTTCAAATTGTCATCATGTAAAAATAATATTCAGGAAACGATGATTGTCGATCGACATAATAGAAAATTATATGTTTAACTCATTATCATTTTGCATGTAGTTTCATTTTTTTCTCCTTTTTTTTTTTTTATTAAAGTGCCTTTGTCAAATAAAAAACTTACAAAAAAAAATTTTTTTTTTTTTAGAAAAATACAAAAAATTTATTTAAAAAATTAGTGATAAAAAATAAAGAACAATTTATCTCAATCGTCAAATTTAAACATTACCAATAATACAGAAATATATGACATTGATGCTTTGACGATATTTTTGAAATTCTCAATATCCATGTTATAAAATTTTCCAGCAGTTATGTGAAATTTTATTGTTGTTCTCATCATAATAAAAACCAAATCTTTAATTACATTTACTGGAAAACGATACCAGGGACAATTGTAAATTGCCCTCAATAAAGTAATATTATTAAATTCAGTTAAAGAATTTCCAGCTAAACAATAGATAAAAAGTTGCGCCATCAAAACCATAAATGCTAATATTACTCTCGGTAATAGTAGTGTATTTCCCGTTTTTATGGAAATAATTATTTGTATTCCTATAAGGATAAATTTTAATTAATTAAGAAGAAATTTTTATTTTATATTTTTAGTTTTGATCACTGATTAAATTTGATTTAAATTTAAATCAGTGAGATTTCAATGATGAAATAGTTGGAATTTAGTTATTGAATCAGTAAGATTTACTGAAATTCAATCATATTTAACTGAAAGTTAGTAGATATCTTTACAATTAAATCTGCATTATCATTAATTGATAAAACAGATTTGATTTGATCAGTAAAGAATTCTATTTTACCGATTAATGATAAAAATTGTTTAAATTAGTAATAATTCGATGGATTTAATCATTAATCGGTAAAACAGAATTCTTTATTGATTGAAACAGTCAAATCTGTTTTACCAATTAATGTACTATTACAATCAGTAAATTGTTTTAAAGAACGAAAAATAATTTTTTTTACTTATTTACAGAATGTAAATAATATTTTATGCCACATGTAATTACAGTGAAACCCACGTATATCGGACTTTGCCGACTGATGGTAATTTTTTTTTTTTTTTTGAAAAATGAAAACATAAAAAATTACCGGCATAGAAATCTACCTTACCGGCTGATAGTAAAACAGTTTTTTGGAAAGTGATAACATAAAAAATTACTGATGTAGAAATCTACATTACCAACTCATAGTAAATTTTTTTGAAGGAATTCTAAGAATTTTTTATCATCAGTCGGTAAGGTAGATTTCTATGTCGGTAATTTTTATATTTTCCCACTTAAGTCGGATTTTTTTCCGGTCCTTAAAAATCCGATATTCGTGGATTTCACTGTAATTAAATAAATATAAAAATGTAGCTACCTAAAATGACGATAATTAACGAATTTAAAAATAATTGAAACATTAGAATCCAGTTAAATGAATCCTCGAGATTTTGAGAAATATTAAGAAGACGATTATGTCTTTTAATTAATAAATTCAAATCTCTACGAAGTTGAATTTCATCTCCAATTTTTCCAAAATATATCATTTGATTTTCTAAAATTTTCAATTGTCCACAAATATGCATTGCGAGACCAAAGAAAAAAACATCAGGACCACAATTTCCAAGTGCAGTACAACACAATTGAAAACATTGAATTGAATAAATCCATATGTTTGTTGTTTTTGACATTTGTTTATAAAAACAATCCATTGGTATTGGAAGTGGATTTAGTGGTGTGGTGATATTTTGAAATTTTTCTTTATCACCCAATAAAAGTGGCAAATTTGTAATAATCATCACTATTACTGTAAAAAGTGCAAAGGACATTTGACCAATATAAAATGATCTACTTTTATGAGCAAAGGATCTCATAATTTTTAATGACGTCTCATCATTATTTGATGACCAGTCAATAATTGCTGAGGATATTATTGTTAATAATTTTTTTCGATTAATTCTAATCATTAATATTTTTATAAAACACATTAATGCACACGTTAAATTTCCTATTAAGTCTATTTTCATATCTATTGAACTGCAATTTTGACATACTTCTCCTACTATGCTGATTAAAAAGCTAATCTGGAAGAAGAAAATTTTATTATATTGACAATATAGTTTTATATAAAATATACAAAGGAATTCAGAAAAAAAAAATTTCATCAGGAAAATTTGGGAAGTTAAAAAATAATTTATTAGTTGAAAAAGAATTTAAATATTATTATTATTAAAATTTTAATTAAATGTAAATTCAATCGATTGAAACTTAAAATTAATGAAATTTCATTCTATCTGAAGATTAATGGATTTAAGTTTTAAATTTTGAATTTCAATTTATTAAAATGTGAATTGATTCAAGTTTCAAATTATCCAAATTTCAATTTGAAAAAAAATTTTCATTAATTGAAGTTTCAAATTATCCAAATTTTAATTGATTTAAATTTCAAATTATCTGAATTTTAATTTATTCAAATTTTAAATGATTTAAATTTTAAATTATCCAAATTTTAAACCGTTTAAGTTTAATATTATAAAAATTTTAAACGATTTAAATTTCAAATTATCCTAATTTTAATTTATTCAAATTTTAATTAATTTAAAATTTTAATTATCCGAATTTCTATTTGTCCAAATTCTAATTTTCTTACGTTTAAAATTATCCAAGTTTTAAACGATTTAAATTTCAAATTATCTAAATTTTAATTTTTTAATTAATTTAAAATTTAAATTATCCGAATTTCAATTTGTACAAAGTTTAATTCATTTAAGTTTCATATTATCCCAATTTTGAACGATTTAAATTTTAAATTATTCGAATTTTAATTTATTCAAATTTTAAATATCCGAATTTCAGTTTATCCAAATTTTAAACGATTTAAATGTCAAATTATCCGAATTTCTATTTGTCCAAATTTTAATTTACTTTCGTTTAAAGTTATACAAATTTTAAACGATTTAAATTTCAAATTATCCAAATTTTAAACGATTTAAATTTTAATTTATTAATTTTGTAATTAATTTAAAATTTAAATTATCCGAATTTCAATATGTCCAAATTTTAATTCATTTAAGTTTCATATTATCCAAATTTTGAACGATTTAAATTTTAAATTATCCGAATTTTAATTTATTCAAATATTAATTATCCGAATTTAATTTATTCAAATTTTAATTATCCAAATTTAAATTTGTCAAAATTTTATTTTACTTACGTTTAAAATTATCCAAATTTTAAAACGATTTAAATTTCAAATTATCCGAATTTTAATTTATTCAAATATTAATTGATTTAATTTTCAATTTATCAAAATTTTAATCTATTTAAGTTTAAAATTACCCAAATTTTAATTGATTCAAAATTATCCTAAATAAATAAATAAGTAAATTATAAATTATAAAATATAAATTACAAATTTTGGTAAAAATTTTAATAATAAAATTTTATTTATTTAGTATTCAAACCTGAGTGATAAGAGCAAGTGATGTGCGAAAAATAGAAAAATTATTTTCGCAATCAAGGGGCCATATGCCGAGAGGCCAAGTGATCCATTTATAAATTTCAAGTCCATATATTGTGTCTTTGTTCTTTATTTGTTGAGTGCTTTCCATGTTTGTCATAAGATCATAACTGTTCATTTTTTTTGTACATAATATCACCCCATCCCCTTCTTGTATCATTATTTATAAAACATTCCTCGTATTATTACCTACTTCCTGATGCACTCTATCTACTTCTTGTTATTTATTCAAAAAAAAAGAAAAAACTCAACGTATTCTTTCTCTCTAATTTTCATATTAAATAACTTGCGCCAGCGTATCAATGAATGAGCAAACAGTATATGAATTAAAAAATATATCTAAGAATACTTATTAATTTCTACAGTTACATATTTCATAATAATAATTTTACACAATTTAAAATAATTTTTAATTATTAATTATTTTATTCCCATTAAATAATTTTAAATTTAATTTTATTTACTTTTTCTTTTTCTAATTTCGGTTATTGAATGATAATCTCAGTTTTATAAATTATTTTCGATAATGACATTTTACCGATAATTGAGGAAATAATAAAAAAATAAGGATTGAAATTAATTTGATTTGATTTCTGATAATTTTGTCATACTTCTAATTTGAACATTACCATTAGAACGGAAATATATGATAATGATGCTTTAACGATATTTTTAAAATTTTCCATATCCATATTGCAAAATTTCCCAGCAGTTATGTGAAATTTCAATTGTGTTCTCATCATAATGAAAATTAAATTCTTACTGATATTTGTTGGAAAATTATACCATGAACAATTATAAACTGCATCCAATAAAATTTCATTTAATGTTGTCAAATAATCACCCGAATAGCAATAGATGAAAAATTGAAAAATTATCACTAGCACAGCCATTGCCGATCTCGATACTAATAAAATATTTCCTGTCTTTAGATTCATAATTATTTGGATTCCTGAAAAAAAAATTATTTTTTAACACTAAAATTGTTTGAAAATATTCAAATCGAGCATAATTTTCAGAAATTATAAAAATTTTGTTTCAATCACTGAATTAATTAAACATAGTAATTATAATTGCTACACTGAGAAAAATGTTTAGTCAGAGCAACCAAAATTTGGTTGGGCCAACAAAAAAATTTTGTTGGTATTTAAGCAACCAAACTTTTTGTTTGAGTCAACCAAAAAATTTGCTTGAGTGTTTTTTGTTGGCATAACAAAAATGTTTGGTTAGCCCAACCAAATTTTGGTTGGAGTTTAAAAATGTTCAACCAAATAATTTTGTTGGCCTAACCAAATATTTGGTTGAAATAACTGTACGACTTTGTTTCAGCCAACCAAAATTTGGCTACAAGAACCAAAATTGCCTAACCAAACAATTTTGTTGCAAACACTAAATTTTTTTTCTCAGTGATAAAGAAGACAAAAAAATAATAATAATAACATAGTAATATAGTAATAATACAGTAATAATAATAATAATAATGATAATAATAACCTAAAAAGACAATAATTAATAAATTAAAAAAAAGTTGAACCAACAAAATTCCAGTAAAAGAATCCTCAAGCGATTGTGACATGTTAATTAGATGATTATGTCTTTTAATTAATTTTCGTAAATTACATTGAAGTAGAATTTTATTTTCAATTCCTCCAAATTGTGTAATTTGATTTTTCAAAATTTCAAATTGTCCACAAATATGCATTGCCAATCCAAAGAAAAAAACATCACTACCAGTACAGCCAATTGTTGTAATATACAATTGTAAACTTTGTATTACATAAACACAAATATTAATTGTCATTGACATATTTTTTTTATAAAGACAATCCATTGACATTGGCAGTGGATTAAGGGGTAAACTTATATTTTCAAATTTTAATTCATCTACTGTCAATAAAAGTGGAATATTTCCAGCAACCATTACGCTTATGATAAAAAATGCAAAAAAAATTTGTCCCATAAAAAATGATCTACCAGTTTGGGCATAAGATTTCATTATTGTCTGTGAATTATCATCTTTTTCTAATAACCAATCTTTCATTGCTGATGATAGGACAAAAATTATTTTATTATGATGAAGACGAATTATTATTATTTTCACAAGACACATTACAACGCATGATAAATTTGCAATATAGTCTACTTTCACATCCATTGTGATGCAATTTTGTGATACTTCTGCTATTAAACTAATTAAAAATGTAATCTAAAAGAGAAAATTTTTTTATTAGGTAATAAATTTTATTTATTATATAATTAAATTATTTGAAATGGAAAAAAATTTCTTTGATTCAAATAATCTGTTATTTGACTATTGTCAAATAAATATTTACTTGAACCAAAATTAAGTTTTATTTGACTTAAAGAAATTGTATTTGAACCAATAATTTCTGCAATTTGAAACAAATACCTACCACCTCAAATAATAATTAATAAAAAAAATTTTTTTTTAGTTTTTATAATTATTTGTTATTTCAAAAAAATAATTCATTTTTGTAACTTTATTTTTAATTTGCAGAAATAGTTTTGGAATTGAAGAAAAAAATTCTTCAAAATTACTGGAATATTTGTTGAATAAAGAAATAAATATGTTTTTCAAAACAGAGAAAATGAATGAAACTATTTTTTATCTGAATAAAAAAGCAGATTTTTTTTTAAATTAAATATTAAAATAATATTTTTACACAAAATTTGTAAATAAAACCAAAGAATTTTAAAAAATATGAGAAAATTTTCACAAATTTAAGATCTGAGGAAGAAAATTAATTTTTTTTTTTATTATTTATTTGTATCAATTGAAAATAATTAAAATTTTGACGAGAGTCAGCTTTAAGAAGGAAATTTTTTTTTTTTTTGCACAAACCTGAGATATAATAGCGAAAATCAAACGAAAAATGGAAAAATAATTTTCGCAGCCAAAGGGCCATGTGCCCATTGGCCAAGAGATCCATTTATAAAGTTTAAGTCCATATGATGAGTCTTTTGTCCAAAGAGGCTCAATTCTTTCCATGTTTGACAGAAGAACATCACTGCACCCCTTTCTCACATAAAACCCCCCCAATGCAATCATCATTATTTATAAGGCTTATATACATATCATTTTTCTATTTGCGAATTTAACCGAACTCATTTCAATTATTCATTACAAAAAAAACTACCCATTTCCCGTGTCATTTATCTATATACACAATTTACATAAACGATATTATGTGTGTAAACGCAACGTTAATGTCTAAAATTATTATCAAAGAATAAAGAAACAGAAGATAAATTTAGTTCGTTAGGAATATTTAAAAATATATATTTAATAAGAACAAAAAAAAAAAATTTGAAAAAATTGAGAGAAAAATTTAGATATTTTGTAAAAAAAAAAAAAAAAAATTTTTGTAAAGAGATTGTAACTAATGGAAAAAGATTTATGAAAATATAATAGAGGAAATAATGAATTAAAAAAAGGTGGTAAAAGTTCAAAATTAAAAATTATTTCTCATTTATTTGTGTATTTTTTTTTTTTTAGAAAAATATTTGAGAACTATAATGATTTTTTAAATATATTATATAATCATAATATTAAGAGTAAATTATAAAATATTTTTTTTTTTTTAAGAATATTAATAAATTTTTTATTCTTTTTCAAGAAGAATTCGCATCACGGAGAAAAAGCTCATAGCAGTTTTCATAGCAGTTTTAAACATTTCAAGATTAATATTACAAAAATGTCCCGCAGTTAGATTCATTAAATTTCTTCCACGCGTTTGAATGTGAAGAATATTTCTGCTTACTTTCGGTGAACAAGAATACCAAAAACAATGATATATTGCTTCAGTTGTTCTTTCAAATCGATATTGTAAATAATCGCCGATATAACAATAAATAAATAAACTCATAACGACAATTGAAAATCCACAAATTGTCCTGCCAGCGGTAACTGTATCTCCTTGTTTTAGATAAATCAGGGTTAGCAGTCCTGAAATTTAAAAAAAAATATATATATAAATCACACGTTTTGTGAAATTTTTTTTTCTATTTCCACTTTGATTTTTCTTTTATTTTCACTTTTACTTTCCTTTTGACTGAAAAGTAAAAAAGATGTTTAAAAATTACCGACATAGAAATCTACCTTACCGACTGACGATAAAAATATAAAATACCGACATAGAATTCTACCTTATCGACTGATGGTACAACATTTTGAGAGAATTCCAGGAATGTCGGTAATTTATGTTCATTTTCCAAAAAATGTTTTACCATCAGTTGGTATGGTAGATTTCTGTGTCGGTAATTTTCTATATTTTTATTTGTCAAAAAAAAATTACCATCAGTCGTTAAGGATTTACGGTAAATTTACCTGTTAAGCACATCATTATAATGTCCATAGTAAATTGAACAAGCAGAATATAAGTCAAACTCTCCTTTAAATCATCAGCTAATTCAATAAGCTCACAATGTCTATTGATGAGGACGCGTATTTTTCTGAAACTTTGCAAATCATGAAATTCATTAAAATCTTCTTCACGAACTTTCGACTCAATAATTGACATATTTTCCTCTTCCTCATATTTTTGACCTTTGCTGCCAAATTTTTTGAAACGTAAACTCAAAATTTGCGCTTGTCCACAAACATGCATTATCATTGCAAAGAAAAAATAATCAGTGCCAATATTTCCATTGACAATGTACAATTGTTGAACTGCCTGAAGAACATAGACACTTTGATATTCCAATATTGACATATTTCTAAATACACAAACAGTTGACAATGGCAAACCCTGTTCCTCTTCTAAATTACTTGCCATTGGTGCAATCACGTACATTACAAGTGTAAAATAACTGAACATTGCTTGGAAGATGAAAACAATTCGACTAACTTTTGCATGATGTGCCATTATTACCAGAGATTCTGGATCATCTTCTTTAAGCCAATCGGCTTTAGCGCTATTACAATTTCTCATTAATTTACGTTGATGAAATCGAAGTAAAATTGTTTTTATTGTTGCTATCACTGTCACTGTCCAAAATAGAAAATGATCAGCCGCTTGTCTCAGTTCACCACAGTGGAAGGCAATACTAAAAACAACTTCAGTACCTATCATCAAAACTGTTGAAATCTATATTTAAAAAATTTGAGAAATTAGAAATATAAAAAACAATTGATTGGAAAAAATTCTATGGGTCCAATTTATCAAGAATTTATTATGGTTTCGCGTTTTTAAATATTTAATTAGTAGGTTTCTTGAATGTAATCTCCCCAAAATTTGAATCAGTGAGATTAAACTGATGAAATAGTTCGAATTTAGCAACTGTTCGGTATGATTTACACTGAAATTTAGACATTTTCACTAAAAAATTATTAGAATTCTGTTTTACCTACAGTAACAGTCAAATCTGAATTATCATTAATTGGTAAAGCAGATTTAACTGTTTTAATCAGCAAAGAATTCTATTTTATCGATAAATGATTTGAAATAATCGATCGAATTGATTTAAAGAGCTAAATCCGGATGATCATTAACTGATAAAGCAAAATCAAACAATCAATCTACAAGATCATTAATCAGTAAAACAGATATGACTGTTTTAATTAGGTAAGGACTCTGTTTTACCAATTACTGATAATGCTGATTTTGCTATTAAAATTAATTCGATTGATTTTCAAATTACAAATAGGTAAAACAGGATATTTACTGATTAAAGCAGTCAAATCTGTTTTACCGATTAATGGTAATCCACATTTTACTGTTACAATCAGTACAGAATTCTACTAATTTTCAGTGAAATTATTAGAATTCTGTTATACCAATAGTAACAGTCAATTTTGGATTATCATTAATTGGTAAAACAGATTTGACTTTTTTAATCAGTAAAGGATTCTGTTTTACCAGTTAATGATAATGCAGCGTTGTCGGTAAAACAGACTAATAATTAATCGGTAAAACAGAATCCTTTACTTATTAAAACAGTCAAATCTGTTTTACCGATTAATGATAATCCAGATTTAGCTATTCCTATTATTTAAGTAGAATTTTACTAATCACTGAAGTGATTCTGTTGCTAAATTCCAACTATTTCAACAGTGAAATCTGACTGTATATCTGAAAAGGGAAGAGAAAAAAAAAGAATTAGAATTAAGAACCTAATTCGTTATCAATAAAAATATGGGATAAATTAAAATCGTAGATTTGTAAAACTATGTGTGTTACTCGAAGATAGTACCAATATTATTTCGGTGTTATTAAAAATTTATGATGAAAATTCATTTTAATTTTATAATTTTTTCTGACCTCATTGACATTAAAATAGAATTATGAGTAGAATCTTAATATGAAAAAAATGTTTAAATGTTATAAATAATTTTCATCATTTTGAAAATGATAAAAATAAATTATATTTAAAAAAGCTGAATATAAAAAAATGTCAGTACTGAATATGAAAACCTTTAATGGATGAAAAATTCAATGACATTATATCGTATGATCATCTTTCTTGAAAATGATTCTCATTAGCGAAAAGAAGGACATGGCAGTTTGCATTGCAGTTTTAAATAATTCAAGATTCAATTCACATAATTGACCAGCGTTAAGATTCATTAAATGACTGGCTCTCATTTGAATATTTATAATGTTTCTACTTATTTTCGGTGGTAAATTATACCAATGACAATTATAGGCAGCTTCTGAAACTTTTTCAAATTGATATTGCAAATAATCGCCTGTATAGCAAAACAAAAAAAGTCCCAATGATACAATAAAAAATCGACTTATTGTTTTTCCTGCCGATAAAGAATCACCTTCTTGCAAAAATAGTAACGACTGTAGTCCTGCGAAAAAAATCAAATTAATTTTTTAATATTATCACTGAAAATTCTTTACTGATTGAAACAGTCAAATCTACATTATCATTAATTGGTAAAACAGTTTTTTACTATTTTAATCAGTACACAATTCTATTTTACCGACTAATGAAAATTTGTCTGTTTTAATCAGTAAAGAAATCTGTTTTACCATTTAATGATAATTAAATCATTAATAATTCAATTGATTTTCAAATAAATACCTAAAATACTCATTATTGCGACATTATTGCTGAGATGTATAAGAAGCATAATGGATAAAGTGCTTTGCACCTCATTAGCCAAATTAATCAACTTCACGTGTCTATTAATCAAAAAATTTATCATCATAGAACATTTCCTCTCATCGATTCTTATCTCTCTTAATCTATTAAAATTTGTCACATTCTCCAATTTATAATTAAAATCTTGTCGAGCAATTTTTGACAATTTCATTCGCAATATTTCAACTTGTCCGCAAATTTGCATTATTATAATAAAGAAAAAAAAATCTGTACCAAGATTTCCATTGAAAACATATAAGATTTGTATAATTTGTAAACAATAGAAAATTTGATATCCTATGTCTGATGAAAAATTCTTCACTAAACAGGATGTTGAGAGTGGTAAAATTTTCTCATTGGATAATTTTGGTGCTATTATATACATTGCAAGAAGAATATAATGCACTGTTGCTTCGAGAAAATTAATTTTTCTACACAATTTTTTATATGATTTTGTAATTGTAAGAGAATCATTGTCTTCCGTGTTGAACCAATTTTCCTCTGCTTTTCTAAAGCTACTGGAAAATTTTTTTCGAAATATTCGCAGTATTATTATTTTTGCCGTTGAATTTATCGTCACTGCACAAAACACTAATTGGTCAGTGATTTCCTTTGCGTCTCCACAGCTTTGAATTATTTCTGTACCTAAAGTTATTATTGTTGATAGCTAAAAAAATTTTTTTTTTTTTTGTTTTTATTATTTAAACTACTTTCTAATCATTTTTTTTTGCGTTTCAAATTTTATTCAATTCATTATATAAATATATGAAAAAATAATAAAAAATAATAAATTAAATTTTATTTAAATAATGAATTTAGACAAAATTAATACTAAAATGTAATTACCAATAAAAGAACAGCAAAATAAAATCGAAAAGCTGTGAAATAATTATCAGGTAATAAAGGCCATACTCCAGGAATCCATAAATGAATTGCGTAAATATAATATTCACTCCTTAATTCTTTTTTCCATTCCTCTTTTTTCATTTTTTGATAATTTTTAGTAATTTTTTCATGTTATTAATAATAATAATTTGTTTTGTTAATAATATTTTGATTAGTTAATAACAATAATTTTTTTAAATATTAACTTTTTGAAAATTTTTATTAATAGAGAAAAAATGAAAAAAAAATAACAACTGTTATTTCAAGATTAAAAAAATGAAATGACAATTCATATTTTCTTAAGCTCATGCGCAACAAAGACTTACTTTGAATAATTTATTAAATTTATTATAAGTATGAGAAGACTTTTTAATAATTTATTTCATATAAAATTACCGTCAATTTCTTCCTTCTTATTCTTTTTAAGAATTAATTTGAATATATAACTACTGTATATATATATTTATTTTAAATAAAAATTAACTGTAATTTTTTTTTCTCAACCTTTTTAACAATTCATTTGAAAATAATTAAATGCGGAAATATATTTTTATGTAAAAAAAATTAAAGGCAATTGTCTTTAACAATTTATTTGAATATTACTAATAAACGTTTTATTTTTATATAAAAATAAATTGAAATTATTTTCTATTTTCAGATTTACTTCCGCGTTTCTTATATATATGTAGAAAATAAATATTATTAATTTTTCTGGATTAAGACTTTGATGGAAAATTTTTGAAAAATAAGATTAATAAAAAAAAAAAAAATGTCTGACGAAAAAGAGAAATTAAAAAATTATCATCGAGAATATTCCTATTATGCAATTCCCACTTGGCTTCCGGGTGTATGGCCTTTGCAAAACCAAAATTTTTTTTCTTTGTTGCGATACATTGTCGCTATTGTGATTTTGGTAATTATTGTTAATTATTATTATTTTTATTATTACTAATTGTAAGTTTTGAAAATTATATCTAGTTACTGAAAAATACTTTCGTAGGTTTTAAACACAGCTAAATTGAAAGTATAAAATTAATCCAAATTTTTATATTAATTTAATAATTTTGGTATCAATTTGATACTTTTAAATTAACTGTGAATATATTTCTAATTTGTACTTTTTCTAAACATAATTTGGTTTCTTTTTTCTTAATAACAAAATTAAAGATTTTTGAATCAATTTAATTACTGTTATTTACTAATTTATTAATTTTACATATTTTTATTTTCTAATTTTGATATAATTTTATAATTATTATTAGTTTTTTTATATAATAATTTTTATATATAAAATACATAGTTTAAATAAAAAAAAATGTTTTATTACAATTTTAATATCATTTTCAGAATACTTATTAAAATTATTATCATTTAATTTCTATTTTCTAACAAGTTTTAAACAATGTGTGTTACTCGAAGACTTATTTGCTTTTTATTATAAATAAATAGTCTTAAAATACATATAATGAGGAACTATTTTCATCAGTTCATAATGTTAATAACATCTAAATTATTTCAATATTTTTCATATGTTCATTTTATTACATCAATTTCATTTCATATTTATTACATCTTTTTCAATTAAGAAACTGAAAACTGTAAAATAAGTGTACGTTAAAAAAAAAGAAAATAAAAAATGTAATAAAAAATAAAATAGAAAAATATAAAATATAATGTAGATTAAATTTAAATAAAATAATATAGAAAATAAGAGAGTCGAAAAAAACTTGAGAATTATTAATGAAATAATGATCATTGACATGGACAAAGTGTATTTTTATCATTCTTTGTAAGATAGGAAATGAAATTCAGAATGAAATAACTTCCCTCTTAATTTTTTCGAATAGCTAAAGATAGATCTACTTTCTTATGCACCCAACAAAAAAAATGAGGAAGAAGCGCACGCTTTCAGTTCATCGATAATGATAGCCCTTTTCTTTTGCATTTATTATCAAGAAGAGTTGAACACTCGATGAAAGGGTGACCAAGATGAATAAAAAAAAGAATTACAGTGTATGGAACATCCAAAAATAAACTTTCTTAAATGAATTATCAATTTCAGATGCGTTGGTCACGAACATTCAATACGAAAAGAAAAAATACTCTTATTTTTTCCAGAAAAGGATCAAAGAACAATTTAATTGTTTCCTAATATCTAATTAATCAAAGTAGTTTCAGATAAGTAAATTAAAACTTATATAACAGTTAATAAGATCAATATTTTTATCAACATTTGATAATGGTATATTACAGTTTTATTAACAACAATTGAAAAAGATTCAAAAAATTTTAATTTAAGTTGCAAAATTTATTTTTAAGGTACAACATTCCAAGCTTTCTTCCCATCGCTTTTAATTCGAGATGTAAATTGATCCTCGCAAGCCATACGAATTTTCTCAGCAGTTGCCGGCGAATCGAATTGAAATCGTGCAACGATATTTGAATCATTTCTTGCAGATTTAATTGCCTCTTTTATTGCAAAAAACACTGAAGACGCGAGAAATAGTGGCGGTTCGCCAACAGCTTTTGAGGAATAAATTGTTCTTGGATTTGGAGCACCCTTTAGTAAAGAGACATTAAATTGTTGTGGTATATCCGAAAATCCTGGAATTTTATACGTTCCCGGACCTCGACTCAATAGACTTCCCTCTCTAGAATAAACAATTTCCTCCAAAGTAAATAATCCATATCCTTGTAAAAATGCTCCTTCCACTTGACCAATGTCAATAGCTGGATTTAAACTCTCTCCCAAATCCATAACAATGTCAGTTCTCAACACCTGATGATCACCAGTTAAACAGTCAATTTTCACTTCCGAGCAAGCCACTCCATACGTGAAATAATGATACAACATTCCAGAATTTGTTTCTCTGCAATATCCAACATCAGGAGTCTTATGAAATCCCGTTGCTGAAAGTTGAATCCTTCTTAAATAGGCTTCCGAGATCCATTTCTCCCATGATGCTGTTGGATTATCATCAATAACTGGTTTAATTCGCCTCATGATTTCCTCACAAGCTTCCAAGACGGCCATTCCATACATGTCAGAACTGATACTTGATCCGGTTGTTGTGGTATTTGGTATTTTGTCAGTTGATGTTTCTCCAATGGAAATTTTTTCTGAGTCCAGTTGTAAAACACGACTGGCAACCTGAATCATTTTCGTGTGTAATCCCTGACCCATTTCCACTCCTCCATGAGTGATTAACACCGATCCGTCAAGATAGACATTGACCAATGCTCCTCCTTGATTTAGAAATTGTTCCGAAAAAGCTATTCCATGTTTCGAGGAAACAACTGATATTCCCCTCTTTCTGTATCTACAACAAAAATTATTAAATTAATATACAAATTTTAGTACAAGTTCATTTAGATTCGTTAAAATTTCTAACTGATTCCAGATTAAATACGGACAGATCAGTTTGGATTAGTCCAAAAATTGTACGAAATCCGAAAATGATCCATATTATTCTGGATGAAAAGATAAATCCCAGAGCAGTTTTGAATTAGCATGAAATAAATTCGCAATGAGTCTGCAACATAGCCTAGTAGTTTTACGTGCGAGATCTCCCTGTACAGGTATACCCACACGGATTCCATGGTCGTGGGGCCGAGATACGCTCGGCCAACGTCGATGAACCTGATGTTCTGGTCATCTACCGATTTCCACAAGGCCGGTAAGGACCTTGCAGACCCTCGCTTTGGGCCGGAACCTTTCTAATTCCTAACTGCTATGCAGGCCGCTTCCCGAGTTGAGACCGCAACTAACACGTCGAGACCTAGAGTGTAAAGCGACTCCGATGGCGCAAAAGAACCCAAAGAATCGTCCTCTCCCATCAGCCTCTAACCTAAGCGATGTGGGCTATTAACCACTGTCACCAAGAGTCCTACCCAGTGATCCGGATGAAGATTAATCTTCACGGGCCCTGGAACTCCTTGGTACCGTTTATACTCTGGTAAGTCTGCAAGTTAACTTTCTGCAAAGTTAATTAGTCTGCAACAATTTGATTTTAGTTAGATAAAAAAACAATCCGAAATGAGTCCAGAATAATTCAGAATTTGTATGTAAACTGTACGCAAACAGTACGCAATAATCCGGATTAAATACTGTTAAAAAACTGAATCCGACATGAGTCCGTAACCTGAAATCTTTATGAGGAAAATCCAGTATTAAACCACATTAATCCCGATTTAATCTGGTAGAAAATCCTACTCTGAAATAAATCCGTAAAAAATCAGAAAGGACTAGTAAATTAGGAATTAATCCATAATTACTCGGATCATACACAACTAGTGAATGCAAAATTATTTCTATTGAATCCGAAATTAATCCGGCTTGTGTAACTAGTAAATCTAGTATCTGCATTCCCTGTTGCGTCTGATCGGCATGACTTCGGATTAAACCTGATTAATTCCGGATTCACTAGTTACACAATCCGATAAAATTTAGGACTTAACCGGACTAATTCCAAATGACTAAAAACCTGAGAATAAACCGGACTGTTTCGAACTAATACCAGATTAGTTCAGTCAGTCAGTGTATTTTCACTGATTTGATTAAGCGTTATACTTATCACTGATTCAGATTGAGAGATTAAGGAAAAAGAAAAATAAATTTTCAAATTTATTTACCTATTGGATTTGTTGAATTCGGCAATTTCGTGCTGTCTTCGCCTAAAATCCGAAGATCGAAGACATTCCTGCCAGCAACGCTCTAAAGTACAATAATCCAATCGCTGATTATAATGAGTTACATCTCCTTCTTTGTAAAAATTCATCTCTATTAAATCCATTTCATCTCGACGGAGAAACTCTGCAACATCGCGGATCATGTTTTCAGCCAAGAACATCGATTGTGGTCCACCAAAACCCCGAAAAGCGACATTTGACGGTAAATTTGTCTTGCACAAATAGCCAGTAATTTTTGATGATGGAATTTTGTAGGAATTTTCAAAATGAAACATTCCACGTTCTAGAACTGCTCCCGATACATCTAGAGTGCATCCAGCGTTAAGATACATCTCAACTTCCACCACTTTGATGAGGCCACTGTTGTCGAAACCAATTTTGTATTTATGAAGGAACGGATGACGATTTCCAGTCATCATCATATCTTCCGATCGATCGAGCATACATCTCACGGGTTTTTGTAGTTTGTAAGCGACATAGGCGACTGGTAAGGCTACCATCGATGCTCTTGTATCCTTGCCACCGAATCCACCTCCTATTCGTGGAACTCTGATTGTAATTTTGTTTGATGGTAGTCCCAAGAGACGAGCAATCAATTTCTGCACCTCGGAGGGATTTTGAGTTGAACAAAATACTTCCAATTGATCACCGTCTCTTGGTATAGCGACAGTTGCCTGGGTTTCAAGATAAAAATGTTCTTGTCCTCCGATTCGAATTTCTCCCATTAGAACGTGATCGGCTTTTTCGAATGCTTCGACTGGTTTTCCGGATATCATTATTGTAGGAGGTGAGAAAAAGGATTTATGGGTGATTGCGTCTTCAATTGTGATGATCGGAGAAAGTGTTTCGTATTCGACTTTGACGATTGCTGCTGCTTTTTGTGCCGTGAGCTGATCTATTGCCACAATTGCTCCTATTGGTCGTCCTTGACAGAAGACTGTTTTCCTAGCGAAGATTGGTTCATCTCTGGCTATAAGCTCGTAGATATTTCTATCTTCTTCAGTTTCCGATGAGTTGATATCAGAAGCATCAAAGAAAGCAATTACACCATTGAGAGCCAAAGCATCGGATGGATCTATTTTCAGAATGTTGGCATGGGCTTTTGTTGATAAGACAAAAGCTAAGTGTACTTCGTCTCTGAATTGCTGAACGTCGTCACAGTACAATGCCTCTCCCGTTGCTTGCTTCATAGCACTGGAATGCACAACTGGTTTTCCTATCAAATCCCAGCTTGATTGATTATTTGGTACCACTTGAAAATACTGAGAACTTGTTGGATCCTTAAAGACAAATTCCTCAAATGCTAATTCTTGTTTCAAAGATGTTTGTCTTTGAATGCTTTCCAATTGGTTTTCAACAAAGGTAAATGCTTTGAAAAATAAACTCAAGGCTAATGATTTTCTATAAGAGACCATACCACCTGGAGCATCATCCGATAGAGAAAATTCTTTCAACAGATTGTTGTATGTTTTATCTAAAATCCCTCTGTTCCATTTCTCACCTATCAGAGATTCAGATGTTTTTTTAGCAACAATTGTTGTTGGACCCATTCCACCGAAGACTAAATTTGCATTTTGAACGATAGCTACTTCTTTTTCTTTAGAAGGTGTAAAAAAGAGATTTAAAGCCATGTTTACAATAGCAATGTCATCGTCACGTCTTCTTGATTGTTTGTAGGCTACAAAATACTGATTGGAATGGGAAAATGGAATGGCTATGGATACCAGAACTTCGTCGGGTTCTACTAAATTTGTTCGATATCCAGTCATGAAAAGGTGATCCATTGAAATGGTTCTGAATCCTAATCGTAAACTCGCAACCTTTAGTTTAACACCAGCTGCTATGAAAAGGGGATTTAAATCTGATATTGGACTGGATGTTATAATATTTCCTCCAATGGAAGCAACATTTCTAATTTGTAATCCAGCAAATCGATGTAACATATTGATAATTGATTTAAAAATTTTCGTCTTTGATTCTTCATTAATTTTTATTTGATGCTTTAATAAATCTTCCAGATCCGATAGAGTGATACTTGCTCCGATATGTAGTTCTTTACATTCTATAATTTCATTCATTTCTTTAATTCTGCTTGGTTGAATGAATATTGGATAGTGACAATTTTTGTACTTTACTTCCACTCCAATCTCTGTGTTGCCAACAACAATTTTTGAATTTGGAAAACGATTCTTGAGAATTAGCAGATTTTGTAGATTGTTAGGCCTATACCAGGTGACATTTTTCCCTTTAATTATCAAATACTCTTCGTCAAATACTGACGATATCATCAATTTTGGAGGGAATATTGGTTCCTGGGTAGGATCATAGGGTCGAAAAGCATTCGAATCAAAAAGTTCATTAGGTTCTGATGTGAATGCCCTTTTGCAACAATTTTCACCCATTGGACAAACTGAATCATTGGAAGTACCATTTTTTATCAAACTTAGAGACTCTTTCCATTCATCTGTAAATGTTTTAAATCCTTCCAAAATGGGCCTGTAACCAGTGCATCTACATAAATTACCATCTAATGCAGATTTGAGATTTTCCATTTTTGGATTTGAATTTGACCGCAGCAATGAGTACATTGACATCACCATTCCAGGTGTACAAAATCCACATTGTGATCCATGAGCTTTTGCAATTCGTTCTTGAACTGGATGAAGTTTTGTTCTCGTTGAACCAATACCTTCGACTGTTGTCACTGATAATCCATGAATTGCACAAAGTGGCATTAAACAAGCGTTTGCAGAAAAATTGATAATTTTTTTTCTCTCACGATCATATTTTGATATCATTATAGTGCAAGCTCCACAACCACCTTCAGCACATCCCAATTTTGTACCAACTAAACCTAATTTATTTCTAAGATAATAGAGAAGTGTCCATTCTGGTTGCGCTTGATTTTCTCTTACTTCAACTCCATTCACATAGAATACAAGGTTATTACTAATTTTTTCAGACTTTTTTCCATTTTTTACAATGATGTCAGTTTCTTTCGAATTCAATGAATTGTCAACCATTTTTTGAATAAATTGGTTATTTTTTTGTCATGTGTATTCTGAAAAATATTTTATTTCGTTAGAAAAAGTTTCTGATTTTAGAACAGTGGACTAATATTTATTTAAATTACAATTCTTATTCTGCCTAATTCTTATATGGTCTAATCTCCATTTGACATTAAAAATAAGTATTATAATTCTTATTAAATCTAATATTTATTTAACCTTACACTTCTTTTGGCCTAATCTTCAGTTAAAATAATTTTTATTTTCCTCAATTCTTATTTAGCCTCATTCTTATGTAGCCTAATCTCACATAATTCTTATATTTATTTATTCTAATTCATATTTAGCATAATTTATATTTGGGCCCAATTTTTATTTAGCCTTAATTTCAGTTAAACATAATTTTTATTTGGCTTAACTTTAAATTAACATAATTCTTATTTAACCTAATCTTTATTCATTCTAATTCATATTTAGATTAATTTATATTTGGGCCAATTTTTATTTAACCTTAATTTCTGTTAAACATAATTTTTATTTGGCTTAACTTCAAATTGACATAATTTTTATTTAACATAATATTTCTTTAATCTAACTCGTATTTAGCCTATTATATATTTAGCCTAATTTCTGTTTAAAAAAATTCTTTTCCGGACTAATTTTTATTTAACATAAATTTGATTTAGACAAATTTTTTATGTAGCCTCATTTAACTCAATCTCTGCTAAATATAATTTTTATTTACTCTATTTTTTATTAAACCCAATGTTTATTTCAACAATTTTTTATCTGATATAATTCTTATTTGTCCCAATTTCCATTTGACATAATTCTTATTTAATTTGTAATTATTATTAAATCTGGATACTCCTTTAATCTAATTTATATTTAGCAAATCTATATTTCGCCAAATTTTTATGTAGCCTAATTTCTGCTTAACAAAATTTCTCTACCCTAATCTTCATTTGGCCTAATTCCAAAGTAACCATATGCAATAAAATTGATTATTCTTATTCTTTCTTAAATAAAGTTCAATTGTTACATTTTTTACGATAATATACAGTGTTTTACAAGAAAAAAAAATTTGAAATGCTGTTTAATTTTATTTAACTTTGTAAGGGAATTTTTCATTTTCCAGGAAAACATTCTATCTAAAAAAATGGAATAAAATTGATTGTTCTTATTCTCTTGCAGTTTAGGTTTAATTGGTAGGTTTTTTGAAAGTAATATGTGTTCTTTGAAGGTAGTTTTATAAATAAATAATTTTAATAATTTAGAATTAAAAGCAGTAAGTACTTACTTATATTAAATTTATTCCTTTTTATTTAATTTTGAATTATCTTTATAACTTCACCGCGACTGTTTTGCTTTACATTTAGATCACAACTGATTTTAATTGATGTAAATATATGAATGTTGTGTAAGATCAAGATCCTGATTTTTTATTGAGAATAGCAAGGTCCAATCATTGTTGTTATATAATTGATGGTGCTTAGTTACGCCATTAATAAACTGTATTCACTGGAAAATGAATGATCACGAGTCTCTAATGAGCACCTCTAGATGAATGTTACCATGACAACGAAACTTGTCTCATATCTTGCCTTTCTCTGTAATATACATTAAAGTCAAGAAATGGTAAACCACAAGAATTTTTTTTTAAATCCAGAAATTAATATTATACTTGAAAAATTTTACAATGACTTTATTAATTAATTATTTTATTTAAATGAGATAAAGGGAATAAATTAGTATAGAATTTTCATAAATAATAATAATATTTGAATTTTCAAAAAAAAAAATTTTTTGGCTGGAAAATATTTGTTTTTGAAACTTTATGAAAAATAAAAAAATACACTTATTTTTTATTTCTTTATTTGATAAAAATTGGAAATTATGATTTTTAAAAATTCAATTTTAAATTCAAAAATTATTTAATTTTTCTCTAACATTAAAAAAAATCATAAATAGTATTTAATTTATCAAATAAAAAAATATAAAACTAACGAATTTTCTTATTTTTCATAAAGAATTCGACAAAATTATTTTAGAAAAAAAATTAAAATCTAACATGGATTGCCCTATATTATTTATTTTTAGTAAATGGACAACAAAACAATTTGTAGATTAATAATTTTTTTTTTCAAGGAAAATTTTGTATTTATTTACATTACCTTATGTTAATATTTATTTGCTGAAATAGTGTAAAATATTTAAAATTATTATATAATTGTTGTTTTTTAATTTCATACTATTTTTTATTTTACATTTTAGAAACATTTTTAGACGAATTTATGAAAATTATTTTTCACTTAAAATTTCAATTGTGTTTCACTTGATCAACTTGAAACCCACTGTCCTTGTTATGAGGATCAATTTACTTGAACTCAGGTCTGACGTTATGTATAGGTTAAATTACTTTTTAAAAGTAAGAAAATAAAGTTAATTTTATTTTTATCGATATATAATAATTCAACGAATGACAAAATTGAGAATTTTAGATAATGGTTATAAAAAATTTTCCAGTTGGCAAAAATTTACCGTTGAATAAATATTTTATTTATTTCTTTACATAAATAATTGTATTCATTTATTTATTATTTAATTATTATTTTTAATAAATAATAATTATTTTTTTATTTTTATTTAATTTTATAAGAATAAAAAATAAATATTTTTTAAAAAGTAAACGTTTTGAGTGTGTAAATTAAAATCCTCTACTTTTAATACACGAGTGTGCAACAGGTCACACTCCAAAGGAGTAAATACATGTCGTGTTATATATATATATATATATATATACTAAAAAATTCAAAATAAAGAAATTGTTTATTTAAAACTATTGGAAATTTTCAGTATTTTTAATAAAACAAATTATTTGGAATCATATTATTTTATTTATTATTTAATTTTTATGGAAAAATTATTTTTTACAAATATAATTAATTAATTCTAATTAATTAAATAATATATTTAATAATATACATATTATATTTAATTTATGGAAAAATTTTTTCTGAACTATATTTAATATTAGTTTATAATTAATGTATTATTTATGACAATTAAAGATTCATAATTTTTTAATTTTTTATATTTATAAGACTAAATTCATTACTAAATTCAGTTAAATTAAAAACATTGAAAATTTATCTACTTATAACGAGGTCATTTTTTATAATATATTCCGTAACATATATGATATAATTTAAAGCATAGATATGCGCACAATACACTTTAATATTTTTTGTCGCGAATATAAATATATTGTAATGACGTGTACTTCATTTTATAATTTTATGATGCAATTGTTAATTAAATATATATTTCCACATATTTTTTTATTTTCCTTTTAATAATTATTTCAAATAAATATTTTTTTTTATAATACACAAGTAAACGATTATTTGAAATAAATAAATTCTTTTTTCACTGTATGGTTAATTATTTAAAGACACTACAAAATAATTAATTTATTTGATTTTTCAAGTTTTTATTTTCTAACTTAGAAAAAATTGCCGGTAATGAATAAAAATTTGCTAAAAAAATTAAAACAAAAATAATTAACAAAAAGTTGAGAATAATAAATTTTAAAAGTAGAAAAAATTACAAGAAAATTTTAGAAGAAATACAAAAAAAAATTTAGATGATTTTAAAATATTTCTTCTTAAATAATAAAATAATTGAAGTATTGCAAGAACTGCAAATAAATAAATTCACGAATTTACAGATTATTCGATGAAAATTAATTTTTAAAAATTCGATGATAAATTAAAATTTTTTTTTTTAAATTTATAAATAATCTAGTTATCTAATTTTCTTTAAAAATTGAAAAATAATTATTTTTATAAATTGAAATAAATTAATACTTGTTTATAACTGAAATAAATTGAAAATATATTAAAATTTTCATTTTTTTTTTTTAATTTCATTGAAATTTTGAAAATTTAAACATAACATTTTTCAAATAATTGTATAATTTAATTTTACTCGCCCTTTTTTTTGGAATGTAAAAATACTTGAAAAATAAATATCATTAGTATAAGGAAGCAGAAGAACTTGAGAAATTCTGAATCTGATGAGTCCAGCGAAGAAGGAATGTGTTTAAACTTTAAATGAAAATCTTGAGGATGTGCCTCTTCATGATTGTGTTACCGACTTAAAGTCGAGCTACGAACCTGCTCAGGTAGGTAAGTACCGTTTCCTCAGGTACATTCAACGCCAGTAAGGCCAGAACCTTCATCGAGTCAGGTGCACAAAATTTGTCACAAAAGAAGAATTCAAAAATTTACATTTCTTTCTCCCTAAAACAGAAAAAAAACTAAATTATATCACTCGTCATAATTTGAAGAAAGGTACGTGTTTTATGTAAAGTGATTTGCCTTTTATTTTTGTTTATAAAATTGTATCCTATATGATTTATATTTTCTCCTTAATTGTGTTTTTTATAATATTAAAAGTGCTTGCCAAGTCGAGTGCGCGCCTTTTTTTCTTTTGGGAAAATATTGTCAACAAAGTGTGATTTGAATTTAAATCATTAAGCGATTTAGCAAAAAAAAAGAAAAAATTGAATGAATTTTTGATAACTCATGTGCCAAGTTCAAGGATAGTCTCGCAGATAAATTCTTAATGCTCTGGTAGTTGTAAGTCAGGGTTCAATAACCAGTAAGGTAATTAGTATAATTATTTATATTTCAGGAATTTTTTCAGTGATTGCACATCTTGGAATTATTTCACGTTTTGCTAGAATAATTTTGCCTTTATATTTTTCAAAGATCATTTTTATTGACGATATGTCAAAAAATAAATTTTTCTTATGATTTTTAAATTTCAAAAAAGAAATCAGAAAAAAAAATCAGTGAAAATTGTTAAAAATGAATATTCAAATTAAAAAAATTAAATTAAACAAAACTATGTAAATATTTATTAAAATATAACTAAAATTAATACTAAAAAATTACTAAGTAAAATAAATTTTGTAATGTTAAAATAGAATTAATTAATTAAAATTACTAATTAAAATAATTTTTGTATTTTGGAAATATTACCAAATATTAATAAATACTTTTTTTTATAATAATTTTTAGATTTATAGTAAAAAGAAAAAAAAATTTTTCTATTTTTTTTGAAGGGATTTTTAATTATTTTAAAGTGACAAATTTGTGTAACACGTTAAATAGAAAAATGGGTAGCAATCACCGAAAGTTTTTCGCTTTCTCTTGAATGTTTTTCTGGGAAAGAGAAGGAAGATGATCATTAATCTTCTCAAGCATGACTTTCAGGAAGTATGTTTTAATCTTGTCTTCATTATTTTATCATTCACGGATAAAACATTAAGACTTTGCAGAAATTACAACTTGTAATTATAATAATCTCATATAAAAACATTTTTAAAAAAAATTTATTTTTTTGCGAATTTAATACCGTTTTGATTATATATATAGTCAAATAATATTTTGAGAAATAAATTATTTGACAATTATCAAATAAATTTTTTTTCTTTGAACTAAATAATTTTTATTAAAATTAAATTGGACGTTATCAAAAAAATTTATAAGAAAAATTTTTTATTTATTAAATTATGAAATTTTGAACAAATTAATAACAAAATTGACAATTCAATTTAATGAGTTAAATTAAAAATTGAAAATTTTATAAAAAAAATCCTTGGATTATTCTATTTTCAAAAATAATAATAATAATTAATTAATTTGTTACAATATGTAATTTGTTGCATTTTTTTTTTTTACTAATTGTGAGTCTTTAATCCAATTTAATTTGTAACAATATGCAATTAATTGTTGTTTTTTTTACTATTTAAGAATTTTTTTAAAAGTAAATTTGCCTAAAAGAAAATAAATAAAAAACCGACGTCAAGGTTTCTTGTTATTATCTTTGCATTGATAAGACAGGGCAATTGTTATAAATTACAACAAAAGTGTAACATTACGTGGCCGTAACTTCAAGGCGATAATTTACTTTTTTAATCGTTTTTTTTTTTTTTTTTATTTATTTAAATACTAGATAGAAATTGTGCAAAATTCTAACATGAGTCTATAAAAGTAGAAATAGTATGTAAATATTTTTTTTATTTACTATAATCAATATTAAAAAATTCTTTTTCTACAGAGGAAGCAATAATAAATGCCTACATGAATAAAAATTGATTTTTCGTCTGTTTAAGAATTTTGTTTCTAAATTTTTGATAGAAAAATTTATTTCCTATAAATTTTTCATTTAGTATTCACTTGACGTTTAAATATTCACATTGAAAAAAAATGTATTTGATTTAAATAATCGGTTACTTGACTATTAGCGCAAATAAATATTTACCAAATAATTTTTATTTGAATTAAATAAACTGTATTTGAACTAATAATTTCTGTATTTGAATTAAATACCATCTCAAATATTAATTATTTAATACAAATATAAATATTTATTTAATAATAGTCAAGGAATCGATTATTTGAAAAAAATAAATATTTTTAATTAACTTTTTTTTTACTTTTAATAAATAATTGCATTTTTGAAGATTAATAATTTAAAATAATAATTTAGAATAAAAATTTAAAATTTTAAAAAAAATTTACAAAAATCTTATATAAAAAGAATATATGGAAACAAATCCCAGGTATATTTAGTGGAAATTCGAAAAGACCAGATAAAGTTAAAAATACACTGACTTTATATATATGTATATATATATTGTTGGACAGTGGAAAACTTTTTTTTTCCAAACAAGTCTGAGTAAAACTGGGATTTCCCATAAGATGTTCTGTTTACGCGAGAGGCAACGTAATCGAAAGCAGTGAAATCAATCCAACATCATGTTACGGTGCATTGGTATGACGTAAAGGCATTCAACTCACTTTGGGTCCAGAAAGTCAATGACCTCGGCCTTGAGACTCAGGAATCTGAGCTGCTGAAAAGATGAGTCCACTCCTTGTCACGATGGTCCTGAAAAAAATTTTTTAAATTCTGATATAATTCAAAATTTCAATATCAACAATTTGTAATTAAAATTATTTTCATTATCAATCTTATTTAGATTTGTCGAAAATAATTTTTTTTTTTCAAACAAAAATTCAATTTTAAAAATTATTAATTATTGGATACAAAACGAGAAATATCCTTGAAATTTTATTTTTCAAGTAAAACAAAATTTTTTTTCATGAAATTTAAATTTCAAAGAATTTTTTATATTTACATATAAATTATTTTAAAAATAATGAAACAAGTGAAAATGAACGATTAAGATTTATAATTTTTGTTTTTATTGTATTTAAATTTTGTCTAGTGGGAATTTTTTTTTTTTAATACTTGACATGAATCTGGTGTATCTTTGTACAACGTAATTTTAGTACCGTAAACCGCATGAAATTGACATTCTCCAGCTGGAACAACGGCGGAACGACGATTCGACCTAACGGTACGCAATGTTCGTCATCGCGCCTGCAAGGCGCGAAACGCAAAGCGGTCCATCATAAATTCATTTTACTCGTACTACCAAAAATTGTGAGAATTAAAAAAAAAAATTTGTCCTACAATATTGAATTGATAAATCAACAAAAAAGGCAAATAATAAATAAATAAATTGCGTATATCAAAAAAAAAATAATTTCGTTGATTAAAGAAAAATTACTTTTTAATTCAAATTCACTTTGAATCAATGTGAGTTAAATTTAAATAAATGACAAGAAAAAATAACCAAAGAAATTAAAAGAAAAAATAAATTAAAACAGCAAAGAAAATTTTAAAAAGAAACTAAATATAAAGTCATAGAATAAAATACAAGACTAAAAAAAATTGGAGTAAAAAAAAATCATTTTGTCAATAAAAAAATTTGAAAAATTTGAATGTAACAAATTTTCTCTAAAGAAGATTTTTAAAAAAAGTGCAATGATGAAAAAAAATATTCTATTATTGTTGAAAAAATTAATAATAAATTATCAAAAATCCCAATTTAACAGTTATTAAAAAAGAGAAGTAAAAAAAGAAATTATTCTTTTAAATAATGTAACGTTTTCCAAATATTCACACACATGATATGAAGTGTATAGGCTTGAGTTCTGACTTCGAGTACCTCTGTTAAAGAAGAAACAACGGTATTCAGTTGACCACGAGCCGAAACGTTTCCGGAATGATGTTCAGATTTAAATTTCAAGCAGTCGTAAACACGTCCCAAAAATAAATTGATTTAATACCAGTTGTGGAATCCAGGCGATGATTTTTTTTTTCAAGGTCAACGACTGAGGTCGAGGACGTTCTTTGCACAAAGAAGACATTAAAAATTATAATTATCATAAAAAATAGTAGAAAAGAAAATTGTTCAACTAAAGACTAGATGAAATTTTTTTTTTTTTTTTTCTTCAAGACTCGTCAAATGTTTAAAGCAAATATATAATAATTTAAAACGAATAGAAAATACATTTTATTTGCTTAGTAACATCTGTTACACATGTCATAAATGAAAATAAATTGACAAAATTGAAATATTGTTTTAAAAAAAGAAAAAATATATATTTTGAAAAATTTAATTAAACTCAATTTCAATTCGAAAACATAATTAAAATAAAATAGAATTAAAAAATATTCAAATTTTCATTTAAAAAAACATTGAATTAAAATAGAATTAAAAAAATATACTTAATTTCTTCTTTTTTTTTTTGCAGAAATCGCAAAGATGCGGATCCTGGGAGTAACAATTTTACTGGTCCTTTTTGGATTGACCTTTTGCGAGAAGGAAGATAATGCAGATGCTTCGGAAGCATTCATGGAAGCTGCTCGGGCGTTATTTTCAGGCTCTAATAATGATGCTATCGGTGGTCTCCAGGGTGTGGCCAACGCTTTCATGCAGTCAGATGCTGGAAAACAAGTACACAATTTAATATAATAAAATTTAGAAAATAAATTTCTTTTTTTAATATACAAAAAATATATTTTCAATTTTTTTTTTTTTTTAGATAGTAAGGAAATTGAAAAAAGGAAATTAATTTTTACAAATTAATTTTTTACATTAAAATTGTAAACAAATAAAAATTGAATCAAATTCTTTTTGAATTTAAAACAATTATTGTTAATTCAATTAATAAATGATATTTAATTTTTTTATTTAATAAATTATTTATTTTTATTTTAATATGAAATTTGACTTTTTATTAATGTATTAACTTTTTTTTTTTTGTTTTAAAGGTCGGCGATATGCTCGGAGGTGGAAAATCAAAAAATGACGGAGTCGGTGAAATTCTCTCTGGTATTGGACATCTTCTTTCTGGAAACAAACAAAATGGAGGTGTTGATTTAGGTTCAATTCTTCAAACTGTATCTTCATCGATGGATCATAAGGAGAATTCAAATGAAATTCACAAAGACGAGCCGTCAATGAATTTTGAATCCATGTTAAATTTGGCAAATATGTTTGTTGGTCAGGGTAACAATGCCGATGGACTTATGGGAATTTTACCAATGATATTGAATCCTCTTTTGTCTGGCGACAATTCACATGACAATCAAAAGAAACACGATCATTCAGATCATTCATGGTGGGTGCCACCAATTTTGGAGAATTTTCACGTCATGTGGGAACATTTCAGGTAAACTATAGATGGGGCATTTTATGGGAAATTTTCATTGAAAATTTTTTTTTTTGTCCGAAACATTTTTTTTTCGAAATCTATATGAAAAATAAGGAAATACGTATTTTTTTATTTGATGAAAATGAAGGAAGTTATGATTTTTTGAAATTTAACGTCAACAAAGATTATTGTACTAATAAATTAAAAATTATGCTATATATGAAATTTGTTCATTTTTTCTCAAATTTTTCAAATATGTGCTCAAAAATAACGTACCTATAACAAAAGCAACAAAAAAATTAACATTAAACTTGAAAAGTGAGTTTTCTCAAAAGAGACACTTTCGATTTTTAATTTTTTTGCATTACAATCTCTGATGACTGAAGAATTTTTTCCCCTATCTGCGAAAGTGGTACTTTTAGTTTTTAAATTACTATTTAGAATTTTTAAGCTTGACGCAACGATTTTTAGTATGTTTTAATGAAAATTAAAAAAAAAATAAATGAATGTTAATGGAAAAAGGTTATATTTGTAGAAAAAATGCTTAAATTCTGTGAGCCGTACTAAAAAAATTATAAATAGTAATTTAAAAACTAAAAATACCACTTTCGCAGATAGGGGAAAAAATTCTTCAATCATCAGAGATTGTAATGCAAAAAAAAAATTAAAAATCGAAAGTGTCTCTTTTGAGAAAACTCACTTTTCAAGTTTAATGTTAATTTTTTTGTTGCTTTTGTTATAGGTACGTTATTTTTGAGCACATATTTGAAAAATTTGAGAAAAAATGAACAAATTTCATATATAGCATAATTTTTAATTTATTAGTACAATAGATTAAAAAATGTTCCAAAAACACATTTTCTTGGTTGACGTTAAATTTCAAAAAATAATAACTTCCTTCATTTTCATCAAATAAAAAAATACGTATTTCCTTATTTTTCATATGGATTTCGAAAAAAAAAAATTTTGAATGAAAATTTCCTATGAAATGTCCCAGATAGATTAAAAAAATAAATTATAGATTTTGTCTGCGAAATTAAATATTAGAAAAAATTACAAAAAAAGAGGGCAATTAAAATTATAAAAATAATAAGTAATAGAAAAATGAATACCTTTTTTTTCCAGCAATTCTGAATTAGGTCAGACACTGTGGAAAAATAGTGGATTGGCAAATATTGTTGGACAAATGACCGATTCAAAGGGTCGTCTTCAGTATGAGAGGATTTTGGACAGTTTTGAAAATCCACAATTACGAAGACGATGGGTGAGATCATTCACAAATTTCGTTGCCGAGTCAATTTCTCATGTTGCTGATCCAGTAACACAGCAACGTTATTTAGGAACAATTCAATTTGTAGGGAATACATTTCTTAAATCTCAGGGTTATCCAAAATCAGTCATGTTTGAACCATCAAGGCCAGCCGAAAGTCTCTCAAGGTCTGGAAAAAATGGAATTTCTCTCAATTTTAATTTTCTAAATCGATTATTTTTTCTTTAAATTAAATAGATAAAAATATGATAAACTTTTTACTTGAATCGTGAATATTTAGAAAATGATTCAGTCCTTTTCTAAATTCACGATTGGTATACATTTCTTTTTTTTTTAAATCTAGTTTAAACAAAATAATTTTCAGGTTGGTGAATGCAGTGGCTAAACGACATTTAAATATGAATATTGATAGTATACAATATATCAAACCAGCCGTTGCTTATGTTCAGGAACTGATGAGTCTTGCTTCTGAGAAAGGATTCATTGTTTCGCGAATAAACGCCAGAGAATTGAGTAATAAACTCAGTGACACAATCAACAATGATCTAATTGGTCCATTGCTCAAGGTGTCAAATTTTTTCTAAATAAAAATCAATTTAAATTTACAAACTATTATTAATAAAAATTAAATTTTTTTTTTCAAATTTCAGGCATATCGTGGTTTTAAATGGGCAACAAAAATACCACATTGTGCCACTCATATTCTTTGTACCATTAACAAAAATACTGAGGATAATAGTAACAACTCTCAAATGCGAAGTCAAATAACAAAAATTGCAAGTTTTCCAGCTGCTTGGGCAATTAGTAATAAAGCTGGTGTTAATTTCTGGTCACTTTATGGATCCATAGTAGAAAGTAAAAACTGTGTTGTAAGTATTTTTTTTTAAACTATAAATTTATTTGATTTGATATGAAAATAACGGAAATTTAATTTTAAAGAAAATTTGAATCAATTTTTAAAATAAATTTTAATTTAAAATTGAAATTATTTATTTATTTTTTCAATTACAGGAGAAGTATCCTGTTGATTGCTCAGCTTTCCACGAAGAGGAGCTCCGAGTGACAACAGAATATTCTCACAATGAGCTTTAATGAGGTGTCAAAAGTCTGCATGAAATGTGAAAGACTGCCAGTTAATTGAGCATCGAGCATTCATGTTCAAGACCAAATAATCGTGAACATTAAAATGAATTCTCGATTTTACCTCGATCTTTTAGACAATAAGATAAATTTAAACTTCTTTCTTAGCAAAGATATACGAAATTTGTCCCCCGTCTTCGATAATTTTTTTTTTTTTTTTTAGAATCGCATTTAGTTTATTATTAAGTCCTGTTTTGTATTTAGTATTTATATATATATTATTTTTTTAAAGTAAGGATTTGATAAAAGTACATATTGAATTCGCCGTCAGTGCAACATGATTTCATTCGTGGTGCTTTTATTTACAAAGTCTCTACCTATAGAAGGCACAAATCTCATGGACACTCGCCAACGTACGAGGTAAAAACGACATACGCTTTACTAAAATTTAAAAGACAAAAAAAAAAAAAAGTAAATAAATAAACTAATTACTATGGACGGAAGTCAAATGACTAGATCGGCTCAACGCGGTGCCGAAAATAAATATAAATATTAGATAATCGTAGTATTCCTTGTACATATTAGGTAAAATCAAATAAAAGTGTACATGAAAGTATTTTGTGTCTCAATTCTCATACTGCAAACAATGCACAAACAAAAAAAACATGTAAAACTATTTCAATGAAATTCATTTCTTTTTGATGCTTCTGCATGCCCATTCCAGTCCTTCCTGAAACAATTTTTTATTTTCAAAAATTATAAAACATTTTAATCACATTTTAACTTATTTTTGGATTTTTAGATTGAAAAAGGTTTCTTTTAGAATTTTTCGAAAATTGACTTGAATTCGGTCAGAAATAGATTTTTTTTTTAAATTTTAGAAATTTTGTAAAAACGCAAACCTTAACTCCTTTTCCCTCGATTGCGATACATGACTGAATTTGCCAATCGCGATCCTTAATATTATGTAGACCTAATCCTTCTGCAATTTCAGCTGCAGTCACAGCCTGGCTTATGTCTTGTTTATTTGCGTAAACCAATAGAGGCACATTGCGTAATTTATCTTCTAATAGAAGTTCAAAAAGCTCTTGTCCTGTTTCTTCCAGCCTCTTTATGTCTGCACTGTCAACAACATATATCTAAAAATAAAAAATAAATAATCTCAATAACAAAATTTGATATTTTGTAAAAACAAAATTAACAATTATGTTTTATTTATTTAAAACAAATCTCTCTATTGTAACAAAAAAATTTTAAAATTTTCAATTTTTTTCACTCACAAGAACATCTGTGTTTTCAAAATAATTTCGCCAATAGGGTCGAATTTTTCGAGCTCCTCCAATGTCCCAGACATTTAGTTTGAAACCTTCACTTTGAACGCTTTTAATATTAAAACCCTGCGTCGGTGTAACCTAGATATTTTTAATTCAAGGCTATATTTAATATTTTAACAGCAAAGCCAATATATTTCATTTAAATTTCTCACATATAAATATAAACAAAAATTATTTATTAAATCAAATGAGTTTTTATTTTCATTAATTGATTTCAATTACCTGTGTAATATCTTCACTAGCGAGCGCTTTTAAAATAGTCGTTTTTCCTGCATTGTCCAATCCCAAAAGCAAAAGTCTTAATTCTTTTTCTGGATTTGATCGAAGTTTTCGTAAAATTGCCAATAAACCCTGAAAAAAAGTTAAATTTTGAAAACAAAAATCAAATTGAATAGAAGATGAAAAATTGACAGTCAAAATTTTATAATTTCGAACAATTCTTTAATTTAGCATGAAATGTGAAAATTTATTTTCTCCAAAGCAAAATTAAAATAATAGAAACTTTTTTTTGAAACTATCTCGATATTTAATTAAAAATTTTTGTAATTCTATTTTCAGCGTCAAATAAACTACTTTTTAATGCAAATCTAAGTAATAAAAAGAAATAAATCACTTCTTTTTTTAAATTTATAAAACATGTCAATAAAAGTCGTCAAAGTTTTAAAAATCTATAAACAACATAACCTTGAAAACTTGTATGAATAACAAATACAAGTTGTATCATTATAAACTATTTTTTTTATTTGTTCTACAATTTTTAATTATATAAATTTAATTTATCAAATTCGTAATTCAAAAATTTGAAATTTTTATTTCAACAGTTGGCACCTTGAGTAAGTTCCTGAATGAATTTTAATTTGATGACAAGTGTCAAAAATTTCCTAAAAGAATTTTAAATAAATCTTATCAAATACTTTTAACAAGAATGTAATTTATTTCTTCAACACAAATAGGTAAGTCACTTGAATAAAAAATTATAAATATTTATAATTAAAAGTGAAGTGTTGTATGAAACATGCAAAATTAAAACGCAGTTCGTAAAATTATAGGTTATGTTTACAATTTATGTAATTTTTGAATATTTTAAAAAGATTACGTAAATGAGAATAATATTTACCATATTTCTTTGTTGTTAGTTTTTCAAAGAGTTAAATGACAATCGAAATTCTTTAAATTATTTTTATGACAGTCAACTATGTAATGTCAAATGTGCAATGCATGCAGTGTTTGGCTGGCGACATTTCGGTTTCTATGTTGGTTGCTATGTAAAGAAACGCCATCTTCCATTAATGACCTATACTATTTTTACGTTTGCGTACTCATATTGATTCATAAAATCGTATGCGCATGCTCGTTAAATTCATTCATGATTGTAATTTTTCATTCATATATACTATCGTTTACATTTCTAGGAATTGCAAATACGCTTGAGTCATTCAAACATGTTTATAACATTACAAACTAAATAATTTAAAAGAATAAATAATAAATAACATTAAAAGCTTAGATTATGATAAAATAATATTTATTATTATTAAAAGAATTGAAATAATGTTAAATTATAGAATAAAAATATTTATATACTTAAATAAATCCGTGAATAAATCAAAACAGAGTAAATAATATAAATTCTTTCTATTTTTGAAATTGAGAACATTTAATTTTATTTTAATTATCAATTATTTAATGTTATGTTAATAATATTTGACTATTAATTAATTTTAATGTTATTATTATTAATATATTAATTAAAATTTTTTAACTTATAAATTGATAAATAAAAAAATTATTTAAAAATAAAATTAATTGATTAATAAAAATAAAAATATTTAATATATTAATAAAAAAAATTATTTAATTAAAGAAATGTAATTGTCAATGAAAAATTATTTAATTATTATTTTGATGTTTAGTACAAACCTGCTTTTAAAAATTATTTTTAAATATTTATTTAATAACATTTTTTTATTATAAAAATATATTTACAAAATATAAAAATAATCAATGTAAAAAAAATGAAGATAAAAATGTTAATCTGGTTAATTTTTTTTAGATATAAAAAAAAATGCGATTTTTAAAAGGAAACCAGTGTGAAAATAATTAAAAGGAAAATTTTGACCAATATTCATAGAAGAGGAAAAAAATGAAAATTTATTATTGTGGCTTAAATGCCAGTACTTTATTTTTTAACGACACGGGAGTAATTGTAATTCTCGATAAGATAACAAGAGTACCATTTCCGGAAACTATCAATATGGAAATTGGCTGGAATTATATTTTACTCTTACAAAATGAAGATTTATTTATTTCTGGAATATTGGATACTAAACAAGAGGAAAGTCCTAAAAAATTAACGATACCTGATGAATCATCTGGAAGGTTGTTTTTTTTTTTTTATTTATTTTTATTTTTCCACATTGATAAAAAAAAGAAAATTTTTCACAAATTACAATATACTGATTATTATTATATTATAAATATTTTAAATAAATATTTGATTTCAATTTTTTAATTTTCAGGATAAAATTTGCATTAGCTGGAAAAGAAAATGTGACAATTTTAACAACAAAAAATAATTTATGGCAGTACAATTTGTATGAGAAAATTTGGAAAAAAGTCAATAAATTTATTTCAATTTGTGAAGATACCGATGAAGAGTACATTGTGAAAATTGACGGAGAAAGATCTGTGGTTGCATTGACAAATTTTGGTTAATATTTTGTATTCACTTTTTTTTTTATATAATCTTTAAATTAAATTTATTTGTAAAAATATTTTTTGGTAATTTTATAGGTCGTGTTTTTAATATTCCTGTTGTCGTTGAAATGGAGAATAGGATAAAATTTATCGATGTGGCATGTGGATTTGATCATACAATTTTATTGGCAGAAAATGGAGATATTTATTCAATGGGATTGGGAACGTAAGTCAAAAAAAAATATATATTTGATAATAATTTGTTTATAATTGTTATTATAAAAATAATATTTCTAAAAAATAAACTATTAATTAAATATCGTTAATTGGCAAATATTTAATTTAAATTTTAAAATTAAGTTAATTTTAATTTTTAATTTATAAAATATTTTTAATTTAATTAATAAATTTTTTGTGGTTAATGTAGAAAAATTTGTTTCTTACTATTCAGAAATTATAAGTTTCAAATAACATACAACGTTGTTTGAAATTATAAAAATATTTTTTTTTTTACAGTCGCGGTCAGTTGGGACATGGAGATTTGGAAGACTGCGATAATCCAAAAATTATTGAAGCCCTCGCAGGAATAAAAGTTTCTCAAATTTCAGCTGCTGGCTGGCACTCTGCAGTTATTACAGCCGAAGTTGTTGAATTTTAACTCTAAACAAAATCTTAGAGAATTAATTACAGAAATTAGTATAATTTTTTTATTTTCATATTTTTGTTTTAAAAATACCCCCTAAAAAAGTTAAATAAAGAATTTTTTACAAATAAAATTTGGAAAAAACTGATATAAATTTTTTTTCTTATTTCCAGGGAGATCTCTACACTTGGGGTTGGAATACATTTGGTGAATTGGGTCTTTTAAATTCCGAAAAACAAGTCATTCCTTTACCAACTGTAGTCGATTTTGAAAATGAAGAAAAAATAATTTTTGAAACAAATGTAAAACGAGTCCAATGTGGAAATAATTTTACTATTTGTTTATTAGGTAAAGTAGAATACTATAATTATTAAAAATAAATAATTATTATTTATTATTAATTTGATTATTTATTATTAATTATTTACTATTAATTTTAATAATTAACATATATTTTAAATTTTTATTAATTTTAGCCGATGGAACTTTTTGGGGTTGTGGCTCTAATAAATTTGGACAACTTGGAATATCTATAGAAAAGTTAACAGAATCGAAAAAATTTATTCAATTAGATGTTAATGAATATTTAGATACAAAATTTATAAAAGATTTTAAATGCAAAGAATGGGGCTTCTGTTTAATATGTGAATGAATATAAAGATAATTCTGACGAATTTTTATCAGAAATTTTACTTGCTGTTATTTATCAATTCTAAGTATTTCTTCAACTTGGACGGATTCTGGCAGAATATATTCTCTTCAGAAATTCTTCTTCAGTTAATAGCGACGAACTTATAAATTATTTTTTTTTTATTTTACCTGTAATTCAAATATTAATTTTGTTTAAAACTAAAACAACAAAATCTTTACATATTTTAAATAAATTAAATAATTTATTGATATTAATTTTATATATAAAAATAATTTTAAATAAAAAATTAAGTTTCAAAAAATTACAAATTAGTAAAAAAAATTAAAATGGAATTACAAAATAAAAATGAAAAATAAAATTGGGACTTAGAAGAATGTAGAAAACGTAAACTGGTATTTTTTTCATTTTTATTAATTCGTTTTATTAATTTTTTTTTTCCATATTTTGTTCAATATTTTCAGAAAATAACACTCCAAAGCGAAAAAACCGTATATTCTCACCAATCCCAATGTGTGTATAATATATATATTATACTTTTCATATATAATATATATGTATATATATATATAATGTATACTTTTATACTTTATATATAATAATAATGTTATGTGGAGTAGCACACACTTTAGACTGTTTATGTATCGATACCTTTATAATTTTATCGATAAATTACAAATATTGAAAAACATGAAACAGATAACAGTCGTCAGGGACGTGTGAATTTCGACGAGATTATCATTGGATATTATTTGAGATATATATATATATATATAGATGAAAAACATTTTCTTTGTAAAATTATTATTATTATTATTCAGGTTAAGGAAATTTTTCTTTTCGTTTCCTCTCTCATTCAAGTGATTTTCGAATATTTCGAAAAAGCAAAAAATAAAGAATACCAATGGGAAAAAATTACATTCTAACCCATATATTATATACTCGATCACATAAGATCACAGATTTTGCGAGCTTCGCGATTTTTTATTCTCCTCAAAAATTTCAATTTCAGACTTGCACAAAAGTCTCGTCAGAAAATTTATATTAAATTTCTCACGTAAATTATTTTCTTTTCTTTTCTTTTTTTTTTTTCATTTTTCTACTGAAAATATTATCAAAAATTTGTTTTGTGTTTTTTTTGAACACATTTTGAAATTTTTTTTTGTGCAAATTTGAATCGATAATATATAAAAACTTTAAATAACTTTCATTTTTTTTTAAATCTTAAATCTCCACAGCATATTACATATATATTTATACATATATATATATTTATTTATATTTATTTATATATATATTTATTTTTTTTAAGATCTGACTTTCAGGAAAAGTTGTGAATCGCAAACCTCTTATATATTAGACAAGATAACTTCCCAAGGGGAAGAAAGAGAGAGGAATCGATATAGAGAAAAATTCTTTCCTTTTCTCTAAGGGGAAATCTATTTATTTCTGTCTCTCTTTCATCGTCAATAAAAAAGAAGAAAAAAAAAAAAAAAATTCACAAGTCTCCGACGAGCTGTCGTATGTACTTATATATTTTTTCACACCGAAGTCAAAAAGGCAATACGCAGTATGAACTTACCTAGTACATGTTTTTTTTTTTTTTATTTTTTTTTTCTTTCTTTCTTTGTGTATCTGTGTGTTACGCGCATGTATGCAATGAGACTTTACAGCTAAATTTATTTATTTTCTTTTTTTTTTATTCCTTCTTCAAACTCGCGTTGCGTCTCTCGTTTCGCAAAATATTTTACTCAGAATTTATATATATAGAGAGAGAGAAGGAAAATCGCACCTTCTGCAATTTTTTTTTTTTATAATATTGATCAATTTTGTAAATTTTGCGAAACGTGAATTTTATTTACACCCTTTACACACACACAAAATGTGTAAAAACGATTTTTTCACACAGTGGAATTTTTTTTCACCTTTTTTTTTTTTTTGTTACATAGAGTCGATTTTTAAACAAACAGTGTTTTTTTATTATTTTAAACAGACTTTCTTTTTATGTGTGTAAATCGATTTTTTTTTTTTTTCTATAAGGTGTGTGAAAAAAATGTTTACTTTTCGTGAGTTTAGAAATCTGCGAAAAACATTGAGGGGATAGAGAGAAAGAGAAAAAGAGAGAAAGAGAAGGAGAGAAAGAGAGAGAGAGAGACAGAGTGAGTTTGAATGGTAAGAGAGCCTTGGAGGAAAGTGGAGTGAATCGTATACGGAGCCGCTATAATTTATAACAAAAACAAAAAAAAACGAAAAATTAAAAAAAAAAAAAAAAAAAAAAATGGGGCAGCCTTTCGATTTCAAAAAAATATTTTTGGAATCGCAAGGCGCAAAATGAAAAATAGTAAACCCCGATCAAAATAAATATTTTCAATCGATTTTATTGAAAATAATACAACAAAATGTCTCATAATAATAATAATTAATAATAATTAAAATTAATTAATAATAATCGATACGTACTGCTCTATTCGATATCTAGATAATCGTGTCTTAGAACGTCGTTTAAATAATAATATAATAATAATAATATAATAATAATAATAATAATATTATAATAATATAATAATAATATAATAATATAATAATAATAATATAATAATAATAATATTATCATCAATAATAATCGCAATAAAATAATAATAAAGACAATAAATTTAATATAATAATCATTATATCATAGAATAATGTATCAATAAACAAACGTAATGGGCTAAATTACTCGTGAATCATTCGTTATCGTCCTCGCTATCAATGGATATTGGACAACTAATTAATTAATAATTAAATTACACGTTGCTTGGATATGCACGTAGAGATATAAAGTCGTTTTTGGTCCCACCTAACTGCAAACGTTACATTCGTACATCTTCTTGGATCGCTTTTTTTTTATACGTGTGTATCATTGTGTACGTGTTTTTCATTTATTTTATTTATTATTTTGTTTGTTTGTTTGTTTTTTTTTTATTTCATTTAATCAATGACTATATTCGTTTATAATTACATAGAGTGAACAGTGTCGTCAAAAAAAAAATTTTTTTTTTTTTTTTCGCCGTATACATACGTCGTAAATAGGTTTTTCGCTTGCCTATACAATTATACATAAATTGGTTACGTGGAAAAAAAAAATTTGAAAAAAAAACAAAAAAAAAAAAAAGAATCGCCGCTCAGAAAATAAAGAATATTATAAAATAAGAAAAATGTGTGTTTCGATGAAATATATTTATATAACTCTTGAAAATCGAAACAATCGAATATCACTGGGACATGGCTTTGTCTTTCCGCTTTCTTCGATTTTATTACAACTGGCATTTCCTTCGGCGCGATTACGCTAAAATTATCTAATAAAATAATTACTCTCACTATCATCATTATCAAGCCAAAGTTGTTACTGCTCTTTTTTTTCCAAAATTAAGAAAAAATCAGTAATTTCCAATTGCAGTTTCAACTTTTGCTTTTCTTTTTTTGGAATTTTGCGAAGAAACTTTTCTTTCTTTTCGATCCCAATTTTTTTTTTTGTATTAATTAATTAGCTTTAGTAATTAGTCTAACTTGTTCATAATTAGTCTAATTAGACTTTATATTTAATTATTTTTAGGAAAGAATAAAAAGTTTCTGGCAATTAAATGATATTTTTTTTTTTTTTAATATACATCCAATTGGTAGAATTTCGTTTCGGGCCGTGCCGCATTGATCCCGGTTACAATAAATCTAATTAAGGCTAGATACAATTTAAATTTTACATTTTTTTTTTTTTTCACGAATACTGTGTTTATCAGTCTCATTTTCGCTCAAGTCTGATCGTATTTCTTAAAATATCTAATAAATTCGATTGCGCAAAAAATTAGGCTTTTTTTCGCATTTTTATAACCGAGGGAAAATTCATGTGTCCATCAAACTTTAATAGTATCTAATTTTCGACAAGTTTTTAACTTTCCTTTTTTAACTGACAGAGAAACATACAAAAATTCCCTCGGTTTTTTTTTTTAATACAATTTTAAAAATTAAATAAAACGACGAAAAAACTTGGCTCATTAAGATCAGACTCAACGAGATATTAATGCCAGTTGTATCCAGTTCGGTAACCGCAGATCAAAAAATCGTTTCCTTCCAAACGTATAAATTTAAAAAAAAAAAAATTCAATTTTCAAAATGTCGAATTATTTGCTCAACGAGATGTAAAATTCATCTCTCACAAATAAAATTTTAAAACAATTTATATTACCGATTTATATTCAAGAAAAGAAAATATTTTCAAAACTTGAATATTTTCGGAATATTTTCCTATTGAACAAAAAATTTGAATATTTTCAAAAAAAAAAACAAAATTATATTTTCTTTTTGAAAATATTCTTTATGTGAAATATAATTTTTTCAATTCCAAAATTTTTCTCTTCACAAAAATAGTAAAAAAAAAATTCATTTTTTTCTCCCTTGCCAAGAGGGTTTGCTTTTTTAAGCTGCGGGTCCGAAACATTTTCGGAAAACGGTGGCGATTTATTATTATTATTTTTTTTTTTTTTTTAAATATAATAATTCCTCGAAATCGAGAAATAATTTTTTTTATAAATTAAACAACCGCCTTCCGAAAAATGTAACAATCTTTCAAATAGAATAACCTCACAACCATTTTAACAACAATCAACCTTCAATAAAAGAGCATCTTACGTCAAAAAATCTTTAAAAAGAGCGCGTCGTCGAGCGAGAGACTCTATTATTATTTTTTTTTTTTTTTGTCGGCTTTTGCCGAAATAAAAATTCACGTCCATTTATTCTCGTCGATCAACGTATCACAAGTTCAAAAATTGTGAACTAAATCACGCGATTAAAAATCCAATTTATTTTTTTTTTTTATCAATTACCCCTCACCCACCCTTCCCAATTAATTACTTTCATCGACGTAAAATCTTCCACGTACGAACGTTGTTTTTATATTTTATTTTTTTTCTTTTTGTTTTGCCTCTTATCAGCCACGTGTCCTCGCACGAAATATGCACCTATTCCCGAACGAAAAACAAAATTTTTTTCTATCCCTAGATTTTTTTT